TTTTCGATATCCCGAGATGAGTGAAAGCGTCAATACGTCACGACCAAAATTTCTCCATCTTTGGGTTTTTACATTTGATCTTTGGGTTTTTACATTTGAAAGTACCGGACGGGCCTCATGGGTCTCGCGATTTCATATCCTTCTGATAAAAATCGTCTGACCTTTTTCGTCAGCTTTTATGAAGTCGTAGTGCAGCTAATCCTATCAAGATTCTCGGTTTATTACGTATAAAATTCTATTTACGCGTGTGTACTCTATTTTTTTTTTATCTATTGTTATATGTCTCGTAAAAATGTTCATGTTCATATTTTTATCGTCTTTAAGGGGCTTATTACCATCCAGTGGATCGATAATTGTTAATTGGAGAGTTGATTGTCGGGAAAATTTGGAAAAATTTTGTTTTGTAATATACTATTACTTCCTTAATTGTAACAATTATATACTAAAATTAATTTTTGCTTTTTCGAAACTTATGATTATTTTACTGGTGAATTCGGAGAGAAGTATTTATTACTTGTGTCAAGTATACTTGCACTCTCAAGGACATCAATGAAGCGAATGATAAATCCCGAGGATTTTTCCTCCTTGAAACCGGTAAATAGTGTTACACCGGGAAAAACACCTCCCCCTGCAGTTTCCTGGTGCTCACTCCACCTTTAAAAAAATCCCCCGACGCAAAATTCATCACAGACCAAGAGATTACAAGGGAAAATCGCCTTTCCTCCCATTTAATCCCCTGAAAGCATTTCAAGATATTCGCATTTACTTCACATTTTTAGTTTTTCCCCGCAAAAACAATTGAGTCCGTCGAGGACTCTCCGAGCACCTCGTGACGCTCGTTATCCTTCAAAAGAAACAATCATACGCATTGTTGTTTCCCGTGCCATTCTGAATATGAAAAAGAATATACAATGGTTGACAGAGGAAAAAAAAACTGCATTCAGTAGAATGGAAAAAAATCTGAAGAATGCCGTGAAGAGGGAAATGTCGTCATGATTTTTCTCGTTGAGAATGCATTTGACAATTTATTTTGCAAATTCTCATTCCAAATATTTCTCAACTCTCCATCAATTCAATTGCCGAAAGTGCCATTGGAAATTTTTCAGAGTATCCCATTGATGATAGAGTACCTTTCACAATGTCCAATTATCGAGTTTGTTAATTACAGAATTTTCAATGAATTTGAATATTTGAAAATGATCGAATGTTGTGAAATTCTGAATTAGGATGAGTAATTTTTTTCGGGACCATAATTTTGGGAATTTCTCGGAATTGAAGGAAGATAGAGATATTCACGCCGATATCTTTTTTGTAGCTCTGATCTTTCTCTACAAAAAATGTACTTATGAAAATATCTCTATCTCCCTTCAATTCCGAGATAAAATCCTGGACTACTCTCGGTAAAAAATCATTATCCCAATTTACCACTTCGCTGCGGAAAAGGGATTTAAAGAAAAGAGAGAAAAGGATTTCCACGAGTGAAATACTCTGGAAGTACCAATACCCTTCGATTTAAATCACAATTCTAATTACCAATACAACCGGAAAATGAAGAAAAGTCACGTCGAAACCCGAAAGTTTCTCAAGAAAACTTGAAACTCTCGATTACTTTCCCCGGTTCTGAAATGTAAATTTCCACGAAAATTACTCATCACGGGGAACACTGATCAGGAACTTTCCGGGGAAACGTATTCTGTTATTATTACAAAAGGTGAAGGCCATATCCGTTGCGAAACTCGGTGGATTCGCGGAAACTCAGAGTACGAGGAAGTGGAATGCAAAAACACGCGAATATTGAATTTCCCGGCTGAAGGTACAGCCCCACACACATCTATATACGATAGTATTTAATATCCCTTGCATTTCGAGATAATCGAGTTTTCCCTCTACCATAGGAGTCTGATGACCCCATTTTAAATGTGAATCCCCGAGTGATATAGAATTTTTCAACGTCAACAGGTAAATGGCAACGCGATAAGGAAGCTATCATGAATTAATTATGTGCATAACGGCTGTTTTTACAATTTATCATACTATTTTTATCACTCACAGCCATCTTCATTGTTTCTACGTCATTGAGTCCTCGGATATAAATTCCAAGTGTTTTTAAAATAAACTTATCACCTTTGGTTGAGGAATTACTTTGCTACAGCAGCGGTGAACTGGGGTGCGTCGGTTTTACGTGAAAATCTCGGAATCTAGGGGAGATTGCGAAATTTTTGTCATTACCTTTTTTGCAGAGATGATTGAAAGCTAGGGAAAAGGTTATTACAAAAACTTTGGTATCTACGTTAGTTTCGGAGATAACTCGCTTTAATACTTCGCTCAGTTTCATATTACGTTTATCCTGCGAAAAGTCGGCACAAAAAATAATAATTAACAATAATCAATAGAGGGAACTTTAAATATTTGTTATTAATTGTAGAATATTATTGTTATTAATTATTTATCATTAATAGTAGATATACAGAAATATGGAAAATCAGATCGGTTGTTAGGGATTTCTATAAAATTTTGAGAATAACGGAAATTGTTTAAACCGACTTAAGCGATTTGTTAAAAAAAAATATTAGAGAGTGTTTAAGGGAGGAGGGTGGGGAACCTCTCGGGATATTTTTAATGAAAAAATAAAACGCGGAAATCGAAAAAATGGAGTCCATTATATAGGGCAGGCGAACAACGAGGAATTCAAAATAGAGAATGGGAAAAAATTATTACCAGGCTTTTATCCTCGTGATCACATTAAGCAGGATCATATTGTATCAGGATCAATTTAACCAGGATTATTTCGTCTCAGACCATTTTTTTCGGGATTAAACAAGGTATCACTGTTTATTATATTAAATCCAAACCGCACACGATGAAAAAACTCTAGGCAAAATTGCGCGATAAATCGCGAAAGCCAGAGATGAATATTTTATTATAATTATTTCCACATGAATTTCGACATAAATAGTTAAATATTAATTCCAATTTTGTTGAACAATATTTGTCATTCAATATTACACATGGAATTTTTTTAATTTCAATGGCCATTTTTTATATAAATATTATATCATTTATATTTAGGTTTTATAAATATAAACTATATTATTTTATAAATATAAATTATATTACATTTATATGAAAAATGCCCATTGAAATAAAAATATAAATTGAATTTTTTGGGGAGGAAAATCGAATTTTTACGTCTAATTCTAATTCGTGTGAAGTCGGAATTTTTTTATAACTGACATGACACACCCCCTTTACGTTTCTAAATCTAAAGTTTATATTTTTATTGTAATTATTGTGACATTTTTGAAAGTACGTGAAATTGTTGAAGTGGAATGCGAATAAAAGCAATAGAAAATGCATTTCCCGCGAGCTCTAGGTACCAAGCTGTTTCGAGAAATTTTATTTCGATTCTATCCACTTGAAGCTGGGGAACACGTGCCTCGGAGGGGTGTATCCGGGTGCTTGCTCTGGGCAAATGAAATTGATCGTCATAGGCGTTTTTCAAGGGAAAATATCATCAGCTGAATAGCATGATGAAATGTCAAACAGACCCTTCTTCACGGAAAGAATACGATATTACTTTTCACTGCGGAAATATTTATGGAAACATTTTCTCTGGCAAAGACGGCTTACTTGATCCATGAAAGAGTAACATCTTGCCAATTTTTCAAATCGTCAAATCTGATAAATTATTCTGCCATGAACAGAGATGAATGAAAAGTTCAAAAAAAAATTTTCGCCATTGCAACTTTCTCTGACAATTTCAAGAATGTAAAAAATTGATTGATGTCGATTGAAATTGACATGAAGAAATAATAAATAATGGAAAACAGATAATTATTTGGGATTTTATCTCAATGTGAGAGGGAATTTGTTTAATAGAAGATTTAACGACTTGACAAATAATTCCTATCGCAGACGATTTCTAATTAAATTTTAATTTCTGTTTAATAATGATCTCTGCTGTCGTGAGTCGTTAGTAAAATGATGAATCCAGAAATCGATGACAAATTATCGCGGATTTCGTCATTCCCCAGATTTCAATGCAATAATTGAACTGAAATGACATTCCAGTCATTTTCCCTGAAATCTCCGCTCGAAATTTCCATTTAAATTATCTCAAACAATTTTCATACGCACTAATAAATTCAGTCGATGTAAATAATCTTCTTTGACTGTCCATTGACAGTTATTTTTCACCCGATATTTTCCGCGGGTATTTATTTTTCAAGCAGAGGCATTCAGCCGATGATTCTCATGTTTATTGATGTTTTTATAATTTTAATCACTTCGTTAGTGCGTCATTGATAACTCGCGGTGGGACGCACTGACATACGTCTTTTTCCTCCATCGAATGCTCGACGACAGGTTCTCACTTCAAGGACATTCGTCCGAGAAGAAGTATCGACGTTTTCCAATGGATTTTGAACTTCGCGAATGGATAGATGTATAGAAGCTAGTGTGAATGACGCAACATTCACGGAAAAACCACGACAAACACATTTTTTCAACGGAATTTTATTTCCAAAAAATAAAACTATTTTATTTATTTGTAAAGCATGACTTGAATTTCAAACAAATCCCGAAAAATATTCGCAAATCGCAAAAAATCCCGGATAAAATAGGAATTAAATCGCAATAACAATAAAGTCCTGAATTAGAATAAAAAAAAAAAATTTCAAAATCGGAGAAGAATACTTCATCCACGTCTCCTAGTGATCGAACATCCTCAGGGGTGTAAACCCCCGATCCCCAAAAAAAAATACCCAATTAAAACGAATTTCCCGCAGAATACCGATTTACCGAATTCCCCCGACAAATCCAAAAATTCCTCAATACCATCGAAATTCCCATTACGGAGAGAACCTGTTGCGGAAGGTATTGCGTGCCGTTGTGAAACAGTCTGGGTGACTCCCACCGGGGTATCTCAGGCCCATGATAAAAAAAAAGAAGAAGAAATCCGACAAAGAGACTGCAATAAATTACCGATCACAACTGACGAGCTCCCAGTTTCGATAACGAAGGCAATTCCCCCGGGGCCCGATAAAATTCCTCAACCGTTCTCTCAATTCATCCCCCAGAATTGAATTCATTCAATTTGTTCCCGAAGAAGTGCCTCAAAGCATTCCAATGCGAAACTCGAATTTCCATCCCTAGACTTTGAGAAATAAAAAACAATTAAACAGATGTTTATGTCGGGGAAATACCGAGATTATTCAGAGGTTCTGATATTACCTCATATACCACATGCACTTGAAGAGAAGTGGAATGCCGAGGATGGAGGTGGGGATAACATCGATATAAGCCACGGGAACACCCGGGCTGACGACATTTCTCGTGCCAAGTGCTAAACAGATTGAGTGAATAGAGACTTTCCAATAAAAAAAAACATCTAAAATTCACGTTTCCCAAGTGATAAAGGTGAAAAATAAATAAATAAATACATCGGTACACCGTGCTGTTACTGCGTTTACAATTTCAAATATTTCACGACTAGTGCATTATAAATCGGCATCGACACGTGATTTTTACGTCGCACACTGAATTACGAGTGGTATATAATCGGAAATATTTCCCTCAAAGCCGAGAAAATTCAACCCACGTTCAGTGAAGTGTGTAAGGGTGTTGGTGCTGAAAGAATAAATAGAGAATTATTTGAAATCATGGCATGCGAGAGTCTGCAAAATGTACCGATCATTGCCATCAACCAGAGGTGAGGATGTACTATCATTACATTTTATTGCATCATTTTCACTTGATATCTCTCGGATTATCAGGAATGAACAGTCAGATCGCAATTATCGAGATAGTCGAGTGCTATTCTATTTTTTAATCGGTCGTTGAAGTTTATTTATATTACGAAAATCGAATATTCAATTTCAATAAATTGTCAATCGATTTCAGGCGAAATTTTCTCTTCACCATTTTACGATTTTCATTGATCACCGATTTATCTCGAAAACGATTGCTTCAGGGTAGAAACGTCAGAGATCTTTTTTGTAGTCAATTAAATTCCCATCAAAAAAGATCTCTCGTAATTTTCCCCTGAAACCAATAGCATCCGAGATAAATCGATTCTCAGAGCGATATAATTACTCGACTGTTGTATTACCGATTTTCTTTGAACATATAAAATTGATGAGTCATTTCTGTAAGTCTACAAGATAAAAAAATTCCTCGAATCATTGAGATATCATCACTTGGCTGTAAACTAAATGAAAAAATGAATCAATCACAAAAATATCCGCAAAAAAAACGATAAGATAAATTTGATAACCGATTTTTCGTTCCCTAGGAAAGCATCTGCATTATCTCGACCGGAGGAAGTGCCATACTGGGGTGATAATGCCCACATTACCTGTGGAATGCTTCCAACATTGCGTGTACTTGCATCACGAGGTTGCGAGTGCCAGGGGAGTGTCTGCCTGGTGCCAACGGATGCCAATACAGATTCTGCGAGTCATCTGCAGATGACCCTATTGGAGGCATACTGCCGAGAGATAGGTATTCAAGTTGTTCGAGTTCGTGAGGATGCCCTTCGATCAGCAATAGGTCCAAAGAATCGAGATATATCCTGTGTTCTACTCACCAGGGAAGACTTCCTCGAGGCACCCGAATGACTCATCCTGGATTGAACGAGGAAATTAATCTTATCTGGACAGATATGATATCAGAACCGGCGACATACACGTGTCTGGGTACAATTATCGCTGGACTGACGATATTTTTATCGTCGTTACTGATACAATCGAAATCGAAGGGACGAAATATTTTTCGCTATTTTCTATTTTATCTGGGCTATTGCCTCGATTTTTCTGGGGTAAGCTCTCGATTTTCGGAAAATTGGGCGACCCACTGGGGATTTGCAGATTATTCACGTGGAGGTGGTGACAGAGGAGTCGTGGAATGAATGAAAACTTCCTGGGGAGTTTCCTGGGGAGTCACTTTAACGGAATCGCTTTAATTGAATCTTCTACTCAAATGGTAGAATCGGATAAGTTGACTCTGTAATTTTTGACTTAAGAAGTTTTAATTAATTGGAAAATGAGGATAAACATACAGTTTTCAATTTTTTATTCAATTTTCTATGGACTTGTAATACGAGGATTTTTTTAATAAAAAAATCGACAGTCTTTAAGTGTTTTTTTAACGAAAAACTCTGCATTACGATGAATATCTCGGAATCCAGAGGAACTAGCGGAAAAGTCGTGGGGAAGTTTTTGTAGGTTTCACTTTCCTCTGAAAAAAAGTTCCCTTGACCTTTCTATGGCCTCCTCTCAATCTCGAGATATTCCGAGAAAACCAAGCACTTGATCTGCCATGAAATGACGATCTTCGCTTTTAATTATTATTGTGTTCCTTAATTTCTGGAACTCTAACAATACACACAAAATATGTACTATATACCATCACCTATAAATTATTGTAACACCGCAGAAGCAAGGTATCAATAAATAAATGGAATTTCTAAAAAAACCATAAACATTTATTCACAACGAGAACCCGAATTTTTTCCTAAACAGGTTGTATTAAATCGTATCACCCTGCTCTCCTCTTTACAGCTGGCGAAATATCTGCGAAATTCAAATATATCAACGGTGGAGGATCTGAAAATTCTGAGTGTGACGTGAGTAGGTAGACGAGTCTATTAAACCCCTTGAAAAAGCCAGAACTCTCGCTGATTACACTCTCCACTCCCATAAAACAGTTCACAATATCAAAAATAATTTTGCCGTTATTAAACAGGCCGTCGGCAGAAGTTACATTTAACTTCTTCGGTGTCACCGGTGACGGGGATAGAATAAGAGAAACCCTGAATCGTCTCGTTCAACGTAGACGTCTCAGTGACTTTTCGTTGGAGTCCACACACTTTACATTCCAGCAGAAACCCTCATTAAGACTCCAGGTTTGACTATCTCTGTGGGGATTTCTTATTCATCCACAGTCTAATTAATTTCTCCTCTTTTTCTTTCCGGTAGAGCTTACGGGTTAATCATGTTAATGAACGAGACGTACGATTGGGGGATCAGTTTATCCTGTCGTGTATCGCCCAAGGAAGCGATGAAATCAAATTCATTTGGTACAAGGATGATATGCTCGTCAATATGAGCAAGTCTACGAGGTAAATCTACTCCTCGTTTCATCATTTTTCTCTACTCTGTCTATTTTATTTCACTGAAAATGTTACATTTAATCTGGAGATTTTTTCAGCTCTGGTGAGCGATCCCCGGATTTTTTCCCATCACAAACTTTGAAAGCGAAAAAAAGTTAACGGACAATTTTTTTTCTCAAGTCTGATCATTGGTTATTGATTTTTAAGTAGAAAAACTCGGGATTCCTAAGAGCGAGAAGATCATATGAAATTTCGGAATTAATAGAGTCAATGCCGAATCTATATTCATTACTCTCAATATTTATAATTATAATTAAAGTAATAACAACTCAAGTCGATACTTGAAAACGAAATAAAAATGAAATAAAAATTAAATTAAAATGAAATAAAAATGAAATTCATCCGTGTTGTTTCCATGACGTTTCCGGGGGTAACTTTACCGGGGAAAACTCCGAGGATAGAAATTTTTCCCATGACAACTGTCCACTGTCCTCTCAATTCCATTAGTATTGACACAGGACATTAATTCTCACAGAGAGATATGGTACCGAGAATTGCCAGATGACGGTACAGACGTGCATACATCACTCCTGACGATTGACAAGGCGACACTATTAGACGCAGGTCAATACACTTGTCGTGCAATTGATTGGGGTATGGAGCAGTGCAAGAGTATTAATATAGACGTGAGAGACGAGCCGGATGTCAAAGTTGTGCCCATGAGTGCAACTATTGAAAAAGGAAATAACATCCAGTTGTTGTGCATTACACCGAATATGAGGAGTTTGGGTATTGGTTTTGGATGGACCAAGAATCGAGCTCTGCTGAAATTAGAGCCAGGTCATCAGGTATGGGAGGATCTCTATCCTGCTGGGAGTATTCTCAAGATCATCAATGCCCAGGTAAACACTGGTAATTCCATCTCATCGACATGACTAATGAATTTCTATTTGATTCACTATTTGGATAGTTCTCGATTATCTGAATTGTGGTACAAACTGATGGGCGCGGTCAATTCCATTGACTAATGACACTTTATTCCGAATAATATCTTTCAATATTTCAATCTGAATTAATTTTTTCAGCAATTACCCTGCAGCGTAATGAATTTTCATTGATGATTATTAATTCACTCTTAATAATTCGACAATTAAATTGGATTCTCTATTTTAAAATAAGTTACTAATTAGTAATTAATTAGGGATGTGCTTGAAATATTGGATTATATTAATGAGCCCTTCAGGAAATGGGGAAAATTATGTTGAATTATGAAGGCTAATGGGAAATTGCGAAGACGATTTTATTTTTAAGTGAATTCTCAACATCGAAAATTCAGATTCAACTGTCACAGGTATTTCTGCGAATTGTTGTTGAGACTTTCATGATTTTTCCTTCGAAACTCCGGGATAAATTATAACACGACACACGGGCCAGATAAATTTTGCTGATTAAAATATAATCCTTGAGGAATTGATCGTATTAGTTTCGACTCCAGTATAGTTTTCGAGTTATGGAAATTCTTCAATACTTTGATAACTTTATCGTGGGGTTTTGGCCACTTCCTATGGAGATTTACAAAATCTCGAGGGATCGCGTTGAACTTTCAGAGATATGCATGAGACTCGGCGAAATATCGAGGCAATTTCATGAATTTCAATACGGAAGTTGAATTATAGTGAATTTCGGTTGAGCTGTTAAAAGGTATAATATCGAGGGCTTCTTATCAGTCCTCATTTGGGTCTTGGTCCCAACGATATGATTCCAGAAATCAGCGATATACACCTGCAACATTGCTCAGCGCTCGATGTCCGTCAGAGTGGAAGTGGTGAATCGTACTTTGATACCGATATGCCCTGAGGATTACTCCTGGGGCTTAATCTGGCCCGAGACTGGGCCCAACTCCGAGGCTCTTCTGGAATGTCCTCGGGACTTTGTCGGGCCTAGAGTGTCCAGGCTCTGCTCCATGAGGGACGCAAGTACTTCCATCTGGCAATTACCTGATTTCTCAGAGTGTTCATATCAACCCTTCATAGTACCTTACTCTAATGTAAGTACAATCTACCCTAATTACTCTAGAAAATTATTCTTCTTCAATTCTGGGACTTAAACTCCCCCATAATCCAGTGAATCAACAAAAAATGATGAGTTGAATTCATCAGCTTTTTTCACAATTAATTAATCTCGATAACTATTGATTTTAGCAAAAAATATCAGAAAACCTTTTTTGGGGAAAATTTATTCACCTACAAAAAAGTCCTTTCGAGTTTTCGTGTCAAATTGATAGCTTTCGAGATAATTGACGGTTCATAAAGATGTTTTTCGTTTTATCTCACTCAATCAACGCGATAATTAATTGAGACTCTAATTAATTTCCATCGCATGGGATTTCGATTTATTTATAATACAAAAATGAATAACTCGTTGAAATGCTTTAAAGGATTGAAAATCGTTTAGAATTTTTCAAGTTTTTGGGCGTATAATTCCGGAATAATTCATTCTCCCCCAAAACTTTAATTGAAATCGAAATTTCAATTAAATTTCATTACAACTGGTACTTCAATCCCCACCCCACCGACTGGAACGATTAAAACCGAGGGTATAATAGAACTTTGAATATTCCCAATTACTCTCCATCAACGAAGAATTAAGTAGTGAAGTGATGAAACGATTCGAGTAAATTATCTTCAACTCCAAAGATATCCGAGACCGTGCGGCACCATTAGACGACTTTATGTTTAAATTTCTCAATAAATTTTATTTCAGTTCCGAAGTTTAACGTTAGGCTATCAAAATACGACAGGCGCAAAGACAATCATCTCATTGTGGGAGGCAATGAGATCTAGGAAATTGCCCCTGTACCCAGGGGAGGGTGATAGACTATTAAGTATCCTCTCGATGATCGAGGACTATCAGAGATCGACAAACGATCTTGATGACTTGTACAATTCCGCTGAAGCATTGACGAGAATAGTTAATAGAATACTTAATGATGAGAATTCAATACTGACGAGGGATAAGCAGTTGCTAGTTCAGGAGCTTACCCTCAGAAATTTGGGGTACTGGACGAGACTTTTAATTTATCCCTATAAGCATCTCGCATTGTCGTCGATCGTCGTCGACATTCAGGCCCTTCATGCCGTTGAGGATGACTGGAGGGAGTACCTCCTGCAGGTGCCCGTGGATGATTACATGTGAGTATACTAATACTCCCACAAATTTTCTCCACAAAATCTCATCCGGAAAACTATTCGTACCAGCAACTCGTTGAAAAGGCAAAGAAAAATAAAAAAATATAATAGAAAAAAGAATTAATTAAAAGCGGAAAAAACTTTTTACATTAATTCTTTGAGTAGCAGAAATTCTCAGCGCGGTTTTTTAAAGGGAGACCCGGAAATTTTTATAAAATGGGAAAGTTAAGGGGAAATTAAATTAATCATTTTGAATTTCAATGGAAAACGGAATTTAAAATCTCTGCGTGGGAGATTGCCTCGAAGTTTTATTTTTATTTATACAATGAAAAATAGGGAAAACGTTTTGTTTTTGCTAGGATATGGAAAATTTTATATTATTGTTTTCATTTATATCAAATGGAAACAGTGTTGAATTTGGCAATTTCTATCCCTCGGGGGATCTCTCAGAGAAATTGTGTCCGAGGTAGAATCACAATGAATAATAATGACTTCGTTATTGTTACCATTATTTCCGGAATAATAATAAATACGAAAATTGTTCTGGCGCTCGTTGCATTGGGATAAATGAAAGCGTTTGAAAAAAAAAATCACAATCTCAAATAACCATTCGTCGAGATTGATGCGAGTTAATGGAATAATTCTTGCAGGTATCCCCCTTGGTACAGCGATAGGATAACGATTCGTCTCATCCGATCAGAAATCGACGTGAATATAAATAAAACTTTCAGTGGAATTGTGATTGTATATAAAAATATTACAAAATTCCTGCCGACTACATACGTAAAGGAACTCGAGTGAGTACCAGTACCTGAAATACTATTTGCTTTATCTATTTACGAACTTATACGATCCCATAAAAATGGCATCTAAATCCTCAATCCCACGGAATTCAATTCAACTCAAGATTCGACTATTATTTTTTCCACATCTCGTATTTCTCCAATTTAACATGAACAATTGGAAGAATTTAAACAAATGAAATATCAATCCAGCGATCATTTCGCAGAGTAATATAATTTCCATAATTAATGTGTAAAACAAATAATTTCGCAGATTTTTTCCGCATCTCGTATTTCTCCAATTTAACATGAACAATTGAAAGAATTTAAACAAATGAAATATCAATCCAGCGATTATTTCGCAGAGTAATATAATTTCCATAATTAATGTGTAAAACAAATAATTTCGCAGATTTTCTCCACATCTCGTATTTCTCCAATTTAACATGAACAATTGAAAGAATTTAAACAAATGAAATATCAATCCAGCGATCATTTCGTAGAGTAATATAATTTCCATAATTAATGTGTAAAACAAATTACTGGTGACTGATTGCACCGAGGAAATGGATTTGGCTAGAAAATGGTTTTTCCGGCAGTGTAATCCGTCATCCCGTCACTCGATCAATTAGCAAAAAAAGCAATTATCCAAATGGTAAATGATGAATGTTCCAGGGATGGAACGGACCTGGAGTATCGTTTTAATTCTCGACTGGTGACCGTAGCTCTTTCACCATCCCTGGATGATCGCAGTGACTCAAAAGTTCAGATAGAACTCAGAATGCGATATCTGCAGAATATCACTGGCTCGTGGAACGTATCCTGTGGAGTTGAAGACCACACGGGGTCCTGGGATTTAGACTCGTGTGCAGCAACATTAATCAGGGATGAAAGCTCAACCCAGTGTTTGTGCACAAAGCCAGGAACTTTCGCGGTATTTCTAACTGCCCGAGCCACCAAAGATCCACTAGCACATGATAATCAAACCACGTTCATAGTTCTTCTGGGGTGTGAACTGTGTCTGTTGCAGAGTACGATATCATCTTTCATTCTCGTATTTCATCTCTGGAAAAACCGGAGTTGGATGAATTTTTTGAAATTACAGTGCGCCACTGCTGTCGTTGGGGCAATGGCTGTTTTCATTTACGCCATTCAGAGTTCGTTGTCTCAGGTAAGTACTCATGAGATCATTTTGTTTTTATCTTACTGCTGATTGGATTCTTTTTTGAGGGGCGGATTGTCGGGAAAAAGTTGTCGAGTAACTTTTCACGGAGTTGCCTCGATAATAAGGCTCCGCGCTTTTAAATTAATTGTTTTTTCTCAGTTTTGCTTTTTTAAAAATTTGTTATCAGTTTTAAAAATTGGAAAATTGATAGTATGAAGTTGTATTATTTTTATTTGATGCTGGGGCCCAGAGAAATCATGATTTTTTGGGAGATATTCTTTTCATCTGACGAGAAATCATGATTTTTTATCTCACAAAGTTAATTTAATTATGAGAGTTGTAAAAGTTATTGAAATATTTGGGATTTTGAATGGAGACCGGGAGATATCGAAAATAGGAATGAAAATTGATTGGACGTTGGGAAATATCCGACGAAAAATCGTCAGAGTATCTCAACCTATTTTATTTATTTTGGTGTCTCTGATATTTTTTCGTACTTCACTTCGACATGTTACAATTACAGAACATATTTTATGATTTTTATTGACCGAAAACCGCCCGAGAGGTCAAAATTTTCCTCTCAATTTTCAAATCCCTCTAGATACTCCTTCAAAATTATTTTGAAATAAAAATTCGCATGAATTAATTCATGAATATTAATGCTGCATTGAAAATTCACTGAAATAACAAATTTTTCATTTTCCTCCTAAAAACTCTGTTTCTACCGGAAATTCGATTGACCGTAACTGTAACTTTGATAAAAATTCTTCTAAAATCGATAGTTGAATAATAAATGAGGAGAAGAATAAAGCCCCTGGATTTCACCAGATATGAGGCAGAAGTTGAGAGGAGATTTGTATTTGTAAATGCGGTAGATTCATATGATAATTCAATGTATACAAATTCCGTGAATGCTCCTCTTACGTGCAACACAAATTGCAAGCTTCATATAACTACCGATCCTAATAAAAACTTGGTCTGTGCACGGTACCTGCGAGAGGTATTTGCAAAGACTTTGTAACAACTTGCTTGAGAAACTACTCGAGTAGAGGACAAAGGAGCCGTGCTAAACTGTGCCGGCACAATGCGACGAAAATTTCTCGATTTAATCAGTACAGGGGGTTGAAAAACATTTTTCCAACTTTTCACTTTTGAGAAAGAAGAGGAAGGGGAAAAAAGTTTTTAATGTCTTGAGTATACCTGGGTGTGATAACCCGCGGAGTGAGCATTAGCAGTAAAACAAGTTCAACGAGATTTTCGAGAATAAAGATTTTCCGCAGCTGTGCCATGATGAGTTGAACATTGTTTGTCTCCAAACAATTTCCATTCTTCAATATTTGCCCTCAAGTTTAGCGGCAACATTAGAGAAATCCAATTACAGTCGAGAGCTTCTCCAATGTATCAAATGTCCCCTTGACAATTCAACTCACTCACAAAGAGATTTAACTAAAAAAACTAGAACAAACGAGAAAAGCGCTGTTTAATTTCCCACTAGATTATCTATATCCTCAATAATCATTTTATTATTTTATTCTTCAGCCCTCAGCCTCTATTCCCTCCCACTCGATCGAGATTTAAATAGTACATTTTACTTTGGGGAGGACTTTTTAACCAACAGTTATAATATCATAATAAATCATCAATAAATTTTATTAAATTTTTCTTTTCATCATAATTAATTATCTATTATTATGCATTAAATCATTTGATTGCAGAGTTCCTATGCAATAGTGGCAGTGACTCTCGAGGCATTTCTTCTGATCGGCATGTCATCCCCAATATCTCAAGCTTTAATAATCTACGCGGATCTGACTCAAGTGCGTCCGAGTCAGCAGTTTCAGCCAACTGTGATAGCCGTGATAACCGGCCTCCCAATTATCTGCATTTTAACAACTGAATTGACCCACAAAAGCACCGGATGGCGACACGAATCCTGGTGGTTAATTTTTGGCACTGGTGTTTACAATATATTTGTCAGCTGCGTTGCAACAATGCTATCAATATTTTTGGTGCTGTACAGTGGAATTCTGTGGAAAGCCCATGCCCTCATGGATCAAAGGTCTGTCAAGAGAAAAAGCATTGATGGAAAAATTGGATTACTCCATCGAGCTGCCCTCACTGTTTGCGGGCTTATCGTTGTCGAGGCCGCATCTATACTTTACGTTAATTCTTCATCTGTGATTTATCATTATTTTTTCGGTGGAATATCAATTGTTCTGGTGAGGAGGTGAATTATCGTGTGCTGTTGGCAAGTAATTGAGAATCCAGGTGTTCATGTTTATTTTATTTTTTTTCAGGGATTTGTTATATTGCTTTCGTATATAGGTGGAGGAGAAGTCAGACTGTTTGCACCGATTCTCAGGAAGCTGAGGTTTCAGGAGGATGTGCAGATTAAATCTGATTCAATTAAATGTGAGTAACCGCTCTGAACGCTGATGAGAAGTTCGTTGGTGGAATTTGTTAATTCAATCGCACAATTCGGGAAAGTTCCACTAATAATAATAATTATTATTATTATCATTGTTATTGGATTACTAATTAGCAGAATAATATTATGTATAAATTCGTAAACTCAGTTGTTTATACAACGCGGATTAATTAACGGGCAATTTGATATCACGAATTCTCTGAATTTAATCAAATATTTAAAATATGGTCTAACAGGTCAACATTCGTAATTAAATGCGAACCTTGAGAAGTTAAATGAAATAAACATTTATTAAATGATATACCACTTTGCCGAAAGGTAAAAATTCCTCGGTTAACTTCTCACATCGCCACATGACCCCATCCTAGAATCCCAACGAGAATTGTTTCAAGGAATTTTTATTATTTTAGAATAATGAGTAATATTGAATTATTAAATTTATTATTCTCATAAATATCGATTGGTAATTTTATGGAGCCTTAATCTCGAGTAACGAAAAACATCATTGACCTCAGTTCCAGGAAAAACGACAGAGTCGCAGAACGAGGGCACAACGTTATCATCGGGAACGATGCTGAATGGTCGAGGGTGCAGAGGGCACGTGGGCTCGACGGAGAGTCACGATTACATCAAGGAAATGCCACCGTCCCATGAGAAATCGTCTCGTTATCCACGTCGACCTGATCCCCGAGTATCGAGAACCGACGACATAAACCTGGAGAACTACAGCACAAGCCCTCGAAAGTACCACGAATCGAGGAAGTACTCTAAAACAATTTCACCCCAGAATCAATACTGCCCTCGCGGTTTCCACGAGGTCAATTCCAGGAGTATTCAGCCTCAAGATTCCCCGAAACTCGTGAATTCCCGAGATATTCAAACATCAACCTGTGCAGATGCTGCAACTGCCGAATGCTCAACAACAGTATTATGTAGTGTCGATATTGAAACGAGGATAGGTTTAAGTGCCATGCCAGACGTCACTCTGGCCACTAAAAGTGATACCGAGCATTCCAACAATGTCGAAATTATTCCTCGTGATATAATAAATGTGATACCGGATATAGCAAGCACTGGTGGACGAAAGCAGCCCGATGGCGAGGAGAAGAGTGAGGACATTGGTAATTGTGAGAATACTGCTGGAATGCTTGATCGCATTTCCCATGATCTCGATTATTTGTTGAATCGCACTGGTGAAGAAGCCTGAATAATTTAATTAAGGTCGCTATCGACATTCCAGGCACAATGTCCCTGCTCACAACAAGAGGTGGATTTTTTTTACAAATGGAAGAGGAAATGAGGAGCGAATGAATCAGGAGTGAGGAAAAATTCCGTAGGGTGGGGCAAATTAAATGGATTTCATCGGAAATTTCTCGAGTTGGAATTGGACGTGTCCAGTGTCATTTTCAAGGGGTTTTTATGCTTTAGGAGGTGAGAGGAATTCATCTGACTCCGAACATTTTCTGGGGAGTATTTGAGAATTGATAAAATACCTCAAATTTTTTGAAACAATTTTACTCAGACTGAGAATTTAATTCTTGAGGGGCCAGAATTTTTTCCATTGTCTGCACTCAGAGAAAAATTAACAGATTTTTTTGATAAATCTCGATTATTAAAAATTGGTTGAGAATATAGAATATCTGATGGGTCATTTGTTTCTAATATGATTAATTATACTTTTGGATAGATTCTGAAATATTCAGAGAACCAATTTCACTCCTGATTTATCGCACATCATTTCCCAGGAAATCGGTACGAACTCTCCATAACGATACGAATTTATTCCGCTCAAAATACTGAATGTTTACGCATTGAGATTTAATTTTTCCAAGATTTATAGACGTATGGTTTGTGAAGGGATGAGTCAGACGAATGAAAGTGAAAATGTCAAAAAAGTAAATAGAACGAAAATACAAGTCCTTCCTCTTTCGAGTTATTACAGTATTTATTCGTCGTACAGCCCTTGTTTTCATAATATCAACGATTCAGTCCTCGCACTCTTTCCTATTCTCCCCCATATTCTTCGTTTTACTGCTGTTATAATTGTGATTTCTTTCAGATATTATAAAGCTATACATTGACTTTTATGTCATAGTCTAGTTACATATCTAAGATGAAGATTTATGCTGTTGGTTTTTTTTTACCTTTAATTATGGTTAGTCGTTCACGTAGTCAAATGCGTCTTTGAATTTGATTTAATTTTAGCCAGTTCTGTTCATTAATTTTTCAATTATCTTCAGTTTAAAATCGAGGTATGAAATTGGAGCAGTTTTTTTTTTCTCCCATTGCTCAAGCACGCATTTATTTAATCTAGGTTTCGACGGGGTATTCACTGACAGTTGGAAATGTACGCAATTTCGTACTTGAAGAAAAGACTTTTCACATCTCCGGGGAATGCAAATTTATTTCGATAGTGCATGACTTTATGAGGAATTATCCATTTTTGCTATGAGATGAGAAAAGTCTCCGACATTTGAGTCTCCAGAAATATTATCATACCAACGACTCATACTTCCCAAAAATCACAATAAAAATTAATGATAATAATTCAAGTGATTACCCCTTCGACACTTCCGCCCCATTAAATGCAAAAGACATAACAAGATAGATGTTAGTGGTTGTTAATTCTCGAATATACCTATATGACTAGTTTTCCTGCCTCCGCAGACATTCTTCTTAAAAATATAAATTATTTACAGGGATTTTCAGCTAATTTCATCGAGATTTAATAATCTTGGTTTCTTTAATTACATCAATAATACCCAAGTGAATCGCCGTGGCTCTTCCAATATCAATCAACAATTTTCCCTCCCACCTGTCGCCAAATCGATTGAGTATCAAATTCCTTACAAACCACTGTTGCGTTTTAATTGCGATAGGCTATCATTTAATTCAATAGAAAAGAATATGAAGAAATGACGGAAGAGTGCGATATCAATCGCCAATCTCGCTCTACCAGACGAGCCACCCCTGCCAGAACGAATGAAAGACATTTCCAAAGCTCTCGGATTTAAAAGGACGCATTTATTAAGTCGTACGTTGTGATAAATAAAGTGGCGAATTAAAATTTTGAGCTATTCAATAGAAAGATAATTTTATACTAATGTATGGTCTCTTCTCAAATTTGTACATGTCAAAATAAAATCTTTCTATGTATTAAAAGGTCAACGTTGATTTTTCAGAATACATGAAATCTCACCTCGGAATTAACATTTTCGAATTTCATTTTCTTACGCAGACGTATAGTTAAATTCTATTGAGTTCGAAGACGCTATTTTGCCGATATAATTCATCGATTCATCGTATTATAATCAACGGTGGTCCTGGTGAGATAATTAAAAGTAATTCAGTGGAGAAGTAGTGGCAGGTGATGAGAAAAATAATTTGTCTAAACCCTAATAACTAGTGAATTGTCCTGATAATGAGAGGAATAATTACAAATAAAATGGAAAAGTCAATTCTCACTTCACCAATTTTCCACTGAATTATAATCTCCAATCTCTGATTAAAAAAAGCAATTGTCATCAACAGTCACGAATTATTTGGATATGATGTTAGTGTGAATTAAAATTGGAGAAAAAAAAAATAGATATAACGATTTAATATAAAAAAATAGGAGGAGCTCAGCCACGGCAGCCACTTACCCCCAGATACCCCTCTCAATCGCAGTTACTTAAAAATATAAAAATACATAGCCAGTCTATACATCGAGCGTGCAATGTGGCACAGTGAAATGATTTTACTGAGTATCATGGATGGTTAACTGCCACTATCAGTAATCGTAGGTGGTTCAGCATTATCAGTATTTGTGCATGATCTAATTGTCGAATTGGAAAGCCCTGTTAATTTTGGCGTTATATTAATTACACTGTCGTTGATTGGTGGCACAGTATTACCTACGGAGTTATCTAAATTCTGTATGCATGGAAATTCTGGATCTGATAATAGCAGTGTCGTTTGACTAGGTAAATTAGTCAAGGATACCATTCCTGGATTCATCAGTTGTTTGCTGAAACAACTTCGCAAAGCTTCCTCTATTAAATTTCCTATTTTATCACGGTCATCCTGCAATTAATACCAAATTCAGTATTAATACATTTTTCATTGTATAATCAATTAAAATCATAGAGAACACCCCAAAAAAAAAATCACCTCATTGATAAATCCAAAATGTACGAGCTCTTGTGCAAGTTGCATTGACGTATCTGTTTGTGAGACAGGGCACGTCAGCTGCCTGTTCATTTTATCGTCCATTCGTAACAATATCGTCATCTGAAAATACACATAATCTCAGTACTCACGAAAATTTTTACGACTCAATGGAAGCCCAGGGTATACTCACAAGCAACTCGCAACTTTCCTCTCTAGGCTTAACGTTGCACATCATATTTACTACCCTACGCGTCTCTACATCGACTGGCTCTGGTGTTACGGATTTAACTGACTCAGTGACTTCAGGTGATATGGCCCGTGGACGAACTGGGGGTGGCAATTTTGCTATGAACGCTGTCAGAGGATAAATCCCATACCTGGGGATCAAATAAAAAATCGAAACCATAAACTCCAACTGTAGAAATGAAAAAAAAAAGAGGGTACAGTTAAAATTGATGGGTAATAGTCACTGAAGTGTCTCCAGAGAATTCACTAATTGCTAATAAATAAAAAAATGAAATACAATTTTTGTTTAATTCAATTGAGTATTAAAACCTAGTGAGCAATGAGAAATTTATTTACAATTCTAAATAATTACAAAACTCACTTGACATCTTCCACGAATTTCTCCAATTTCTCAGCAACTGGTATATCACTGAGTCGTATTTGGTGTGGGGGTCGTCCTTGATATCTAATTTCGGCGAGTACAGTGTCCGGTCCATATAACCTCTGCAGTACCTCATCCGTAATTGTTTCCGATATATTTGCTGAGGACAAATAAAATCAATCAATGATAATTCCCCTCATTACGTAACAACCGACAAAACAAGGATGAATACTCACTGGCAGAATTGACGAGAGCATGTGCTGCGAGTAATTTGAGCGAATGTACCTCGAACAATACTGGATGGAATAATAATTCACGTGCACTCGGCCTACTGTCAGGATCAGCCTGGAGACATTTGCTTATGAAGTCCTTCTGTTGAGCATCGTCTAGTGACTCTATTGTCTTCCTTATATTATCTTCGGTTACCACTGTACCACTGTCACCGTTTCCCTGTATCTCAAGGGCAGCCATTTCAAGGGCACACATGCCAAACGAGTAAATGTCAATGGCTGGTGTTAATGAATCTGTAAATTACAAAAATCTCGATTATTCAAAAAATCCAAGTATCTTTGCCACTTTTTTCTCATCACAATTTCAAACCAATAAATTTAATTATTTTTATATTATTAATAATTAAAATAATTAGGAAATTGTTAATGAATAAAAAAATTATTCCATCTTCCAACGCTTGATGATGAAGAGTTTTAATAGAAAACGTATTTTTTCAAGGATCCACCTACTTCCATATTCTGGTGGAACAAAGTGGATATTTTTGACATTAGATCTGCAGGTCTTGACGCGGTGATGAATGGCCTCTGGAGCCACTGTAAACAAAAAATATATATTGATAAAAATAGATTCACTCGCATCAATTGAATGATTACCGGGGTCACTTAGCCCATTGGACATAATGACACATGTGCCCAGCCCACACCGAATTGATATGCTAATCAGTTGACGTTGATCTCAAATGGAGACCACAAAACCCAAAAAAAAAATATATATCAATGACAATCTAAGATAAATGTTTACGAACCCGAGCCTATTTTGACGAGACCGTTGTGTTGAATAAATATTGTATCACATGTTAGATTTCCATGAACAATGGGAGGTGAGCAGGAATGCAGATAGCTGAAATAAAACACAGAATATCATGTTAAAATTCTTAAGAAATTGTCACTCGAGTTGTGAATGACAGCAGTCATCGGTTTCATAATGTTTTACCTGAGTGCTGAAAGAATTTGCGTACACCACCGCTTCCACGCCTGCAGCGGTAATTTCTTGACATTTCGCTTTGTGCGTTTTAGGAATTGCTTCAACGATCCAGACGACATGTATTCGGTTATAAATATTACCTGAAAAACAATAAATTCCATTATCCACATCTCCCGTTGTATTTTACCCCAGACTTCCAATCACCAAAAAACCAAAAATCAAAATCAATAAAAATCTCGTACATCCCCTCGTTAACCAGATAATTGACAATAAAAAAAATTCACGTAATACCTGACATTTACAACGATTGATTTTCACCTGTTCATTAATGTCAATCCATCTTGATAATAAAAAATTGGATGGGAGAAATGTCATTATGAATTTAAAGATTAGAATATTTCCAAAGCAACCGGCAATTCTCCCCCATTCAACCCGATATAAATCGACGATACGAAAAGTTTTTGATTACATAATGCCGATCCATCGATATCAACTTACTCTCGGTTTGTCATTATGTGTGTCCGTCCAATACCTATGAAACTTGACGATATTGGGATGCTCGAGTTGCGTTAAATTTTCAAAGACAAGTTGAATCTTCTCCTCCTGCGCTTTGAAATTCTTCCTCTCAGAGAACTGCACCTCATTCCATACAACCTCGACACCCTCTTCGGTGTCCATCGCCAAATAGGCACAATCAATTCCAGGAACATCTCGTTGTCCAACCTAGAGTTATAATAAACAATATCTACTTGACGTATATCAACTTGTCGTGATTAACTTATCAATAATGCCTGCGCAATATTTAGTCATTGAGTACGAGGGAGTTGTCATTTTATCGTTGTCAATATTATAACGCAGATTGTAAATAGAAAAACAAATGTAAACGGAAAAATAAATGAGCCCAGAGAGATATTCGCAGTTGGAACGGGCTCTCGTGTCTCTTTGTCATTACATGGATGTGGCCTTGCCAAGAATTTAAGAAGATGATGAGTGGGGATTGTCTAGGTGGACAGGGGGAGGAGATGAGGTAATTCAACCATTACCGATGTGACTTATTACCCTGCAGACATTTACATTCATTGATGGACTGAAATGCCATGACGATTCAACTACAATAACGCTTACATCGGGGGAGGTTAATCGATCGACTAAAAATATATATTTCCAAGTTCAATTCGTACACTTTGTTGAATATTTCGGGGCTTTTGCACGATTCCGGCTTTGAATTTTACAGGGCTCGGGAAATTCGTTGGGATTCATCGTCAGGAATTGAATAAAAAATTAACATTTGACAAAGTGAATAAATTTACAGAGATATTTTACTGGGGAATATTGAGGGAATAAAATATTGATAATTCTTAAAATTTTTCTTTAAAATTTCCAATGAAAAGATAATAATTATCCTGAATATACCTCCATCTCAGATACGTCGTTATCACTCCTGAGCCCTCCAAAATTCGTACCATCAGCCAGCGTTGACTTGGAGCCCACATAAACCTGCAAAATGCCACAAAAATTCTTCCTCTAAAACCAACCCATCATCCCAATCGAAAACACACAATAATGATGTCACGACTCCCGATGATTGCCAAAAATTCATGCAGCCTATTCTTAGGTTGAAATTGAAAAACAGAGTCGATACCCGGTGAATACCCAGCCAACCGAATATTCTTGCCAGAACTCGATAATCAAACTAAATACCTCAACCGATATCTCGTTATCTCGAAAAATATTGTAACTTCTGACGTTTGTTTGTGGATTTTAATTGTCGAATATTGCACGTTCGATTTGATAACCACCCACGGTAATGATTAGAAATAGAGCAGGGTCGACTCTTGGTATGTATATCAGTTGTTTGGGACTGCGGTTAGACCACTATTGGAATTATCAGGCACAAACGAGTTCATGACGATCCGTTGATAATAATATAGGGGATTTTAAAGATAAATAGACCTTGTTCAATTATTAATAACTCTAGACCGAATAAGGTTCGATGAGTAGAAAAAGAGAGGAGAAAGATGATTTCTGTTCGTTTATCAGGAGTTGGTGATTAAAAAATTGGGGGTAATAAGGGAAATATAATAATGGAAAAAATAATATTTCTATTGAAATTTGAGGAATCTCGAGATCGAAACGTCAAGTCGTTTATTTTTTTACTCTGATCAGTGGAAATTTATAGAGTACTTGATGTTGGGAATCAATGACTCTGGGAAAAGTACAAAAATATAAAATTCATGATATTTGGTATATGAATATTCATGTTCCACGGAGAATTGAGAAATCTGCATTTCATTTCCATTAGAAACTCATGAATTCTCTGGATTTTAAATTAAAACTTGAATTTTCATATCCATTTTCCGCGAAAATTTAATTTAATTAGTCCCACGACAATTGCTGTTGCATTTCGCATGGAGTTTCGAACCCCCAGAAACTGAATTTTAACAATAAGAACTTCGAATGTCTAGTTACACCCGACGAAAAAAAAATCTTTCATTTCGCAATCTTTCAATCTCTCTCCAGATTTTAAAAAAATATCTCAAAATAGAAAAAAAATCCGCTGAATTTCTCTCTATTGATCTCAAATACTGTCAATTAAACGACGGAAATATTCCAAAAATTTCCAATAAAAAACCCCGAATTCCTCATCCCACCCAAAAGAAATAATACGTCAATCGCGAATACCCCGACCCGAGCGGATTTCTCCGGTTGAAACCCATTAAAAAAAATCCTGGAAAACCCGAAAATCCGTCGACATTATCTTTCATAAACCCCAGACCCAAAGGAAACCTTTAAGAAAAATAAACCGAAAAACGTGGGACACTCATTAAAAAACCTCGTGATAACGTCATTATCACCAGATAAATCAGTACGGACTCCAGCACGAGTGGTGGATGGCACGTCGGCGAGAATTTTCAAGGTAAGTACTGAGCAGGTATGACTCATTGGTTTCGCCCAATGCCGCAAAGTAACGGAAGTAAATATGCGTCTGAAAAATCCATAGAAAATTGAACTAAAAAATGAAAAAAAAAACGAAAATTCCGCCTCATCCCACCCACCGCACCGATGTCCCGAAATAATTGAAATAATTTTCTTCCTAATCCATAAAATACGATAAATACCTCTTCTCTCCGTTTCAGCCACCGCCCGCAGGGACTCTCTTCCAAAATCTCACTCTCATCTTCAGAGTCCTCACCACTTTCCCGCGGTGATTTATGTTCTGGATCGGTACTGGATCGACTCCCAGGCATTACACACGCACTTATTAAAAAATCACCACCAAAATAATCGACACGTTAAAGCACATTTGTGGATCGAAGTGAGTCTATTAGTATTCATCCACGAAATATGATATCCATGGGCTCACTGATCCGATTTATCACGGTAATAATAGTGTAAATCGGTGATTTTATCGGTTATTTATTGGTGGATGTTGGAATTTAATGATTTGACGATAATGAGCTAAATCTTCTGGTACGCTTTAACTAAAGTGACACATGCAGGGAGAACCTGTTCCTCAACAACTCGGTTGTCAATATCACTGATGTTACACGGTCCAGCCGCACTAATGCCCGGTTACTTTATACATCACCTATTGTTTTTTCAATCGTACATCACAGCTTTCGTGCACTATTCTTACTGTCAAAATAAAAACCACTGTTATGAATGAAATAACTGGGATGTGACACACACTCTGGCAATCATTTTCACTACGTCTTGGGTCACGTTTGCCGAGTATGGATATCGCCAACACCGCACCCCATTTACGACTACACAACTGCACTCTGATGACTTCAATATAAATCTCAACAATTTATCCCCGACTAACTTCAAGTTATCCGCTCAGTCGGTAATTGCATTTTATCGATCACAAAAAATTATCGATTTATCGAATCGAGTCGGATCGATATGCCTCCGATCGATTCCTATATCGATTCATCGAATCATGGAAATTAATTTTTTTTTTCGAATATAAGACTTTTTCTGCGACTCGAAAAATCTCGACGAAAAATGTCGATATGAAAAAATCGAGCATTGAGTTCTGCAATCGATCATTGCAGAAATCGATTATCGATCGGAAATTACTAGTCGGTAATCGGTATCAGCATTTCTTCGTATGGTTTCCACATTTACTTTCGTCAAGATTTCATTTCATTCATAAATATCGAACGGAGGGATCATTGATCGATTTTAAAATCAGTATAGGCTCGGCTCGATTTATCCAGTTAGCCTTCCTTCCTTATTCACGCGCCTAGTTCTCCGGATTAATTCCCACGCCACCGCTATGAAACATTCTTGTTGAAACCCTTACATAAGCGGTTATAACATAATCTCGAATCCCAGTGCGAATACCCACGTGTGTTTATCCATCCCATCCATCCTTATCCCAGATCGCGAAAAATCTCAAAAACTGCGTATGATGTCTACAAAAATTTTGTGAAATTCCTGTGCGACAGAAGTGCGACGATAAAAAAAAATGTCTCAATCAAAAATCTTCTCAAGAAATCGTGCCTTAGGTTATGTGAGTAATCACATTCCCCTGATAACACGTTACATCCACAGAAGAAAAGAAAATCTGATTGTAACGAGTGTTGGAAAATCCTTCCACACATATGGCTGTGGACACTTCACCCTCCTGAGCGTTTCAGGCCCTCATCCTGACGAAATAACATGTATCTCCGGAGATTCTTTCCATGTCTACACCTCCAGCGAGACAAAAATCTACGCCTGGAGACGAGGTAATGAACTGAAGCACATCTACAAGGGTCACAATCACCCCGTCCACCTGATCCTACCCTTCGGTCCCCACCTCATCTCCATCGACGATGAAAGCACCCTGAAACTCTTCTCTATAAAAACCGAGGAGGAAGTTCTCTCCCTGAACTTCAGCAACAACGTCTTCAGGATCACGAAGATTGCTCACCCGAGTACATACATGAATAAGATCCTCTTGGGGAGCGATCAGGGACACCTCCAGCTGTGGAATCTCAAGACCATCAAGATGGTGTACACTTTTGACGGTTGGAATTCACCAGTGACAGCCCTGGAACAGGCTCCAGCGATGGATGTGATGGCGATAGGCCTGGGGAATGGTACAGTTAAAATGCACAACATTAAACAGGATGTGACGATATTCGAGGTGATCCAGGACTGGGGAATGGTGACGTCGATATCCTTCAGGAGCGATGGATATCCGATCATGGCAACTGGAAGCCCTCAGGGTCACGTTGTCCTGTGGAACCTCGAGGAGAGAAGGGTCGAGTCTCAACTGGTGAATGCACATTTCGGAGCTGTCGCTGGACTCCAGTGTCTCTCCAATGAACCCCTAATGGTGACGAATTCTTCAGATAATTCTCTGAAGCTCTGGATATTTGATCAGGCAGATGGTGCTGCTAGACTTCTGAGGGTACGAGAGGGGCACTCTGAGCCTCCAACCTTTGTCAGGTTCTATGGATACGATGGCCATAATATTTTGACAGCTGGTGGTGACTCCTCTCTCAGGATATTCTCAACGATCACAGAGACGTTCAATAAGAGCCTGGGGAGGGCCTCGTTCAACAGAAAGGCCTCCAAGAAGAAGGGTAGACTCGTTGACGACAATTTGGTTATGCCTGCAATCACTGAACTCGCCCTGGAGAAGACCAGGGAAAAGGACTGGGATAATATTGCTGCAGCACATTTGGGACTGGGGGTTGTCACCACTTGGTCGTACGATAAATTGAAAATGGGGGAGCACAAGATCCTGCCGAAGAGGTTCAAGAAGAATTACAAGGCCAATGCCACTAGTTTATTTCTCACTCACTGTGGAAATTTCGTTGTCATCGGGTACAACACGGGACACGTCGACAGGTTTAATATTCAGAGTGGAATTCACAGGGGAACTTATGGGGGAGAAGAGGGGGCACACGACGGCCCTGTCAAGGGGGTGATGGTTGATTCTCTTAATCAGGAGGTCATCACTGCTGGAAGGGATGGGAGGGTCAAGTTCTGGGGATTTCAGGGAAAGGGAGAACCTAAATCTGTTGTAACTCTCAGTGAATCTATCAAGTGGATCAGAAATCATCGGGAGAGCTCTCTCATTGCTCTCGCTCTCGAAGACTTCAGTATCATACTTATTGATTTGGATACTAGAAGAGTTGTCAGGCATTTCAGGGGACACACTGGTCATCTCACTGATGCCACTTTCAGCCCGGACTCCAGGTGGCTCATCACTGCTTCCATGGATTCTACTGTCAGAACTTGGGATATTCCATCTGCTAAACTTATCGATATATTCCAGGTATTATATCATTCTGTCGTAATTTTATTATTTTTCTCGTCCTCAGTGAGATGATTAATTAAGAAATGGTTTATCAATTATCTCAGGTACCAGAAGCCTGCATATCTCTCGATTTCTCAGCGACTGGTGATTACCTCGTGACCTCCCACATCAACAACCTGGGTATTTACCTATGGACGAATAAGACTCTCTTCACTCACGTCTCCCTTAGAGCAATAAATCCGAATGCTTCGATTCCTGTGATAACTCTTCCTGGATCGTCTTCCCAGGAGAACGATAATATCGAATCTGTCGAGGTTGACTCTGGAGAGCAGGAGGACGACGAATATGTGTCCCCAGAGCAGCTTAATGCTGCATTGATCACCATGTCCTCCCTCGCAGGCTCCAAATGGCAGAATTTATTGAACATCGATGTTGTCAAGAAGAGGAATAAACCCAAGGAGCCACCCAAGGCCCCTGAAGCTGCTCCGTTCTTCCTGCCGACAGTACCTTCACTAGATATTCAATTCGATCTGTCGGAGACTCCTAAGGACGATGGAAACAGCAAGTTGTTGATTCCCTCGGACTTCAGCAGTCTTACAGCATTTGGTAAACTCCTCAGGGACACCATTGAGAGTGATGACTTCTCCGAATCAATCACCAGGTTAAAAAAGTTCGGACCTAGTGCCATCGATTTTGAAATCCAGTCTTTCTCATTGGATCCCTCCTGCTCCACGTCTGTCATGCTGCAGTTCATGAAGATGATTCGATTTATGATTGAGAGTCGAAGAGACTTCGAACTTTCCCAGGCGTATCTGTCACTTTTTCTTAAGATTCATGGCACGAAGATCCAGGAGGAAGAGGAATTGTGGAGGTATTTAGGTGAACTACAGGAAATTCAGATGAGAACGTGGACTACACTCAGGGAAAAATTGTATTATAATTTGAGTGTTGTACAGCATCTTAAAAAAATGTAAAAATAATTTTTGACATATAAATTTTTTAATTAAATCTTTAATTGAAAAATATCTGAGTTGAATGAATTCTCGAATTTTTTTCTCGAATCTCGACGAATTTCAAAAAAAAAGGTAAAGCCTCAGGACTTCGAGAATTAATTATCAGAACTCTCACATTCTTATCTCAATAAATAATGAGCGACAGATAAACCAAAAATAGAAAAAAATTGACACATTTTATTCCATAGAAAACAACAAATTACAACTACATTTGATGAATGCAAATTCCCAGGGTATCAAAAATATTCAATCAATCCTTGCAAAAATGAAAAGGCAATCCCCAAGCAAGTCAATATTACTCTCTAAACGAGAAAAATCCCTGGAGCTGATCCTTGACGTTCTGCTCGAGGGCTAGATCCTCGAAATATTCATTAAACGCCACAAAAATTCTGTAAATACTCCTTTTGCCGGCGCTCCTCAAGGCCCCGAGGAGATGCCTGATATTTTTGTCATCCTGCTGAGATTTCCTGCTCAACAAGATCATCTTATGCAGCTTGTCGAGAGCGAGTTTGAGCCCCAAGAGTTCCTCAATCATCCCAGGAAGATCCTTCTGTACGATTCCATAAGGATCCTCCTTCAAAGAGATAACAGCAAGCGAAGAGATAGCATCAACAGCCCAGACAACGGGCTGTCCAGTCACGAGAAGATGTTGAATCCTGCTGTCACTCCTTACACCAAAAAAATAGAGTACCAATGGCTTAGACATGACATAATCCACAATTCTCTGTCTTCTGCTCCTGAAGAACTCCACGAGGAATTCGCCAGTGGATGGTACAGGCTTGATAGCAGTCCCCGGAGTTTTCTCAAGGCTCTCGACCCTCGCCAAATTCCTCATGTGAAATGAATAAGGTCTATCCAAACTGGCAGGAGCACTCAGAGGGGCAGTTATCTCCTGCCTGACGGCACAGACCTCCTCCACCTTCTTGGAGTACCCCTTTATCATCCCCAGACACTTTTCTACGATGCAATTCCAATTGTAAGGATGTCCTCCAGGCTGGCTCAATGAGAAGACAATTCCTCGTCTGCTCCTCTGCTTTTGCGACAGTGTCATCAGGTCCAGGTACCCCAGGTGTTGAATTATTGGCACCTCGTCCATTCCCAGTGCCTCTGGAAGGCTCATAGATCCTCTATTATCGCTGTAGACACTCTGGCCAATTTCGAACTCCATCCACTCCGTCAGGTGCACCTGGAACAGCAGGTGCATGCTGTCCATCGTCAACGAGAACAGTCCACTGTACAGCCACACGTGAAACACAAGGTTTGTATCGAAAAGTCGTGAGATCTTGTCCAGGGGCTCCTCGACGTTCAAGAACATAATTGAGGCGATTAATCTACGAATATAGCCACCGAAGGTGTAGTAGAACACCAGGAAGTACGTCGTAGGCCAGACTGCACTCGTCATCGCAATCGATATTAATTTAGACGTCTCTCGTCTCACCTGGCTGAATTTACTCTGAGGAATTATCGGAAACTGGAGGTATCTCCTGGTGAGGAAGTTATTCTTGAGGAAGTGGTGGACAGCTGTGAATAGTCCAGATGTCACGAGGAAGACGTACTCCTCTGTGATGCAGCTACCTGTCATTGTTCTGCAATTTTTCTTCAGGGAGCTGTAGTTGGAGTCCTCGAAGGAGAGGTGCAACCACACGAGGACAATTCCGATTGTCAGGTGCAGACCTCCAACTGTCAAATTGTGAGGGGTGAACACACTGCACAGCGAAGCGAATCTTGTGTCGACGAGGGAGGGAGCTGTGAGGTAACTTTTACTGCACACCACACCCTGGAGGATTATTATCGTTGAGAGGACGAAGAAGTAGCACCAGGTGCGGAGGGATATGAGGGTGGAGAAGGCCTCCTCTGGCCAGGAAAGGGGTTTTGTCGGGGATAGGTGAGTCAGCACCACTATCAAGGACATCAGAAGGCATTGGACGATAATGCTAGAGATCACTGCCATCAGGATTCGACGAAACAGCAGATCTCTCGAGCCACTCTGTGATAGTTCTGACATTTTCACGTTTTCACTATTCTGATGGATTTAGAATCAATTCTTTGGGGCTTTCACTGGATTTTTCATTGTTGGCGATTCTTTATCGCGGTACCACGCCAGGTGGATTTGAATTCAGGTACATAACCTAGGGAACTTGAAATGCCGGCTAAATTTTATCGTTGATGGCTCTCGCCCTCTTTAGGGGATCGTCGAGGAATTCAAGGTACGAGTGAATTGGTAAAACAGAATGGAGAATTATTTTGATTTTTTATAATCGAAATTTGAAATCCTTCGGGAGAATTTTGTGATCTTGTTTTTTAATAATTAATGGTTAATGGAGAGTGGAATATTTACTCGGATTTTTGAAGTTGAAACCAGAGAGAAATCTCTGACGTTGTATCAACAACAGGTTGGAGATGTCAGCTGTGTGGTTTGGGATGCAGCCCTGGTCCTGGCCAAGTACCTGGATCATCTGTGTCAGGTTGAAGGATTTGGAGATAAGTGGCTGGAAGAGAAAAAGGTTCTGGAACTTGGGGCAGGCACTGGGTGTGTGGGGATGACAGCAGCTTGTCTCGGGTCAGTGAACTCGCCTTTTTCCTACTATTTTCACAAGAATGATATTTTAAAATCACTTTTCACTGGGTCCAGGGCCCACGTGGTGATGACAGACCTCGAGAGCACAATGCCGATCCTTCGGAAGAATATCTCAATGAATGAGGAACAGTGGAGAGACTCAGGAACTGCCAGAGCCGAAGTTCTCGATTGGGAAAGTAATTTAGATCTTGATTTCAGTCCTGATATCGTTCTTCTAGCCGATTGTGTTTATTACCAAAAGGTGAGAGAGCTAGAAAGTGATTATTTTCCAAAATCCAATTGTTATTATTTTAGTCAATCCATCCACTCCTGAACACTTTGGAGCACCTCTGCAGGAGCAGTCCCACGACTCTCGCGATCCTGTGTCAAGAAGAACGAGATACCCCTGGACAAATACCGGTCTGGAAAGAATTCCTGGTGAATCTAATGTCGAAGTTTCATCTCGAATACATTCCTTTGGAAAAACAACACCCGAGGTACTCCTGTGAAGACATTCATTTAATTCACTTGAAACCCCTAGACCCCTAGAATAAAATGTACTTTAATTACTAGGTGAGGCCTCAGGTATTGAACACAAATTTTTCAATTTTTATACCTTTGCTATATTTTTTTGTATCATCAAAGGAAATAAATTAAATTGAATAATCTCTCAATTTCTTGTGGGACTAGAGATAATTCACAAATTCTTCATGTGACATTATCATCACAGCATAAAGACACCATAGATGTCAGCAAAGAGCAGCTTGTCCCATTGCATGTGGCGTCTTCCCTCTCTTGGGGTGCAGTACTACGATGCCGGTGGGGTCACTCAAAACCCCAGACTGCGTCTCTATACTGAAGTCAGCATAAGTTTTAACATTGATTTTAGGAGGGGGGGACATAGTTACAAGTGGTAACTACGTGGAGTGGGGGTACCCAGAGAAGTAAAAGCTTATGCTGACTTTAGTATACTTTAGTCAATCCTCTTCGGATGTCAGCAATCCTTTTAGTTCACGATCCGTCCACTCGTGACTATTTTTCACGTGAAAATCGCCATCTTATTTCTTTTCAACTTCCTCTATCTCCGAAAGGCTCGAGTGGTACGTGAATTTTGAGGATTTTCCCCGTTAAAAATCCGTGAATATTCTTATAATGAAAGTCCATCTGTCACTGCCATCGACAAAAATTTTGTCTGCACACTTCAAACTCATTGCGCCGGGAAATATTTTTTCTATAAATTTATCTGTTCTTGGATTTAATTGTTAATGGGCATTTTGGGGTTAACTCGTGTCACTGACGAACCCCTGTTGTTTTGACGCTTGATTAAAACGTGGAATGATCTGGGAGTGAAATATTTATGGAGTAGCCGCTATTGTTTGGGAGGAAAGTAATTAGGAAGGCATTTATCATTGTTTATATTTTTTTGTTCGACAGGTTTGAGCCATGGGTCGAGTAATTCGTGCTCAACGTAAGGGAGCAGGATCTGTTTTCCGTTCTCATACAAAAAGGAGGAAGGGAGCTCCAAAATTGCGATCTCTCGATTTCTCCGAGAGGCATGGATACATCAAGGGTGTCGTCAAGGTAAAAATCTCGATTTTTATCAATCAGAAATCCCCGAAATATTTGCCAGAAAGACAGTACTCAATCCTAGAGATGTGAAAATATTCTCACGTAATTTTCCCATTTTATTTTAAACTCATTAAAACATCTGTTGAATTCCCCAACTTCAAAGTCTTCCACATTTCTTCTGGCGAGTATTTCACTGGTTTCGTTTTTTCACTTCGTCTCGATTTAAAAAAATCATAAATGGCGCTACAATGATGATTTCTAAAATACCTACTCTCTGAATAAACGTGAAGATTATTTTAGAGGCTCTTTCTGAAGACAGCCATACCAACACATTTCTATTATCGATTAGGGTGCGACAGTTGAATTATAGAATTTTTTTTTTCAACACTCGTAGGATATCATCCACGACCCTGGACGTGGTGCACCCCTTGCAGTTGTCCACTTCCGGGACCCGTACAAGTTCAAGACACGTAAGGAACTCTTCATCGCACCAGAGGGCATGTACACAGGACAGTTCTTGTACTGTGGAAAGAAAGGTATTGAAACAAATCAGTCTTCTCGATTTATCCACCAAAAATGGCTTCACAAGCACATGTCGATACATTTATAATCTCATTAACTTTAAAGACGAGTATTTGCTCCCCTTTCTCCCTCTATTACCACTATAATCCAAAAATCGTCTCAATGTTTGTCTCCACACATTTTTTCCAAAAGAATTATCTTCGTATTTTCCTGTCAAATCAATTAATTTTTTTAATTAGTTTACTATGGATTAAATGATTTTGTCTGTTCCAGCAACTCTTCAAATTGGAAATGTAATGCCTGTTGGCACGATGCCTGAGGGTACGATCGTCTGCAATCTTGAGGAGAAAACTGGTGACAGGGGTCGTTTGGCTCGTGCCTCTGGTAACTACGCAACTGTCATTGCCCACAATCCCGACAGCAAGAAGACCAGGGTAAAGCTCCCATCGGGTGCTAAGAAAGTTATTCCATCGAATAACAGGGCAATGGTTGGTATTGTTGCTGGTGGTGGTCGTATTGACAAACCCATCCTCAAGGCTGGACGTGCCTATCACAAGTACAAGGCCAAGAGGAACTGCTGGCCCAAGGTCATTATCACTACATCATATTTATTTATTGCCAATTTAATGCCAATTATTGAATTCATTCACATTAATTTTTGCATTTTCATTTATTTATTTTATTTATTCACTCTAAATTATTGATTGGATATTAATCAATCAAATGATGGTATGACATTTGAAATCCGTAATCTTTTGGGGACACATTTTGAACTGATGGTTTTGAGACAATTTCACTTGAGTTTGCGGAGTTCGTCGAGTGGAATTGAAAAGAAAATATCGCTTACAGGTTCGTGGTGTTGCTATGAACCCCGTTGAGCATCCCCACGGTGGAGGTAATCACCAGCACATCGGTAAGGCCTCCACTGTCAAGCGTGGCACGAGCGCTGGACGTAAAATTGGTCTCATTGCTGCTCGTCGTACTGGAAGAATTCGTGGAGGAAAGACAGACAGCAAGAAGGAAGATTAGACTGCACATTGATTATTCATGCTGTGTGCGCTATTGTGTAATAAAATCGTACGAAAACAACTGCATACTATTTTTTTATACAAACCTACGCAAACAAATTCAGACTGCCTTCGTGATATTTATAATCATTATTAACGCTCGTATTTTTTTTTTCAATTGTTTAAACCTGAATTTTTTAAAATCGACTAAAAACGATTCAAATCGATTAAGATCGCCGTACAGAATCTCGAATTATGTCGAACAAACATCCTCAAAAGGTCGAACAATATTTTTGTAATTTTTATTTATTGACATTTTGAAATATGCATTTTTTGCACTGCCATCTACCATCTCATATGCATACCCCGCCCTTATGAACGCTCACATGAGTATGCATCCTTCGACTCACCACCCATGACACTTTTTACATGCTGTCCGCCATGACACTCTCCAGTCGATGCTTTTTTCTCGCGGTTCCTTTGTGTCAGCACTAGCGGCGAGCTTGCCGAAGGGTGAGGAAGTGAGTGTGTGTCAAGTGTAATTTCATCTTAAATTCCACCACGAATTTTTAATAAAAAATCCTGTGCATCACAAAACTTTATCTACCAGAGACCCAACGGACATTTGAAAAACATCCCAAAATCATAAATCCGACAACAGAGCTACGATAGTTCACAAAAAGTTATAAATCTACGCACCGAGGCGGAGTAATATGAGTAATGCAGCCAACCAAAATGGATCAGGTCTAGAGCAGCAGGTAATTCATGAGGAATGAGTCATCATTAGTTTTTATTTATCGTGATAATTGATCATTTTAATCATCCAACGCCAATTGCTAACGGTCGCATCCGCCATTCCTTCGTTGCTCTAAATCCACGGGGACAGCACGCTCTCCCTTTCATTCCCTCTTTTTTTTTCAATAGTTTTTCGAGTTTTTCATCGTTTCAAATCTCACGCCAATCAGGCGTCCCTGATTAATCCGTTAATTCAAGTCCCCAAGGGGTGGCAATCCCTCGTTTGAGAGGAAATTACTCTAAGACGGGGAAATTACATTTGAGTCAAAATTTCCGTGACGTCCATTTCTCTAACTTAAAATGGCGGCGATCAATTCGTAGAAAAGGAGAACACACGCTACATGTATCATTGGAAAAATGTTAGATTTTCAGGGGTGATTTTTAGGATTTTGGCCATGGGATTCAGGCTTTTTTTTATTTTCTTCTGGGAGAGGGTGGTTTTGGGTTTTCAGGGTGTTGGAGACGATTTTTTTGGGGCATCATCTAGGTTTGGGGGTTGGGGTCTCAGGGCACGGGGTAATGCCAATTGTTGGGCCAATTATTGGAAGTAATTAATTGCATTTTTTTTTCATTTTTGTACAGTTAGCTGGTCTGGACTTGCAGGGCTCCCGCCAACCGAGTGGGGCTCGCTACATACCACCGCATTTACGCAATAAGCCCAGTAAGTATAACGAGGGGGTACTGAAGGGGGAAATTGGGTTTTATAGAAGATAGGGGGGAAATTTGAATAGCGAATTTTGGTGGAGTTCCCGACATTTTTTATGATGTCTGGGAAGAAATGTAAAGGGACTCACCTGTATTAATTCAGTAGCAAAACAGTAAATTTTTATAAAATAAATCAAATTTCCGGTCAATTGTGCATTAAACATTTTCAGGATGCAGCTAGTCAAATTGAGATAGAATAATAATAATAAAAATAATGTGATAATTTCAGGCAACGGGCTAGGACCTGTGAGTGGTGACAACAATAGCTCATTGGAATCTCGATCATATTCCGACAGAGATCGTGGTCGCAGTGATCCAGACAGAGATAATGATCGAAACGATCGCGATCGCGGCGGCTACAGGGATACACGAAACAATCGAGACGTTGATTTCGGAAATTTCGGTGGTCGCGCAAGACGCCAGGAGAACGGACGCGATTATGGACGACGCGATTACGGAAATGATCGCTGGCAGGATCAGCAGCAGCCACCCCAGAGAAATGATCGCTGGCAGGAGAACAGAAGTGATAACCGAGGAGGTATGGGAGGTAGATGGAAGGACGAGTCCGAGCGTGGTAACAGCCGAGGAGGCCGAGGCGAGGTTGATTGGACAATTCCCACAGCCAAGGACGAGCGTCTCGAGCTTGAGCTCTTTGGTACTGGCAATACAGGCATCAATTTTAGCAAATACGAGGATATACCGGTTGAGGCTACCGGTGATAACATACCCTCACACATCACATCATTCGATGAAGTCAAGCTGACAGAAATAATAAAGAATAGCATAAGCTTGGCTGGTTATGACACCCCAACGCCAGTACAAAAATACGCAATACCAATAATAATAAGTCGTCGTGATGTTATGGCATGCGCTCAAACGGGCTCTGGTAAAACGGCTGCCTTTTTAGTGCCAATACTTAATCAGATTTATGAGAGTGGACCACGTCCACCACCACCTTCGGCTGGTACCGGTAGACGCAAGCAGTATCCCCTTGGTCTTGTTTTGGCACCAACCAGAGAATTAGCAACCCAGATTTACGATGAGGCACGTAAATTTGCTTATCGTTCACGTATGCGTCCAGCTGTTGTTTACGGTGGATCCAATATTGGGGATCAGATGAGGGAGCTCGATCGTGGATGTCATCTTCTCGTGGCAACACCTGGTCGACTCGTCGATATGCTGGGACGGGGCAAGATTGGCCTTCATAATTGCCGGTATCTGGTGCTTGATGAGGCTGATCGTATGTTGGATATGGGATTTGAACCACAGATCAGACGTATCGTTGAGGAGGACACTATGCCACCCACTGGTGAGAGACAGACTCTCATGTTCTCAGCGACATTTCCCAAGGAGATACAGATGCTCGCTAGAGATTTTCTCAGTAATTATATATTTCTCGCTGTTGGTAGAGTTGGATCTACCTCGGAGAATATAACGCAGAAGATTGTGTGGGTTGAGGAGCATGAGAAGAGATCTTATCTATTGGATTTACTCACTTCGAACAATTATGCTGATCCCACTGAGTCGCTGACACTTGTATTTGTTGAGACGAAGAAGGGGGCTGATATGTTGGAGGAATTTCTTCATCAAGTTGGTTATCCTGTCACAAGTATTCATGGGGATAGGACACAGAGGGAGAGGGAGGACGCGTTGAAACGTTTTAGGGCTGGTAAAGCACCGATTTTGGTAGCGACTGCTGTTGCAGCGAGGGGATTGGATATTCCCCATGTCAAACATGTTATTAATTTTGATCTGCCTGGAGATGTTGAGGAGTATGTTCATCGAATTGGACGTACTGGGAGGATGGGGAACTTGGGGCTGGCAACCTCGTTCTTCAATAGTAAGAATCATAATTTGGTGAGGGATCTCGTGTCGTTGCTCGTTGAGGCTAATCAAGAGTTGCCACCTTGGTTGGATAATATGTTCTCGGAGGCAAGGCACACTGGGGGTGTCAGGAGACCTGGAGGTGGTACCAAGAGCAGTGGAGGAAGGTTCAGCAGCGGATTTGGGGCTAGAGATTATCGACAGCAACCCAACTCGGGAATGGCACGCAGCAATGGACCTTCTGGACGTCCAGGTGGTTATGGAGGTCATTATTTCACTTTTTTCTCACTTTTACATTTGTTTCATTTTTTTATTTATCAATTCATGGTTATTTTTTCATCTCTATGCTTTCATTACTGTTCAATTGTCAATTGACGATTTAAATAGTTTCAGTAATTCATAATGATTAGTTTTGAATATTTTTAAAATTGTTCCCTTGTTATTTTTGTATTTTTAAAAGAATGTTTAAATTAATTACAGGTGGTTATGGGGGAGGCTACGGTGGTAACTACAACTCATCCTACAACTCTACCAACAACGGTGGGGGCGGTGGTCCCGACTGGTGGGGAAAGTAAATCAACATTGACAAACAACCATATTTCGTGGCTATCTCCTATTTCAATACCTTTATTACAATTACTCTAAAAATGCAAATTTAATTATGAAAAAAATATAGTATGAATGATAAGAAGGCAGGAATAATAAAATGAGGAAAAAAAAAATTAAAGAATCAATATAACGAAATAACAACGTAACAAAGAATACATGACGTAACGGGTGACGAGACAGATCATCGATTGTTATGCTGTACAAACTGTGAAGGAAAATTAATTAAATGAAAATTAGTAGCCAGTGGCCACTGGTAGATTCGGATAAATCTCATGAAATATGAATATTCAATGACCAATTAAATTTCAATTACTTTTGTTGTTTGAAAATCAATTTCATGAGTAGTGAAGTGCGACACGATACAAATTACAACTTAGAATAATCATTCATCCTTTCATTATAATAGATAAAAAAAATGAAAAAACTGATCGTCGAAATTGGAAACGATCAGCGTGTAGTAGATAAATATTTAGTTCAATTTTTCTAGGGACATACCTTGAGACTTCGAGACTCGTTGTGGCTCTATTATTCTTATTAATGAATTAGCATTATCACGATTTGATTAATAATTTATGATTCTGCAAGTGTGCTAATTTTTTTTTTCTCTTTTCGTTCGTAGTGAGAAAGTTTTGTCGTATGATTCTCACTGAGCCATTGTGGTTTTTCTTTTCTCCTGTAAAGCACAGAATTTTTGCATTTAATGAGGACGAAAAAAAAAAAAGTTACGACGAACTTGGAAAATACACGTATGTCAATCATACTTCCACACTAAAAGGTTATTTTTTTTCCACCTTGCTGATATCCCAAATTTATAGAAAATCAGATATTTTTTATTTGTTTTATCCTCATATCTACGTTCATAATTGAATGTGAACAATTCATTCGTTTTTACATCCCTTTCAGAATCAAAAAAATCTACGATCTGACATGAACTGGCATCAACGCGCATTCACGTGGTGTTTCATTAATGTATTTATCACTACCGATAATAGTTTATTGAAACTGAAGAAGACGAAGTGATATCCTTTAAATACATAACTTAAATAAATGAACAACGACTGTGATATTGAACGATCTTGAGACATTCGATTTCCACGAGAAGTGGTGAATAACAGATTGGATTTTTATCAAATTACCGATTACGAAGCGATCGATTGGATGGAAATCTTATTTAATCTATTGAATGTCGAGGACGTGATTAGCTCGACACAGGGTTCGGCAATGATATTATTTTCTGGGAATATTGGTAACAATAATTGTGTGTGTTGGCTTTTTGCGATGTTACTGATTATTATGGCGATGGAACAGTGTTGGTGAAAATATTATTGATTATTCTTATGAGAAAATCACCGGTAATTATTGCTGATTATTATTGTAGCAATGGATAACTGGTTTTGGTTGATAATGATTGAGTGGTTGATTATTTTATACTCATTTATTCTTGGAGATATGCCGATCTCTGGCTCGACAGGAATTGTACTCGAGCTAATGAATGAATATTAGAGTCGTTATAATTAATCACACGGTCGCATGTCTGAGAACATTCGTAAATTCTAGGGGTTCATTGAAAAATTTCGTTGGATACTCTGTTGTGTCTTCAATTAAATATTTATGTGGAAAATTAACACGTGAAGTCAATAGAATCTCTTCATTCTTAGATTTTTAAATAATTATAAATGATTTGGAAATCATTTATGAGAATTCACATTCTCAAATTATTCAAATTATTCTCATTTTTTTCTATGGTAGCTTTCTGTGAATAGATAAGGGTAATTTATCAATTTATTAGTAATTTGTTCTGATAATGAAATCTTTAAACGGATTCTGTGAAAATTCTTACCAAAAAAATTCGTCTCGCAGATAAAAATTATTTAAAAAATAGAAAAGCTTTATCCAATGGAATTTGCAATGCAAATTCCGAGAATTTTAATTTTCCTCACGTGTGACCCTTTTCACAGCAATGATCTTGTCAGGCGTCCCTGGGGCATTGTTTATACTTAATCATAAAAGAAAAATTAGATAGTTGAAATGCGTAAGAACAAATTAAAATGGAAAACCTGCATTAAAAAAAATAGGCATATGGCGTCACTTCTTAGAAACGAGAATGAAAAAGTCTCAAGTTTTTCGAGTAGAACTCCGTGTGCATAGGATATTGCTGTATCTATCGAGGGAATCACGTCAGATTATTATCTAATCTGTGCGAAAAAGTACAAATTCGTTTTCCTTTGGTTTTCTTGGTTTTATATATAAATATGACGACATTAATAACTTCTAGAGGAAATAAATATATTATGAATGATTTCTGTTCGTTGGAGAAATCGATGATTTAATACGGTTTATTTTTCCTCATCCCTCACAATCGCTGATATTTCAAAACCCCTAGAACTCACCGAATGGATTAATAAAAAATACAACCAACACTTCCATGAAACTTCTTTAATTCAATAATTTTCACTAACTGATCAGTGATTTTAAAACAATAATTCAAATGAATCAACTAAAACCTAATTAATAACGTACGTAAATAAACAAACGTAGAAATTCAATGAAATGATGATGAATCATTCCTTTAATGAAACTTACACATTAAAATATAAACTGCTACATTACTCCAGTGATAAACATAAAGATAACAATGAGATAAAAAATAAAAACAATTCCGTGGAAATTGCGCTTGTGAAAATGAGATTAAAATTATCGACGTAAAATTACGTTGGAATATACACAGGTAAGTGGGAGTGTTCATTATGGTAATCCACATTATAAACTCGTAACACCAAACATCCGGGATCTCTTTCTATGATCTATCTCCATTTACTCAGTATTCAATACAAAAAATCAATCGTATTTCCCAGTGGATCAGAGCATAATGGATTTTTTTTAGGAATGAATCTGTGAAGTGGAGGGCTACACATTAAAGAGTGGATACAATTAAATATTGGAATCCAATTCCAAATATTGGGATGTCCTGGAGATATCCTGTCTGTGAGGAATCCTAATAAAAAGTGGATTTTACGAATTTCCATTTTTTCGTGCAACACAGATAAATGATCGAATTCCACAGAAATCAATCAACTCCACAATAATTTTTCTATTTTGTGCTTTTTTACCTGTTTTTACCTTCAATTTTTTTGGGGTATTTTCATTGAAATAATCGTAAATCACAGGTAATTGGACACAATTAGCGGGCAGTGATACTCAATTAAACATTTATTATTGTACGAGTAAATAGGAAATGCTCCATTGACCCCACTTGTAGACCCGAATAATAATCACACATAAAGGCGAATAATTTCTGCTGTTGCAGTTTTCATTATTAAACATCTTCATCCATTAATTTCTCCTCCATCGAGGCACACAGCACACTCAAGCGCTAGACACATGTTTTTTAAAGTGATTATTATGCAAGAAATTTGGCTCTCTCAATATACTCTAGATAAATCATTTTAAAAAAATTATTATTTCACTCGAACGCCTGTCATTGAAAAAAAATCAGGAACCGACTGTCAAATCATTATTATATCAATTATATTGTTATCAGCTCACAATTTTTCTAGCTATAGAATTTTTAATCGAATAATAATCACAAGTGTTTTTGATTCGCATGTTAAAATTGTAGGACTCCTAAAAAATTTAGTTGGAATATATTTGAAGAGTGGCAGTGAAAAAATCTTGCATAAAGATCAGTCTAATGACCGTACACCGAAGTAATACCCTAACTACCCATTTTGGCCTGTAATTGTAATATACATAAAGCAAGGCATTATTCACAGGTAATTACTCTCGTGAGTAATAACAGCATTGATTCCAACGCTTTGCTGGTGGTAATGGCATCATAATCTCCAGAATATATTTATGAACTTCAGCGTAATTAAAAACTATAATTTTAAGATCACCATGAGATCAGGCTTTATTTCTTAATCGTTATGATTTTTTATTTTTATCATTCTTTCATTTCCTTCGTTAATAATATTTCGAAAATATTCAGTTTGTCGAGGATGTCATGGGTGCATTCAAATATCGACTCGAATGAAATATGAAGAACATTCATAAAGAAGAAATTTCAATGATCCCAATATTCTTGGATTCCAATATTCTCCAACTCTCGGAGAGATTAAACTCTTTATTCTTCATTTTCCCATGACATTCTCAATCCCCTCATTTATATATTTGTAAATATTTGTAAATATAATGTATTTATCCTTACACAATAATTTCTATCAAAGAACCAAAAGTATAAATTGTAGATTAAAATGGTATCAGTGACGTATGTCAAAGGCGCATGTACATATTGTCAAAATGGTTAATTTAAGCAGTTATCAATAAGTTGTATCAAGTTTCGAGAAAAAAACTGTTGCCAGTTATGGACGGTCAAGCGAGAGAAAAAATCATGAGTCTCAAAATTTATTTGGAAAACCGGTGGACATGAGACCAACGAGCGATAATAAATTTTATCGAATCACCAGTCAATACCGAAATAAAGAGTTATCGATCTGCTGTAATTGTGAGATTCACGGAGTAATATAAGTATCATTTGCCAATTACATTCCTAATACTTTCATTAAGACACTTTCTTCACATTAAAACACTATCATTAATTTTTATCGAAAAAATTAATGAATTTTGAACGATTAGTCATTGCACATTAATGGTTTATAACGTGGAATAGATACTTGTTATTCATAGACTTTTGAAAAATAATTCCATGGAATAAATTTCCTGGATTGATTAATCATTGCTTAACAGTATTGACTACAATTTTCTTATGAAATTGTTCTTCTCTGGATATTTGCACTCTGGAGATACTTTTATTGGATTTAATTATTTCGTGAGTTATCGAGTTTTTTAATACTCATGACAGGATTTACAATGAAAACTCAATAGGATTTAAAAAAAAAACGCATTAATTCCTCTATTAAATTGTTTACACGTGTCAACACCAGTCGAGTCGATTACGTTTTCCCATTAAAATTGATGTGACGTTTCAGTCTCACTTATTGCAATAAATTTAATGAGGCACGTTAACTCGTGAATATTGTGCATTTTTTTATCTTCAGGGACTAATTAAATTGTAATAATCTATCAATTATAATTACCCATCTCTCCCTCTTTAAAAAATCATGAGGACCTTCAAATCCAAAATAATCGTGCACTTCTGTTTGAAGCCTATATTTCCAATTCAATGATTGAACTTCTGTCCGAGTTTGATCAAATAAAAAATATGAAACGCTGAAATTAAATTTGGAAATGACTCCTCGAATGGTAATTTTAAATCATTCTTCATTATCGTAATTGCCTCTAATTGGGGATGGGGCACGAGTTGACGTGGAATTCCCTGATGTATAATCTTGAGTTGCGCCGGCATCTACATGGCTACTCTAGTATTTATCATTGAACAAACATTTAACAAGCCCCGCGACCCCAGGTGTTTATGAAACAGAACTTATAGCGTTGTGCGGTGATCCCATTTGGGTGAGGACTTTATCCAGCCACTGGAGTGGGCCATGGAGATGAGCTTCTATCCAGCAAGGAGTGGATGTCACGTCTTGCCTGTGGTATTCTGCACCCCATCCTTTTACGAATGACATTCTAAAATAATTACCACAATATTAATTATTTCCAGAAAAAATTTTACCAATTGATACACAAGAATCATTAATCAAACCTAATAGTGCACATCTTGGTGAGTTCATAAACAGCCTCGAAGCCATGATTAACACTCTGTGAAAGTAATTGTGCAAACTCCTGATTATTGAAAATCTTGAGTGAACATCCAGGAGGAATTTTGCAAACAGTGCTGGGATGAAAGCCGTGATGATGATTGCAGTTTCTGGACTGAACGAATATTGCTGAATCAGAGAGGCACTCGGCATAGACCTCACCCCCCACATAATAAAGATGAACTCCCTTTCCAATATGTCTCCTGGTGTTTTCAATAGTAGAATTTCTATTGACATTGGATAACTGACCGAGGCAGAATCTATCTGAATTATTACTGGGATTGGTAAAGCCATCGACGATGATGGAGTGTGACTGACAATGAAAAACCTCGCCAACCCTGCAGTTGAGTTCGTAATAAGCAATAGATGCCCAATAGGGTGGTTCTTGGTAGCAGACAGGTGCTACTTCGGTGGATCCCCCAGTGTCCATGGCATTTGGATCCGGAGGAGGTGATTGTCCAGTCTGAGAGCCATCCTCAGGTGGTGAATAAGCTGGTGGAGGTGTCTCTGGTAGTCCATTGGTGCCATAAGGGCTCTGAGGATTGGGAGATGTAGTGCTGCCAGGACTGGCTACTGACGTTACCGATGACATAGGTGATGTGGGCCCCAAGCTATTACTGTTCCCAGAATTTCCAACTGCTGATGGTGATCCACTTGACTGATTACCAAAGCCATTTGAGGAGTAAGAGACATTATGGGGCATTGTGGGCTCAGGAAGCTGCTGAAAGGGCAGCAGTGAGTGGCCAGGTGCGAATTCCGAGTGTCTTGGTACCAGAACTGGTGGCAAAACAGGACTCTCCACGCGTTTGTAGTGATAGGGATTGATGCAGACCTCCTTCTGCTTGGCCGAGAAGGGATATTGGCACAGCTCCAGGGGTTTTAGCTCGTGATGGGACTGAAGATCTGGCCATCTCCACACTCTGCAATATATCACGTGGGGCAATCCCTTGCGATGTGACACCTGGAGTCTACCATCGAGACTCCTGGGAATTGTTACACACTTGCTGGGTGTACCAGGACAACTCAGTGCCCTCTCCAACTCCTCAATTGCCCCTTTACGTTTCTTCAGCTTCTTCACCAGAGAATCAACAGCCTTCTCCGCCCACTTCTCCTCCTCGTCTCCCTGCTTCCACCCAAGGAGTTTTTTCACAGCTGGACTTGTGAATGAGAAAAGACTGTTCAGGGAGGACATCGGGCCTGAACTCGATGAGCCTTCCTCGTCGTCCATCTTCAGGACTGTCAATTATTGCCAATCGATTAGTCGGGGTGGGGAAATTTCTCAATCGATACAGAAAGTGTTTACAAACAATGCTAATCGACTTATTGATGATTTCACTTCATAACAAATTGTTCGGGGTTGGAGAGGGGTTGGAATTATGGGACTCACTGGCACTCACTGCCACTCACTTGGGACACGATTATCACTGTTCACTGTTTATCGATTATCTCGACTTGGGGCTTTATCATTATCCTGGTATGATGGAGGTTTTCTTTCAGGAATGGGAAGGCTTAGGGAGAGCTCAAGGGGAGAGTGATGTTGATACACTTGGGGGGACGGTTACTTGGAAAACAATCGAGATTTTCGGTGATTTTTTCGGGATTTTCCTTGGCACTGCTTGGCATCACCATTATGTATTCACTATGGCGTAGCGTTACGTTTTTTTATGTTTGTGTGGGGCAGGAGGAGGGGTGTGTGTGTGTACACATGAATGGAATGGTACTGTATGTGTCTGACGTACAATCGTTGGGGGAAAGTCACTAGGTGACGGTTATGGGGAATTCTCGGTGTTGCAGGGACTGTACTAAAACCAGTAATTACTCCACGCAATCCGATTGGTCGGTTTTTAAATTGTCACTCGATTTAATTTTTTTCTCAATTGAGAAATAATTCCAGGAGATTATCAATTTTTCATCACTCGGGCGATTTCGAAAGTTTTTTTTTTACTAATAAGTTATTAGTTGTCAATTTCCCGGGGATTCCCATTTATTCCTCTATTTTTTGGGTTTTCATAACTGAATGATTCCTGATTCATAATTATTCATCATTATTATTATAAATGCTGTGAATTAAAAAATGATAATTTATTGATCGGGGAAATGTAATAATTTTTCTTCACTGAGATTTTACATAATTAAAAAATCATTCACGAGTCATTACAGCGCATGGATTTGATGGACAATTAGTTTAATTACGGACGTTGGACAAATGATGTTGGACTTTGATGTATCGGTTATTGCATATTTTATGTCCTCATAATGTGCATGATATCAACGATGTGATATTTATAATTCTGAATATGACCGGTGAAAACTCAAATTCTCTCCAGTCTTTTATCATTTGTCGAGATAGTTCTAAGGGATTGAGACGTGAGTCCCCCAAGGATCAAAAAATGTCTTGGTTTTATCAACTATGGAACCGACAATTCGAGAATTATTCTGGTGATGATAATTACACATGGGAAATTGGTTTCACTCGTTTTGTGTTTACCATCGCTGGCTTCTGGCCAGGATCTAAAAAAATAAATCTCATAACATTTCCGATATCTTTAACGATAATATTCATTTTTCTCATTCTACCGCAAATTCTTGAAGTACCTGACATTAACAACGAGAGAGAATTATTTATCTCTCTGAGTTTTATTTTCTACAGGGCGTATTCAATCGGCTGTATGTTGTGTTTACGTTTTAAAATCGACATTTTTAAATCTATATTGGAGGATTTTCGTCAGCATTGGAACACCAGAAATCACACCGAAGATAGAAAAATCATGCATCATTACGCTAAACTATCGAAGATAATATCAATAATCACATCGGTTACAATAGGGATTATCGCCTATAGTAAGTCCACACAGAAAAGAATTGAAACGTAAATTTATCTCTGACTTTTCAATAAAATATTTTGAAATGAATATTTAAAATCAATTGGAGTCAGTGGATTGCAGATGTGCAAGATAAAAATGAATCAATATTTTATTTGAATATTCAGACAAGCTGTTATCACCACTGGCTCAGGATATTATCAAAGGGAAGAAATTAAAAATGATACCAGGACATTCATCGTATCCGTTTCCCCTGTCTGATCCATTGGTCTTCGCTGCTTGCTACCTCGCAGAGTTCATCGTCATCACTGGATTTTCGATGATAACAATAGGAATGGACAATTGCTTTGCAGTCTTGATTTTCCATGCTTGTGGACAATTGAAAATCCTTGGAAATAAAATCAAAAGGTACCAGGGAAAAGTTCGTCATCCAGGGAGGAATGATGCACCGGGGGATTGCAATTGTTTAAAGTGCATTGTTGATTTTCATGTGAAGACCTGTGAACTGGTGAAGAAAATTAATAATTTTTACAATTCAGTGGCATTTTTGAAACTGTGGGTGTCAGTTTCTTACTTCTGCTTCATCGGATTCAATATTTCCAAGGTAGACATCACGGATTTTTTAAAATTTTTATATTCAATCGTGTCTCTGTTATTTTCAGGCTGTGGAGAGTAAAAACTACACTGGACTATTTTCCAATGCACTCAATATGATTTTCATGATGGTAGCATTATTCTTGTACTGTCAATTGGGTGGAATGTGTCAAGAGATAAATAATGGCATCAGTGACATTGCATTCAATTCTGAATGGATGCAAAACCCTAGAAATTCTCGAGACATCATTCTTATCATTCGACAGGCGAATATCCCATTGAAAATTACGGCTGCTAATTTTTTTGTACTCTCCCGAAGTTTTTTCAAGGAGGTAATGAATTTGCGGAGATAATTGAATTTTTATTGTATGGATTAAATGCCATTTTAATTTCTGTCTCAAATTTGTTTAGCTGTTGATTTAATTAATGGTGCTAAAATTGAAAGAGACATCTTTTCGGAATTTAACAGTGTGCGAATTATTTCTGCATTATTTTTATTTTTGCGTTATTTTTGTTGCAGTATATTGTGACGTCAATGTCTTATTTATCAGTGCTGATAACAGTGAGGACAAGTAAATGAGCAGCAGTTGCGAGGAGGACTGACATTTTTTGCTGGAATTCAGGAATCCATCCGCTACTTTAATATGATAAAATTAAGTAATCCGGTGGGACTAAGAAATGAGGATAATTCCTTGAGTTCTGATTGTAGAAAATTACTGGGAGAATAATTAATAAATTGACAGTATTGTAAAATTCATAATTTCAGTTGTTTACTTCATGGACTGTTGACACGCTCATCGGGGATTTAAATCGCTGAGCAATTAACTACCTAGTGAATTAATTAATTTCATTACCTGACCGAGGTTTTTTTTTCTCCAAATTGTTATAAAAAAAAAAATATTCCATGGACTAAAATTTCAATTCTTTCAATCTTCAAATAAAGGAGTCAAAAATGTAAATGTCTTATTATAAACACCTAAATTAATTTAAAAATTGCCGTCTGTTCCCGATTGAGTTGTGAAATTCCTAGAGAATTCTGAAACCTCAAAAAAAAAATGAATAGTCACTGCAAACTTTGCGGCAGAAAACCCCAGGAGTACTCGTGGCACCCTGCCTCACGTGGGGTGCAACTACGTTATCAGCTGGGTTCACTCAAACCCCCAGAACTGAGCCTCTTTAGTCTATCCTTTTTGAGCCACTCTGTTCTCCCATGTAATCCATGATTATCAAACCAGTAGACGAAAAACACGAAATATACTCAACAGTGATCGTGCTCACTGATTGAGTGCTCGAAAAAGTAATTGTATTTTAAAATCCAGGCCCTCATTACAATCACGTGAGAGTAAAACCTGCAGACCATCCCCAGCTCCACGTGTAATAAATTCTATTTAATCGTGTCCATTCGACATGGCAGAGTGAATTGTGTCATCCAAACGTCAACTCTCGATATCTCCAAGTTCAATAACTGCCTCCCGAATTTCAAAAATTAATAAAACTCCTCGTGGTATTGGATTATCTTCATTTGATTTTTGAGTTGTCTCTCGTAATCAGGTGATTATAACGAGGGGAACAGAGGGGTCACCATCATTTCTTCAAGATTCATCCCCGTGGCACCTGAGGAGTCACCGAAATAACGACCGAGTCATCTGGGGATCGGGCAATTTCACGTGAAGGTATTGAGATCAATCCAGGTGAAAAATAGCCATCGCGAAGTTGATGATACTGTCACGAGCGACATTTCTATGGCGGATCAACGTGACAATGGTGAATTACTTGTACGAGATAATGATAATTCCGGGGAGAATACCCAGGTGAGAGATCTACTCTAATGTCCAATTGAAATATTTTTTAATGAATCATTTCATACGTGGACTTCTGAGAATTCCAGAAGTCCACGAAGTCCAACAGTTTTTCCATCATTACCTTAAAATTCATTAGTGAAATCGTATTTTTTGTTATAATCTGTTCTCATTTTCCATAATTTACGTAAATCGATACTCAATTGAGGGTTTATCGATAGTTTATGATTTTGGAAACGTTTTGTTGCCAGGTGGTGAATGGAGGGGACAATAGCTCAGGAGGAAGGCAGAATAATCAGCCGAGCCGATGGGAGTCGTTTTTCGCAGTGGCCAAGTCCTTAATAATAAGGTCCCTAATAATCTACTTCATCACCTCGTTCTTCAGACGTCCCCAGGTGGACCCTGCCTCGAGTGGGGCCTCCGGTGCCCAAACTCGTCTCCCAGCTGTCAACATCTTCGAGAATGGAACACTCTTCGATCTCTGGGTGTTCCTCTCCGAGTCCGAGAGCTTCAACTCCCAAAATGATCGAGTATTCGATCACCTCGTGTGGCATGAGAAGAATTTAATTTATGGGGACTGGTACTCCGGTGCCAATAACGATGGGATACGAACGATGGATTACACGTTCGCTCCATCGGAACGATTTGTAAACAACGGTTCGATCTATATTCATGTGTACGCGACGAAGAGCAAAAGTTCCCAGGAGGACAACAGTCATTTCAAGGGGAATAATAACACGTACTGTTACACTAAAAAAATGTTGAATAAATTCAAGAAGATCAGGTACCATCGAAGACACAATTTGCTGACTGGTGAGACAACAGCCAGTGCTGAGGAGATAAAAAAAGCTGAGACGATGGATCAGGAGATTGTATCCCACTGGCATCCCAATTTGACCATCAATTTTGTCACTGATCAGACCAACTGGGTCCATGGACAGGTGCCTCCACCCCTTGATGAGTCCATTCAGTTCATCAAGGGTGGGAGTGCCTACAAGCCAGTCATTCATCTCAATGACTTCTGGAACATGCAGAGGGACTATCAGCCACTCAATGACAGTGTCAAGACGTTGGAGCTTCATCTGACGTATCAGCCACTGTCGCTCTTCAAGTGGCAGATTTACTCGGCTCAGTCCATGAGGAACAAGTGGACCTCCTCCCTCGTGGGGGACTCTGTCGACGAGGAGGACAGCGATCAGGATACCCTCAAGGAAACCATCCTCGAGACCAATCCTGTATTGCTGGGGATGACTATTTTTGTCTCTATTCTTCATAGTATATTTGAGTTTTTGGCGTTTAAAAATGATATTCAATTTTGGAACAACAGGAAATCCCTGGAGGGGTTATCTGTTCGATCAGTCTTCTTCAACGTCTTTCAATCGTTAGTAGTCCTTCTGTACGTATTAGATAATGAAACCAATACACTGGTACGAATCAGCTGTGGAATTGGTCTCTGCATTGAAGTATGGAAAATAAATAAAGTGGTTGATATAAGTCTTGACCGAGAGAGTCCCAAGATGATGGGAATATTTCCAAGAGTTACATTCCGTGACAAGGGATCGTACGTTGAGTCTTCCACTAAGGAGTACGACAGACTGGCATTTAAATATCTTTCCTGGGCACTTTATCCACTTCTCGGTGGTTACGCTATTTACTCGCTCATGTATTTAGAGCATAAGGGATGGTATTCGTGGGTTCTTAATATGCTTTATGGATTTTTATTGACATTTGGCTTCATCATGATGACACCGCAGCTATTTATTAATTATAAACTCAAGAGCGTTGCACATTTGCCGTGGAGAATGATGTCTTACAAATTTTTGAATACATTCATCGATGACATATTCGCTTTTGTCATTAAGATGCCAACGCTTTATCGACTTGGGTGTTTCCGAGATGATATCGTATTCTTTATATTTTTGTATCAACGGTGGATTTATAAAATTGATCACACGAGGGTCAATGAGTTTGGGTTCTCTGGTGAAATGGAAGCTTCGAAGAATAAGGGAGATAAATCTGTCGAGAATTCTGGAACAAGTGCTCCAGTCAAAGCTATAGAAGACAGCAAAAAGGATAATTAATGAGTGAGATGTTTAATTCTGTAGTGAATTGGTGAAACAAGATCAGCGTAATTTTACAGTTCTGAACTACGATTTATCTGAAGTGATATTGATTTTGGGGAAATGGTAAAAGGCATTTTTCGTCGGTAATTTAGTCCGAAAAAAAATTCCTCTTGTGTTTTCACTTTAAATCGATGAACAATAACGTTGAAAAATGTTCAATTTGATTTATCTCATTTTACCATTTGGCAACTGAATTATAAATGAATTCCTAATTTCTAATTTGAGTTAGATGAATTTGTTATATTCTTATTGTAATTATCATATTATTAAGTTAATTCTTTTAAACGTAAGTGAAGTTAAATGTACCAAAGTACAAAGGAAACTGTCATAATATAGAATTTGCTGTTCATGTGATGCGGAGTTCTCTTATTTCTTTTTTGCAAACATGAAGAGGTGAAAAATTTTTAATACAAATTTCCAGGATGCTCCAGGGATCGAAGATTTGTTGCTGAGTTGTTCATAGAATTGACTGGTAACTAGCAATAATAATGGTAATAATTGTCTAGATATATTTGACCTTTCGTATTGTTCACAATATTCTTTAATTAGTCAGGATTTCACTTCTACTGGTGTATATTAACAAATTTGAACGTACATTATCGAGAAAATGAATTAACGGTAATTGGAGACGCTGTGAAACATCTGAGCAACAATTTTAATTAGAAAAATGAATAATTCATTGGATTCGTAGTTATACTGATCTTCGATTATCTTAGAAACTACGACATTTTATAATTAATTGGCATATGTACGCGATGATACTCAATCGTGAATATGATTAGGCAAAAGGAAAATCTGTCACAGTATATACATAATTTTCCTATGGGCATTTAAATTAAGGCACTTTTTCATCGATTATTTGTACAATGAATCTACTATATGCAATTTTTCATTTTTCATTTCTCAGATTTTTTCCAGAAGTTCAAATTGTTTTAATCTCACAAATGTGACATCTGAAAAAGTTGATATTGTTTCTATTTTTACGAAAGAAAAATCCGACGAAAAATCCAAAAGAAAATTCTGCTGTCTTTCAATTATCGATTTATTCTGCATAGATTTCCCGTTTACGATATATTATATTGATGTATAATTCTCCCCGATAATTCCCCATTCTCATAATTGTGAATAACTTACTGTTAACGATTAAAAATTTTCCCCCGGATTTTTTACACTCGTCTCAATAACTTTAAACTATTTTTATACAAAAACAACAGTTAACGGAGAAATGCGGACCAATTGTTGGAGAAATCCATAAATATCCTTCATTTTTCTAAAAATCATTTCCATCTACTGTGATGTCTAGCTCTCATAATGAGTGTTGGGTGCTGTCTTCAGTGATTCTACTTATTAATACAGTAATTCAGTGCTATAATTCGTAATTAACATAAAATTATCAACAGCACTGAAATAATTCATGTTGTGCCGCTCGGTGGATTCCCCTATCTCATTGAAAATTAATATGTCACTATCATTGATAGTTAAATTCATCATTGACATGATTGACATATTCCAAAGGCGATAGTTACAGTTACTAAAATAATATTCAATGCAAAATTAAGTAATGACATCCCGACTGTAACTCTCATTAAAAAGATCATTAAATTCACAGATAAAAACCTTGAAAACAAATAACTGGTAACACTCAAATACTTATTGGCAAAAAATAGTACTCCACTCAATTTTAGTGAAGCGGAACGATAATACAAACCACAAGAGACATAATCGTCGTTATCATTATGTGGCAATAATTCTATAATTTACGTGAACAATTGAAAATTACATAAACACTAATTGACGAAACGATGAATTCAGTGAGTGCATTAAGTTAGTAAAAAAATATGAAAAATTTCAAACAAACTGGTTATAGTAAATGGCAGTATCGTGAGTAATTCAATTGAATAATTGAAAATACCATTTCTGCTTTTCGCCCTTGCACAAACGTCTTGAGCACTCAGAGATATTTCATCAATTTATTTTCCATTCACGTGACAATTCATTCGATTTCTGCGAGGGCGAAGATAAATGTGATAACGTCAAGATAAAAACGGCAGATTTAAATGAAATGCAAATTATTCTTTTGGAAATTAATTGAGGAGCAAGATGAAGTGATGAATGCTCAACGTTTTATTGACGAATTCTTTAATAGCTCTATGCTAATCCAGCATCCTTGGCCATACCGTAGAATATGCTGGTGGGTTTTTGAAGGAGAGAATGGGGTGAATCGAATTCCACCATGTACCCCTTATCAAGGACGATAACCCTAGAAGAACGAGTGAATAAACAAAATTATTTCAATTTTTTATAATAATCCTTCAATTTTCTCACAAAAAAAAATCAATTAGCGAGAAATAACAAGTAATTACATAATATTTACCTATCAGAGTCGAGGATGGTATTTAATCTATGTGCAATAGTGAGCACTGTACTTTCTTTGAATTCTTCCCTGATTGTTCGTTGAATGAGATCGTCAGTTTCTAAATCAACAGCGGCAGTGGCTTCGTCCAATATAAGAATTTTTGTCTTTCGGAGGAGTGCCCTGGCGAGACATATGAGCTGTCTCTGGCCAACACTCAAATTGTCACCACCCTCTGATACTGCATGAGACAAGCCATTGGGTAGACTCGTGACAAATGCTTTGAGATGAGCGTGCTCGAGAGCTCTCCAGACATCCTCATCCCCATGTCGATTGAAGGGATCGAGATTCATCCTGAGACTTCCAGAGAAGAGGACAGGATCCTGGGGGATGATTGTGAGTCTCGATCTCAGGGAGTGAAGCCCCAGAGTGGCGATATCGATATCGTCGATGATAATCTTCCCCTCGGCAGCTTCGATTATCCTGAAGAGGGCGAGTGTCAGTGAAGATTTTCCAGCACCTGTTCTTCCGACAATACCAATCTTCTCGCCACCATCTACAGTGAAGGATATACCCTTGAGAACAAGGTCAAGTCCTTCCCTGTAGCGAACCTTGAAGTCCCGAAATTCAACTCGACCTTCCGCGGGCCATTCCTTGGGGGGAGTTTTGTCCGGGATCTCCCAGGGTGCCTCCTGGGGTGTATCACCGTATTCCTTTATCCTCTCCACAGCAACTATATTTGTTTCCACGTCTGAGGTCATCCTGACCAGCCAATTGAGGGTCTGGGTTATCTGCAGGGCGTAACTCACGGAGAGACCCACGAGACCGGCGCTCAATGTCTCTCGTCCGACAACCGCAAATAGTGCGGAGAACAGGATTATCAGATTACCCACCATCTCCAAACGCACTGCCAACCACCTTTCATTCAAAATATTGAGTTAAACTCACGAAAAAAAGAGGCAGTGAAAAAATAATTGAAACAATCCGGAGGAACGGTAAAGGGTGATATGTTAATTCATCTGTTCTGGAAATTTTTCAAGGATTCCTTCAAAACTTCAAGAGATAACGAAATTTTCATAAGGACCAATTTTATGGATCTCGATTAACTCTATAAAAAAGGTAATAACACTAATTTCGGTATCTCTTTCAGATTTCGATATTTTCTCTGAAAACTAACGGATCGATTAAATCGACTTTGCCACGTCTCTAAAAATCAATTATCGGATTGCAATTCCCCTGAAAATTCAATGCAATTCCACGATAATTATTCGTATCAACCAATTACCAATGACTCACCTATTTGCAATGATACTTGGGTAATAACAGACTTGATTAAAATCCACTCTGTTTTCTGATTCAAGTATAAATCTGTCTTGCACTCCATAAGCTCTGATGGTGGAGGCCCCTATCAAATGAAAAAAATATACGACCAAATAAATACGATCCATAGATGTAATGAGGACAAATAAACATAATCCCTACCAGTGACAGATTCACCAAAGTGAGAATAAATCGGTGACCTGGAGACAGACTCCAGTCGCTTCAGCTGTCTCGAAGTTGCAACGTAAAATCGTTGTATAAAATAGTAGATAACTCCAATAGGTATTATAATTGCTATAAAGGCAGGTGTACTGTAGCTTATTACTACGAGTGTAGCAATTACCTGTAACATCATCATGGTATTAATGAATTTCTCCTTTCAATCGATACGCTCTCTCGAAATAATGTGCACAATCGGGGGATAAAGCTAGTACTGATGATTACATCGATAAATAAATGAATAAATAGATAAATAAATAATACACACATGTTCATTTACAGGAGATTCATGCAAAAAGCAAGAGACCACCGTGAGGGAAATTAACAGAAAAGAATAAATTTCAGATTACGACAGACAACACGTGAGTTATTGTGAGGACCCATCGAGAGACAGTGATTTTAATGAATAAATTTATAGATAAATAAAATAATCAGAGGAATGAATAATTAATGAAATGTCAAATAAAGCTGATAAGCGCAAGCTTTGTATCTTACATGTAATTGTCCATCATAGATCAATGATTCTGTATCGAATTCGACGGATACGATTATACAGATGTGATTATTTCAAGATATTTTTTGTTTGCTCAAGTGTAATCAGGCAGGATCGTTCAATCAAATGGGTAAATAAACCTCAACAGGTGGAGCTACAAATAAATATTGGGTTGAGCTAATTAAACAATTGTTTCTTCTAAATTAAACTCGCGCATTTGTCTGCTAGGGCATTTTATTTCTCGTATTTATTATTTATTTATTAATGTCGCAAAAAATCCTCGAGACTTTTTTTCAATAAAAAATCTGGAAAAAAATCCTACAATTTCACCTATTCTATCACACCTATGTAAAATTGAAAATAATCTTTTCTTAAAAATTAAAATAGATTTAACCCCAGTATTTACGAGAGTATCGCATAATTTTTCTGGTGAATCACATAAAAAATTAGGCGATAATCTCGTAATTATTGCCGAAAGAGATAAATAAATGAAATGAGATAAAAAATAATTTGTGAATTTTTCTCTAGGTGTAAGAGATTTTTTGCTAGGGGATAGCATTAGTTTCCTGATGTGTTTACCTCGAAGAGACAATAGATGCTATCGGAAATTTGTTGGGGGAGTGATGTATCCAGCACGTCGACGTCTTTAGCGAATCTGGAGATAATTCGACCTGTGGGTGTTGTATCAAAGAAGGTCAGTGATGCCCGCATCACCCCATTAAGCATTACCAAGTGCATCTGAAGTGCAGCCAGCCAGCAGCCCAGCTGAGGTGCCAAATCGCAGAAAAAACTCGTAACCGCTACAACAATTAGATACGAGCGGTGATAATTTGATAACCGCTTGCCAACTAGGCATTTATTTTTCATTAAATCATAGCGATTTTGTTCAGGGACTGCGTTGTCTCTGCACAGGTGAATCGCAGATGCACTCGTGTGATTCAGCGGGAAGGGCTCATGAGGTAATGAATTAATTATTTGTTCTGGATAAACTATTGGTCGAGGGGCTGAGTTTATTAATTAAACTCATCCCCTTTGGAATCCGATAAATTAAATTCAAGCTGAGAAAGCTTTCCCATCGATAGCAGCATCTCCATTAGCATCAGCCCATCCCTCTCTCGAATTTATTTATTCAGCTATTGATCAGCTTTGAGGGAATTTTCATAATGCCAGGCGAGAGGGTGAAGTTTGCTGTGGCATGCGTTGAATATCTGCAAAATAATCCCCCCAGCCTTTTTTTTTTCAAGGATAAGAAGCGTCCGCCAATCATGAAATGGATTGAAATTGCTGACAAACCAGAGTGGCTCGTGTTGTGATTTATTTATTGTTTTAAGATGTAGGATTTTGGTAACAGTACGGAATTTGTATAATAGTCTCCGTCTAACTACTATTTCAAACAAATCAAATGAATAATCATCAATCTATGAGTGTCCACATTGGCATGCGAACTTGGACATTAAATTATGCAATTGGTTTAATAATTACAGGTGTGCAACAGGTAAACCCAAACCGAATCAACAAAAGGACAGATCAATGCAAACAGAAAAATCGATACGTTCGTGGTTTTCATTATTCCCAATTAAATTCACTTTTCTCTATAATTTTTCCAGTAAAAAAAATCATAACAATGATAACAGATCATAAATAATAAAAATATTCACCAAAACCTGTATTTTCCATTTTTTTTTAATGGAGATAAATATCTGGTAAATTCGAAATTATAAAATTTCATGAGTTGATTCCCTTTTTTTTATTAATAATAATTTTTATTCAACATAAAAATGTTTCTCCCGAAAATCGGGCGAATGGACGAACCCCAGACGTATCGACGTACATAAAGATGAAAATTGAAATGAAAAGAGGGTGAAAAAAAATGGCAAAAAATGGCAAAAAATGGTAAAAAATGTAATGATGACGTGTAATGAAATGAATGAGTAGCTTACCCTACAACAACAGGGTAGCCACTGTGTAAGCGACATAGGTAGTCTTGAATCCGTGATGTCTACATCAGCACTGAAACGGCTCAATGTACGACCAGTGGGCACTGTATCGAAGAATGACATGGGGCCGCGTAATACATTCTGCAAAGCTTCACGCAGCAATGCAGCGGATGATCTCAGAGAACCAATGTTAACGGACAGCGCCGCGAAAAAGACACTTAGGACTGCAACACAATACTACCATCGTCAGAGAAATCATGACAATAATGATCCCTCGGGTTGGATCCACCGGTCTAACAGATTATATTTACGCTGGCAATTAATTTACCAATTAATACTTGCATATAACTAATCAATAGAATCAACAATAATAGATCAACGAATGGGATGAGCTAATTAATCATTTTAATCCTAAATTAAATGCTACCAGGTCCCGATAATTAGAGTCTACAAAAAATTGAAATTTGAGTAGATTTTGAAGGAAAAATTTGGAGATGTATTAGGGTCGTAGGGTTTATTTGATTGGTAATTACGTCATGTAAGCAATGCGTCGTAAGCCGTCGGACAATAATAAAACCGTTGTACCATATGGCGGAGAAACGGACAAACGAGACGAATTCGGTGAATTTTTTATCTTGACAATCGCTGAAATAGAGACAATCACGGGGGAACGAGTAAAAATAGAGTAATTGATAAGTCCTACCGAAAATAAACAAGTAACCAAGGTGCGGAGGATCATTGGTAGGACATTGTCAACGACGTCGACGTCTTTACCGCAACGATTTAACAATCTACCTGTCGGTGTCTGATCGAAAAATGACATTGGACCTCGAAGTACATTTGTTAAAAGATCTTCGAATATTAGGATCGATGCTTTAATAGCTCCAAGTGCCAACATGAGTGATATTAAAAGTATTGTGATACCTAGAAATAAATAATTATGACATAACAGTAATTATTAAGACAGTTATTGTGATGCAATCTGCAGCAGTTGACAACTGATTGACAGCGGATGAAAAAATTCAGTAGAAAAATTATGCGAATTGACTGGATTATTTTATTGGACTTCTATTGAATCTATTATTTATTATTATTGACATTAATATTTGTTTATTAATTATTAGATTACTGAGGGAAGACTCAGAAATTTTCTCCAGAACCGGTGGTTGGGAGATCAAATTTTTACGAAAAATATTTTTGTGTAGAAAATTGATAAATCTCAATCTAAAATCTAAATTTCCAATAGATGAAATCGATTTTTTAATCGCTTTAATTTGTAATTTTATTTAAAATTCCACAAAAATTTGTGCGGAGGTGTAGAAAGTCTCAAATAAAATCCAATAGCCTAGTCCATCGAATTCGCAATATAATTCTATAAATTTCTTCGTGCAATAGAGTGAATCGAAACGCCAAAACCGAGATACTGTTGTGCATAATAAGTGTTATATTTCCACAAATGACAACAGTTCCTGCATTGAAATTAAAACGCCTTGAACAATCATTCGACAACTCCACCGGTGATTAATAAAGAATAAGAAAATTAATGTGTAAACACGATAGGCCTACAGATAGATAATAAATCGCAGTGCTGGAAATGATAAAAAATAGTAAATACATCGTGAATGATGATTCTAGAAGAGTAGATCATGCTCAGAGGCGTGGGAATTTGTGGTTTAGTAACTATCGATATAATTATTGAAATATTGAAATATATTTGTACTCATTGCTGGTGCAATTTGAATATAAATAATCATGAGTTTATTTATATTTTATTGAGTATAAATATTTTAACTCTGGATCACTAGTGATCTAGAATCAAAAACTAGCACGTACCCCGGCTAGACACATTAACCATGCTCTAAGGATGTGTGGCAAAACATTGTCGATAACATCAACATCCTTTCCAACGCGATTTAATACTCTTCCAAGGGGTGTGGTATCAAAGAATACCGCTGGTGAACGTAGTAAACCAAATATAATAAGAGCATGCAGCAATATGCTGCTGCGCAGACAGCCGATCGCCATTGTCAGATGAGAAAGTAGTACAAATAACGCTGAAATTAATTATATCATTGCATAAACGAAATTTACGAATATCCAACTGATAATTGTTAATTGGAATTCGAAATTGTCACAGGAGATTTTCATTGTTTGTCATTATTTCTCCACTTTCAGCGGATCTGGGGGCTTGAAAGTCAATCGTTTATGGATTTTTTACATCGATTTTTTATATCGATTTCTCACAACTCAATATTCTGGTTTTTTTGAGAATATTTGGGAAATAATTCTTGGTCGATTACAACTCCGGCGGAAATTTGAAGTCATTCCATTTCGTAATTGAATTTTTACTATAATAATCAGATTATCCTGTAGTAGTTTCTGGTAACTAGAGATTTCATAATATCTGATTCAAAATAATTTTTAAATAATTGTTAAAGTAATTCAACGGAAATCAATTCATATAAAAATCATCCACTGTTGTAAAAAAAGGAATAATGTTGTCTTTAAATAAAAAATAACAACAATATATCTACGAGTTGCAGTAGGATGCAAGAAAATCTGTATCTGACGAGCATGCGTGTTCCCAATGAATTCGGGAAAGGATATCTAATCGGAACCACTCATGATTGGGAGGAGTAATCATGATCTGAGAACACAGCAAACTACACTCGCTGTTCTAGCACGTGTTTATTCGACGCATCCCTAACGCCGATATCCACTTGGGATTGAGACTGAAGCCCACAGCAATAACTAATAACGAGTGAAATCGTGCTCCCTGGAAATTCGGGTAGACCGAGGGAGGCAATTAATAACGTTGTAAAAAAAAAATTAGAGTGCTTACCTTGCCCCAGACCCAGTGCAGCGTAAACCCCGACGTACATGTCTCGTTTCGACGTGTTCTGTGTGCCATTGACGACTATCGTATCGTCGTCAGACCACTCACTGATCCACACGTTGGAGCCAATACTGAACGATTGGAAGACTGCATTCATGATTATCGTGGAAATAGACAGGAACCAGCCGATGGATTTCAGATAATGGGCGTACACCCTCAATTTGACACTTCCAGTTTCTGTCTTCTCGATTTCAATAAGCTTCTCACCAGCTTTTCCTTCATTATGTTTGTTATCCTTGAAGCTAGTGATCTTAGCAAGAGAGCCAGATCTCTGACTGTCAGTTGATTGTTGTCGACGTAAAGATCCATTCAACGATCGTTGATCCACCGATCCAGAATCACTGTGAGTCATCGATAATTTCGAACGTGATCTAGTCAATTTTTGCTTGAACTCCTCAGAACCGATTGTCGATTCCAATTGCTGTTTTATCTCAGTCAAGTCTGTCTCTTCGTCGTCCTCTACTCTCACTTCTTGGAGATGCTGTATCAAAAAATCAGCAAAAGCTCCCTTCTTCTCGAGCAGCTGCTTGTAAGTACCAGACTCAGTGATCTCTCCATCCTTAAGTACCACAATATTATCCACCTCAGGTAAGTACGTGATGCCATGTGTAACGAGAACTCTGGTCTTCTTCTTGAGTAGTCCACTGGGTCCGATGACATTCTCAAAGATGTGTTTCCCCACATGAGAGTCAACAGCACTCAGAGGATCATCCATGAAGTAGACATCACTGTTGCTGTAAACAGCTCGAGCAAGTGCGACCCTTTGTTTCTGCCCTCCAGACAGATTGATCCCTTTCTCTCCAATCTCTGTCTGATCACCAGCTGGTAGCATCTGCAGATCAAGGAGTAGTGCACACGCCTCAATGACCTTGTTATAAAGAACTTTGTCAAAGGGTCGGCCAAAGAGAATATTATCCTGCATTGTGGCATTCTGAATCCACGCCTGCTGCGACACATAAGCGATTGATCCCTGAGTATTGACAGTTCCACTGAGACGATACATTTCCCCGAAGAATGCAGAAACCAAAGAGCTCTTGCCAGACCCAACAGTCCCCACGATGGCAACCAGTTGACCGTGTTTAACTGAAACATTGATATTCCTCAGGGTGGGCTTCTCTGTAGAGTCTGCAGAGTCCCACGTGAAGTTTCCATTTTCAATAATCAGTGGATCAGCCTCGGACTGATCGTGATGGACATTATTGGGATCCAGCTCTTCATTATTCATGAAGATATTGATCCTCTTGACAGAAACGGATGCTTGGACGACATTTCCGATCATCATAGGCAGCATCGAGAGGGGAAATCTCAGGATGTTGAAGAGGCTGAGAGATACAAAGGCCTTGCTACTGTCCAGGATATTATTCTCGTCAATGTAAACGTAAGTGGCGAACGAAACGAGAGAGACTAGAAAGGGAGCGCATGACCAGATGAAGCTGGTGCCTGCATTAAGGTATGCAGCCTCTTTGAGCACCTTTAGCTCCTTGTTCCTGATGTCGAGGATCTGCTGCTCGAAGGAGGGCTCCCAGGCATACAGCTTAAGAACTTTTATTCCATTAAGTACTTCGTTCATCAATTTAACTCGCTCGTCCTTGCTCTTCATCTGTCTTATCTGGAGGTTTTTCACTTTGCTGGCAATGAGGGCGTTCACTGGGATGAGAATTATCATTACAGCCAGACCTGCTAGGACAGAGGGCCCTAGGATGCCCCAGAGGAAGTAAAGAGCAAGAGCTATCTGCAGAGGGGCTGACCAGATCATGTTTATGTAGGCTGTCAGCTCCATAAATCTCTGGGCATCCACTGACATCAGGTTCACTATCTCACCGACTGTTGATTCCTTCCGAGCGGAATTCGACATTCGCAGGGCTTTTCTGTAGATAGCTGCGATCAGGGCTGTTCTGATTCTCAGGCCCACGATAAACATTCGGTTGAAGTACTGCGAGAGCACTATTGTCTGTATCACTGCTGTGAAGAACAGAAGGACTGCGTAGAAGTAGCCCTTCCACGTCGGCTCTGAACCCTCCATAAATTTAATCAATAACTTCAACACCTGTGGCCCGATGAAAATCATTATGTCTTGGGAGAGCTTTAAGAAGGCACCGAATATGAACGTCGGCCCGAATGCACGGCACAGGGGAATCAGAATCGAAGCCATCTTCTTTTTGCGGCCACTGTCGAAGTTTACCTGACCAGAGGCCTTTTCGAAGGACGCCTTCGCTGATTGATTGCTGGAAGCAAGTGCTATGCTTTAATAAGATCCAGTGAAAATTCTACGCAATTCCAATTTAATTGTTTGCATTGGCATTAGCAAATTATTCGAGTCGAGATAATACCAGTTAACGTACCTACAATAATCCCAAATGAGCCTTGTTGGCAAATTAAAAGAAATATATAATAATCATGAGAGTGGAATTAGTCTTGTGGAATGAAATCGTGGAATTCAGTAGTGAAGTTATCAGGTAAAAAATATTTGAACATGTAATCATTTCACTACTGAATTGTTTTTTGAATTTCAGGCTTTCTGATTGTAGTGGTCATAAAATTGTACTCACTTGTCACACTTTTGTACACTCTTGTTCCAATATTTGTCGAACCTGGGGACAATCTCAGAGGCAGTATCTTCCGGGTTCATGGACCACAGGTCCGATGTTTCCAGAGGTTTCTTGAAGCCTCTCCATGCCAGCGCATCAAACCAAGCGAATGTCATTCTTGAAGGGTATGAGGCACTTTGCTCTGGACACGGTCGATCAACCTTTGAAAATACCAAGTAGTCAATTAATTCATCCTTGTTCATCTAGATCTGATGTCAATATTTGATAAATTAAAAATAATAATTTACCTCGGCATATTCGGAGAACTTCGGTTTATCGTCAACGAGAAAATTAAGGAGGAAGAGTGCCACAACGATTGGATAATATATCATATATGATATGTTCGAGTAACTATCTTTGTCGGAATTCCTGAGGACGTACCTAAACTGTACAATGCCGCATAGTGCGAGGAAGAACCAGAATAAAAAGAGCAATCCTGAAGTTCTCATCCCCATTTTTCTATTGTAATGTAGAAGAACTGCTGCCAATGCCTGCAACAAAATCTCTCCTTGAATCCCCGGAATTCCCAAAAATTCATACCGTAACAAACGAATGCAATAGAAAATACGAATAGATTTTTTAGAAATCCTGTAATCAATAATAAATTTAAACTTTAACATTTCACTCATAATTTCTAAGAGAGATCTAATCTATACGTTTTATCGATTACTTGCACGCGTCATACGATGGATAGATAATACTTACGAAGGTAGCAAACTTAATGAATGGTGTGTAATAGTCAACTTTGTACACTGTTTGTAAACTACTGTGATGTATAGCCACTCCCAAATCCGTAATGCTAAGTACAATAAGTATTGCCGTAAGTAGACATTTGGCGATGAATTTCCACGTGCATGGTACATCTTTTCGCTTGCTGTTTATCAAATAATAAGCCTCCAGGAAGGAGAAACACCAGAGAAATCCACAGGGAGCCCAGACTAACACCGTATTTTGAAAGCATGGAGTTAGATCTGGATCTGTCGTGTTCCAGGCGCGATTGTAATCCTGTAATTAACGTAATAAACGGTTTAATTGATATTTATTATTAATTAATATTTTTGTGTCAAGATTTAAAAATTTAAAACATCATTTAGCCAATTGTTACCCAAAAAGTTGAGCCACAGAATTGGTCCATCTCGTTGTCCTCCATTTCATCACTCATTTAATCTATTCGTTTGTTGATCCAATAGGGTCACGTGCTTACAACTCTGTGGGAGCAAACAAAGGAATTAAATCTCTGATGGAATAATATAAAACAAGTTGCACAATGTGGATTCATCTTGTGCGGCTAGTGGATGTGGACACGCGCTTATTGTGTCATGGATTTAAAGTTTCATATCTTGACCACACCGTAACTTGCCACGATCCAGTGCTAAAGTGGTAGGCTGTTACGAGAAATAATGAAATATTTGTATTTTCACGATTTAACATATTTTGTATATCACAGAATTTGTGGAAATTCCCGGAAGTGTTACTGGAATCATTTATTCATGACGACTTTTAACCTTTTGAGTTCCAACAAATTAATTTTTTTTAGTAGTTATCAGTATTTTTTTTATTTATCCCCCAAGAAATCGCAAAAAGTTTAAAAAAATGATGGGAGTGTTGATTCCATGAAATTATTGTTACTGATATTTTGTTTATTTATTGAGGAAAGATTAATAGACTCCAAGCGAAAAAATTGCCATTGGCGTAATTTTAATTATTTATTTATAAAAAATTGAATATTTCTATTGATAAGAAAAGAAAAGATAAGTATCTCATTCATTCCTTCTTAAATCATTCCGAAAATTATTCTGATGATTCCCAAACTTGAACATAAAATTCCAAACGCCTAATTAACCCCGAAAATTATTGCAAAATCAATAAAATTTGGATACACTCGCGATTTCAATTGAACTTCGATTAAACTCAATAACAATCACATTTTCTGCAACGATTTGGTAAAAGAGCGGTGACACTTGCGAACGTGTTGCAATAACTCGGGGGACAAATTTAATGATAATTACGAAATTGTGGAGTTACCGAATCACAACAGGAGGTATCTTCTGGCTTACCTAAGTGCAGGGAGAACACTGAGACTGTTTCACTTCTAATCATTATTTTCAACTGATTCAACCAGTCATGGCTTAACCCCACTCTACGCCATTTTGCGGATGTGTGTAATACTAACACTTTTATTTTTGTTAAAACACTGATACCTCATTCCCTCGTTTTTATCCCCAGAATGTTGCTCCAAGTTTTTAGAGGCGGACATGGGATTTCGGGGATTGTTTTCAACTTGCAGGAAGTTCAAGGTCGTCGGGGATGAGGGGGCAATATGGAGACACTTTACGGTTTTTATTGATTGGTGATTAAGTTGCAGTTGTTCTTTTTTTTTTTATCATTGATGAGTGCTGACGAATCTAATTGATGTATTTTCTTTCTGGAGTTGAAGTTCTGGGAATTATGAGTTTTTCAACGATATTTTTAGGGTGAGTTTCGAATTTTTGGACTATTGCATGGATTTCTGTAGTTTTTGTGGTGAATTGTGGGTTTGTCAAATTAATTTTGCAAATGGACGTTTTGATTTTGGAATTTCACGTCTGAATTCATGAGAAAAATTAAAAAAAAATCATGTTGTCAATTTTTCCGTGAAATTCTCACGACATTCTGTGTTTGGGATTTCAATTGCATTCCATTCATATTGAATATTCGTTTATTTGTTTATTATTATTATTCTCGTGGGGTCCCTTCTTCGAGGTCAACGACAGAACTTCAAGAAATGCGGTAAATTCCAAGTACGACTAATTGCCAGCGGTCAACTGCCCCCAGGAATTTACAATCTGACACGCGTGCTAAATTCATACGCGGGAGTTTTTTCTCTTTCCGGAATCGGCAATGTTATCATTAGGTGCAATCCCCCGTCACAAATTTACCCTTGAAATTTACGAGAACAAAAAGTCAGAGCTATGAAATTTATTTACTCTCTCAATGTACATTTTAATAGACTCGATCTGTTAACAATTAGAGGTTAAAAATCTTCATACGTTCGATAAAATCAATATCAGTATTCATTTAATTATCAATTAATAATTAGAAAATATTCACTCAGATCTGAAACTCATTGGAGGGCAAGTCAAGCTAAAGATTCTTGAAACCTCGAGGTCTCACATTTTGCAAACGATTCCATGACTTCGATGACTTGCACATTTATTCCTCAATAAACTAATCATCATTCCGGAAATTAAAAGCTATTTTATACCTCTCCATTTGTATCTCCAAAGAAAAAACAGTTTGATTGATGCGTGAGAAAATTTTCTCTTCGATACCTAACCGAAATGCGAGCGAAATCGGCGCTGAATCATAAAAAATTGAGACACTAGAACAATTTACACCGCATTATTACATCATAAGACAACTCCTATTCCCATAAAACGTTGTAATGAGTCCTGTAATTCTCGAGTGATGTTTATTTGATATTCTCATTGGTTGGGAAAAATCATAAAACATCATCAAGTTGTGCTAAAAATATTTATTATGTACTTACACGGAATACAATCGATGTAACAAAAAGACTTAGTACATTGCGTCCACAAATGCAACTACCCCATTCCACAACTCGTTGCGCCATATCTATCAATCCAAAGATAAGATACGTACGATACAATTTCAATTATCACTACATGACTCTCAAATAACTTTAATCGTCCATTTAAAGCATTCACGTTCTGACAATCGAGCTCTCGAATCAATTCATCAAGAATTATTAAGCCCGAATAATTCCATCAGTGGTGAAACATCATAACAATGTCTTCTCATAATTAACTCGTCTTGATCTTGGAACTGAATTCAAAATTATCTACAAACAATCGATCTCAATTATTACAATGATTTCCAATTACGCCGGAACTGTAAAAATTCCGTCGTTGCACTATCAAAATCTTTAATTTTCACTGAAAAACAGGATTATTAAACAATAGTGTCAGCAACTCGGGCTGGGATAGATCTCGTTTATACTTCTGCATCATATCCTGAACCTTGAGCCTCCTCCTGACATGAGGGGGATGGTAGCTATCATTATCCAGCCGCTTTCTCCTCGCCATATTGACAGCAGTCTGTCTGACAAGAGTCCCCAGGACTCTCCTTGATACCAGCATCCCATCGACCAAAGGAGTCGCCAGATTTATCCTGGAGACTGGCCCCTGGAGCTTGACCCTGAGAAGTCCACTGGACAAAGAGTGTAAATAGATAACGAGAACATCGGATGCCTGAGAGGCCCTGGATTCGAGCCCAGTGCTGGCATATGGCAGCAATTGATCCACAGGAAAGTGCGCATAATCCTCCAGACTCTCCAGCCAGACGACCATGATTTTGGTCTCCATTCCCCCAGGAAGGGAATGCTTATTAGTCCTCCTGGATCTCACTGGAAAATCGGAATTGGAGGAGACACTCGGTGGTCCTGAGCTCGTCAGACTGGAGGGCTGTTTCTCCAGGTCCAGGGACATTGTCCTGGAACTCTGTGAGCACTGAGGATTGATGGATCCACTGTCCAGCCTCGATGCAGGTCTCAAATCACTCATACTTCTCTCGTAAGTGCCACTGTAATTCGTGCTGCTGCAGTCACTGCTGCATATTCCCTGATCCTCCAGGCAATCAGACACTTGGCTGTTACCTGTGCTCGATGAAGCTGTGGGGACGATGAAGGCTATCTCCGAGCTGACGTCAGCCCAGTAGAGAACGTGATTCTCACCGCTGTAGCAGATGCTTGATGATTGAATTGTCTCGGTGTGGGATGAATTGGTGTCCAGGATTTTCCAGGAAGTCGAGACGTGTCCTGTCCATCCTGCATGATCTCTGACCCTCACTGGCCAACCTAGGGAGTTCAGGAATTCCAGGAAGTCGTCGGAGATGGTGGCTTTGCTCAGAATGTTCGAGAGAATGTCCCCTGCGGTTTTTTGCCCGGATTTAACGTAGAATATGTGGACAGTGTCGCAGGTTCTCGAGGTTGTGTTGTCGAGACTCTCTAGGTCTGCGCAGAAACCGGGAATCGATGGATCCAGGGCTGTTATACCCAAGGGGCGATCGGTATCGTCCAGGCCGAGGGAGTCGAAGTTGATGAAACCGAAGTGACTCAGGAAGAGACGCGCTGTCTGGAATTCTTGGGCATTGGCTGGTGACTGGCATTCCTGATAACTCTCTTTTTCTGTTGTTGTTGTTCTCGACTCCTCGTCGATCTGATTTTCTATCGACATTTGGGTGGATAGGATGTGGGATAGAAGGTCGTGCTCTTCTTTCACGGAACTGTTGTCGTTCATCACTGCTTCTAGACTCGGGATTGATTCGTCCACCTGGAATTGCAGTTGAGGAAAAAATTTCAAGGGTGATCAGTCAATTGAACTTCATATTTCAAAATTCAGGGGCTCGAAAAATCAGCAGCAATAGTGATTAAAAATATATCTAAATAGGGCATCGAAGATTAAATAAAAAATTAGATGAAACTTCCACAAATATTTACATGATTCATTTCAGTATCGTAAAAATAACCAAAAATAACCGACTATGACATACCTTGCAGTGAGGAATTTTATCAACATTATCAGGAAAAAATCTGGGTTTATAATCAGTCCGAGGTAGAGCCTCAGCAAGTGGTAGGGGCCTGCCAGGATTCGGATTGATGCTCTTCGCCCCTGACTTGTGCCTGGGAAGGTGTCGGAGGTGCATTGTCCAGGCGTGTCTCCCGAAAGGTCCTCTGACGACAAGAGTGACAGTCGGATGAGGATCATTACTGTTCCCGAGATTCTCCGGTGTTTCCTCGAGAATAGCCAACATCGTGGCATTTTCAGCCACAAAATAGCGAAATCTTTCGATAGCCTGAGACCGACTGAGATTTTCCTTCAGCCTGTGCTCCAGGATTGAGACCTCATCCAGGAGAGATGAGAGGGACTGAGCCCCACAGGCACTTGGAAAATATCCAACTTGCTCCAGGACAATCGTCAGTAGACCATCCGCTGCGTCTCTTACTCTCATCGACGCCGGTTTCAACTCCTTCTCATCTTTCATTTTAATCGGCTCCCCGGGCTTACCAATGCTCTTCGTACCTGACACCCCCAATTCAACAACTTCCAGGACTGTTGTCAGACAATCCTTGTCCTGGAGGAGTTGGGCATGAGCTGTTAGCCACGTGGTCAGACACCCGAAGGCCGCCACTATCGATGAGTGAAGGTCTTTCGAATGAGCTGGGGGTGGCCTCCAACATTGATAAGTTATGTAATCGCACAGCCACTTAACCGCACGTTTACATTCCAAAGAATCTGGTAAATGTTTTGTAAATATTATCATGAGCTCGTTGTCACAGTAGATGACGAGGAAACAGATAACGAGATTTATAATTTAGTAGAGAAGTGATAACGTCGGATTTTTTTTTTAATTCTTGTTCGGTGGGAGGTCTATAATTGTCTCTAGTCAAGTTTTTAATCGATTCTCTTAGAGTAATTAAAAGGGATCAGAAAGTGGGAATGAACAAACCTGTTAATCTCCTCGCTAGTTTGCAGTTGAAAATAAAATATGAATAAATCGTCATAAAAACACATATTTACGATTTATTTTTTCAGTTATTTCATAAATTACATTTCATATCTAATAAAATTAAAATTTTTATAGAATCAGTCAATCCAAATTTTATTCGATCGTATAGTTCGGATGGAGGCAGATGAAATAACAATATGATAGAGTGAAAACAGGGCAGGGAGAGATATTTTTCTCCGAACGTTGTTTTTTTTTTGGAAATGATATAAATACTCACCAGTTTCACGAATATTCGTTCTCGCCAATCCCGATAACAATTCAAGAGCAGCCAAAGAGATATTGAGATCCGTTTTCCATGATGAGATCAATCGATGACACACTAGATAGGTAGCTCTCAAAAAAAGAGCATGAGCTGAATCTGAATGAAACCAAATAAATATCCCCAATAAATTTTCATCTGTCAACTTCAAAAAATCCCCCAGAGTATTCGTAAACACGTAACGCACAGATGTATCTATAATTCAATGTAAGCGCGCGTAAATCAAAATATTTACCAAAAGCAGGGGTTTCATCCTGAACGTTGGATCCATCATCCCCCAGTGAGCGGAGGTCACTGCAAATGCTTATTTGACTGGTCGAGTCGCTGCTGACTATAGAAGCAGCGTGATGATTTCACAATGACGTATGCCCAAAGGTGCAACCAAAACGATAAAAATAAAACGAAAAAAAAATTGCTCACCAAATCATAATGCAGATGGTTAAGAAAACACTGGGGCAAAACCATTCATTCATGTGTAAATTCCTTCACGAAAATTCCTCTACTCCACATTCAATCATTCGGCACTAATTAATTATCCATTTTGCCCCAGCATCTCATGAAAAATCACAAAAGCAGTTCAAGTAATTTCAAGAAAAACGTGAAGAGTAAGATAAGGATTCAGGCTGAAAGTTCCAAGTGTTACGTATGCACTCTTGCATTTGATCTTGAAATGATAATTACCGGACGTCAAGAGATTCGTTGACGTTTCGTTGTCCACTGCATCGAGAAAAATAGACTGTTCGACTTCTTCTGCTGTTGCTGAGTCTTGCACACTCAGGAGTAAACCACCTTAAAAAAATATTAAATTATGGAGATGGAGATTTTCTCCAGAAAATGCCTAGATTTTTTTTGTAGCAGATAAACAACGTACCTAACAACATATGTGTATTCAGGGGATCAGACTCCACTTGGAGAGCATTTATCAGTAGATTCATCAATCTGGGCTTGAGCTGACCGAATGTCAAAGGAGTCTTGTCTAAATTGTCCAACAATGAAGGGGAAAACTCGCGGATTGGAAGATTCTGTGCATTAAATTTGTGGAATATAATATCTACATTCCAATTTTCACGACAATCAACAGCTGAATAATTATTATCAATACCTGAAAGTGTAACGGCAGTGCCAGCATCGATATTAACATCTGTATAGATGCCCTTCGAAGTTCAATCTTAGATACATTCGACGCTTTCAGTTTTAAATCTTTATCAGGCAGTACAAGTTCTAGGGCAGTGAGAACAGCAGGCGCGAGCATTTCAACGCCATCCAGATCCAGTCGAAATAGATCAGCTGAATTGGATAGAATACTAGCGAGAGTTTCTCCACACTCTCGACTCTATCCATGAAAATTAATTAATTATTAAGCAGATCAATTATTCTATCACGCAGAAATGAAGATTAACCTCGTCAACTCTGAGTCCTCGATGCACCGCCTGGTAGAATCTCGCTAGATACACTGGATAAATTTCTTCTCCAGTCTTTTTTGCACAGAATATCCGACAAAGGGCGCCCATGGCCTCTGCCTTCCCCGATTCATAACGATCGATGCTCAGCGATGTGGGGATTTCATTAATTGTTTCCTGGAGGGAATTGGGGCCTTCCACTAGGACAGATGATGGTCGTTTTGACGCTCCCACTGGTTCTGGGATTAATTGATTATTTGGTTGGCTCGGATAAATTATTTAATGCAATATTAGACAAGGCATGAAGGGCTTACGTGGTAAAGTCTGAGACCATCCATCAGTGCCAATAAATGCAGCTTCAAAGAGCCATTCACCGAAAAGATGGAGAACTGTGTTGCATTTTGGTCGACCTGCAGCCAAAGGCGGTCGAATATCGTTGGTGAGTGATGTGGCAGCTGAAAATCATATTTCCCTTGAAAGGCTGATTAATCTTTATTGATTGTAAATTATTAAGGAGTCTTACAAATTGTGCTGGACGTTGATGAAGGCCCCGAGTTGGCGATGTTGATCGGTGTGTTCGATATTCTACTTGTCGTCAAACCTATCAGCGATGCCTTGGGAATTCCTATGTAACGATTATCAATTCGTAATTCGAAAATTTTGAGAGAAAAAATAAAAATTGGTACATCACACTAATTAAAAAATCACTGAATGTTAAGAAAATATTAGAGTGTTAATCAAGGAAAGACAAAAGAAAAATTGGAAAATTAAAATAGTTTGAGTAATAGATTAAAATTGATTGGGAAAACGAGAGAAAGTGCATGAAAATTATTCCGAAAATAGTGAAAAAGTGTGCGGTACCCTTCGTGACAGCAGACGGTGTAACGCTGAAACTTTTGGCAAGTCTGCGTTGTGTTGGAGGTGTGGGCGAGGGTTGGGGTTGGTCCTTACTTATTTTATCACCACCAGTACCACCAATTCCTGATGAACTAGTGCTTGATATTCCAGAGGTTGCGCAGCATTCTTCCCAGCAACAAGCTTGGGAGATGCCTGAAATTTTCCAGTCACCGTGCACCCACGTGCTAATGCAGCGAAAAGAGTTGATAGTTAATGACGAGAGTCAATATTTACCAAGAAATGCATCGACCTGTCCTGCAATGCCTTTGATAGCCTTCAAAAATATCTGAGGTAGTGCCTGGAGACATGGATGCTGACAGGGATCGATGACAGTGGGGCTGGTGATTGCGTACTGGAGGAAGGCTTGTGTCTGGGAAACGACAGCTGGTCGACACAGATCCACCGGATCACCAACCGTCCGCAGCAGGCGATACCAAGCCTGAGCAACAGCCTCATCGGACATGGTTGGGGGTATGAGTTGAGCATCCTCGTCACCTGATTCGATACCGAGAATACAATCTGGTGGAATATCCATCAAACATTTTGGAAGAGATCATTATCCGAATCCTTCAAAATTTCTACTGAAATTCTTTTCCCTTATCATCATTGCCTCTAACTTCTTTAATTAATTAATAATTTATATTCAATTCAGATTGAAAATTGAAGATTAAATAATATCCAGGAATGTGAATTCTCAGAAATAAATTGTATGTGAATGTATGGCGTGAACAAGATAAATTTCGACGTACTAATTTTCAATCCAGGGAACATTGGTCCATACATGATGTTCAAGAGTCTCGCAGTGAGAGCGAGGCAAACTCGATTCCATTGCTCTATTAATGCTAGACGGTGTCGCCAGCGGAGACAGGATTCTCGTAAGGTTCGCCACAGTGGTGGGGATGGAAATTTTTTCTCGCAAGCCACCAGCCACACCTCAAGTAAAACCCCGAGAACTCTCTCACAGAGCTGCTCACCAGCATCCTCTCGGACGGCAGGAGGAGCTAGCAAGGAGTCATTGATACCGATGAGGAACAGGAGCAGACTTTCCCAAGTCTCGCCATCGAGAGTGGCTGGTCCCCTCGCCACTTGCTGGAGTGTCCTGAGAACTCGGTGACACAACACAGCTTGTCTGTTTATCGTATCAGTACCTGATGGCAATTATTTTTGTAATCAATACCCTCAGACAAATTCAATTAATTCAATTCGATTTGTAATTGATGGGAAAATCAGTCAGATATCAAACATCGAATTGTAACTAAAGGCGATATGGGGTGAATAAGTGAATAAAGTGATACTAGTAGAGTGTGTTACCTATATCCAGATATAAAAACGGCCAGACTACGGAAAGATTAACAGGATAAATTCAGAGGATTCTAAATGGTCGTAATTAAAATCTGAAAACTGCCAAAGTATTACGAGAAAATCGAGCGCATTCACGTAAATATTTAATTAAATTACCAATTAAAAAATCCACTCACCTGCTTCATCGTTATTAATGATTAATTGAGTTATCAATTTTGGCGAAATGATTGAAATAATTTTATCATGGAATGACTCTCGATTTTCCCATATCTAAAATATCAGAGAGATGTCAATATTCTCACCTTCGCCCTTCCTCGGAACGAACAGATTATGAAAGTGGCTTATTATTTTTCTGGCATAAAAATTAGCATCTTCAATAATTGGTTTTGGAACGGAAATCTTTGGTGATGTGTACAGGGCAGAGAGCCATTCGCAGTAAACATTGACACAATCACGGACTGTATCGTGTTCAGCTAGAGGTAGAGATAGTCCAAAGCAGATGACCTCCATGCACCACTGGACCTCTTTATCAGTATTCAGAGGGCTGGTCTCAGCGGCTTGGGAAATTCCGAGATTTGCTGCCAATTGTTTGACGACTGACAGAGCAACTTCACGACCAGCTCCTGGTGAAAATTTCTCGAGAACACTCCGGCTTTCGTCTGAGCCTCTCTGAATCAAGGGACTGAGGGAAGCCCATTCGGAATACATTCCTCCTCCAGAATCCTGGAAATAATAATAATAATAATAGTTTAAATAATTACAGATGACATAACGATGACACGAGGAAATAATACTATCCCAACAGATTCGATTTTATTTTGACAAATCGGAGACAACAGAAAAAATTCAAAAAGATTATTAATTATTCTTCGTCGATCGTCATGACTGATCGATAATTAAAATAGTTGATTGTATTCTACACCTCATATTGTGCAATTGCAATTGTTCTGTTGGGAATTATTGCCCACCAACAATTAGCCTTGTCAATGCAGAGTTGAGTAGGGAATTAAATAATAACAATGTGCCCCGAATTCGACGAGAATTACACAGCATCAGTGATAATTCACTTATCTAAACGTCTGATTCAATTACCTTTAGATTAACTCTGTTAAATACGCCCAAATTCATAGATTACAGCCAGCTATAACGGTAATCGCACAACAGTGAATATTCTGTAAACTCTAAATAATTGGTCAACGGTGGAATTAACAACCTCATTAATCTACATGGAAAGCAATTATGACAGAGTACTCCAAAACACCTGTGAAATTATTGTTGACGATGTGTCAAATGTGTACTATTTTTTTGGTGCCCCAGTCATGACGAAAGAGGATTGACTACTTTAGTCAATCCTCTCTGGTCATGACAGAATGTAACGACTGCAGTGCCATGACGTCATGCTGATGAACTAATCGATCTTCAGTTAAAAAAGCATGAGACACTCCTAGTCAATTAAAAATTAATGAAAATCGAAGAATGAAAGTCGAATGAAGTCGAGGAAAAATTTCGATTTTTATTTTTTAGGTATATAAGCCTGTTGAGTGCGGAGAATTGTATCTTTTGGTAGATCTGAAAGATCCTTCTTTGATAGAAATAAATAATTCCTTTGGAAAATAAAAAAATATTGGAGAACAATCTAAAATATAAAAAATAGTTTTCCATGAATTGCAGAGAATGAAAAATGATGATGTCAAGACTAGAGGAATTTGTTGAGAAATAAAATATGTGAAACAAAATTATAGTCTTCAACAAATGAACAAATGTTCTTATATTTATATATTTCTCAATATTTCAATAACTTTTCATTTCATTTTTTTTTCATATTTCATTTAACAAAATAAGTGTTGCTTTGGATATCCAGGCATACAGACTCCCAACATCCAATTGTCCTGTTAATTGGCAGGAATGAATTTTAGAATTCGATTGGCTCAACCACACATCATTCTAAAATTATTATTCACCTCCTCCCGGAGTGTCAACAATAATAAAAGAAAACTTCCAGTCGACTCACGTGACTCTTTATTTAATCGTATTGTCTACCAAGTTCATCTTGTCCCAGTTTCAATCAATGAAGTTGGAAAATGAAGTCAAAAAATGTCACTACCACAGAAAAAGACCCAGACCATTGCATCTGGTTTCAATCCTGAAAAAAATGGTAGTTGAATCACATTCTAGTTCTGCTAATCTCAATTCTCCATTCCTATTTAATACAATGACAAAATCGTTTGGATCCATGATCGAGACATTTGGCACTTTCCGCATAAGAATTTATTCTACTGATCTCCTCATCAGAGACACTGTAATTTCCCTTTCCATGAACTCTAATGGTCGTCTCAAATTTTCCTCCTCCGGGCGTAACTTCAATCAAGTAAAAATACCCCTCAACAGTAATTGAGTGATTCGAAAAATTATTCAAATCAATAATTTTATCCGCTCTATGAATTTTTTTAATTCTCAACTTAGCGCATAGTCTTTTCCCCTTTTTATTCTTATAATCTTTGATAGCGTTCTCCACGTGTTTGATGAACGCTTTAGCACCTTCTTTAGCTACATCATCGTCAGTATTCGCAGGTTTAAATGCAGTACAAGTGCACCAGTGAGGAGAGACCCCAGCATCAGCACAGCCCCTCTCTATTGGCACTGGTTTCAATAAGCTTTGGCATGTAGAGCATCCACTGCTGACATTGGCATCGCCTCCAGACTTAATAAGAATATCTCTAAAGGTTTCATAAAGGTCATAAGGTGAAGTTAAACGGTGCTCATTGATTCTGAGTGATTGAAATACACTGGGATCATCTTTCATCCACTCCGGTAGTTTTAAATAAATAAAAGGCAATCTCTCCTCGTACCATCCAATAAAAGTATTCCTGAGCTCACCCCACCGCATGCCATGATCACTCAGAAATACCATCATCGTGTCATTACTGACTCCAGATTTTTCAAATTTCTCAAACATCTCCAGGAAGTGATCGTCCATCGATGACGGCCCATTGACATCCTCGTGGCTCACGGTATTCGTCCAGAAGAATCCAAAGTAAGGTGACCCGATAAATGTTTTAGCAAAGTCCAATGCATAATTAAAAATTCTGTCAATTGCTAATTCAGGTCCAGTGCAGTATTTTGCGTTGAATCTTTTTTTGGGCTTCAAGAGCTTCTCCGTGGCTATCATGTAGGGCCTGAGGTAATAGTCCGTTGGTGGCTCGACAAATCCAACTTTCAGGTAATTAAATGTACTGAGTGGTACAACATCTTCGGCGTAGGCAGTGACGTATCCAGCATTTCGAAAATTGTGCCACAGGAATGGACAGTTGTCCAAGGCATAGGCCTGCGTTGGCTTGCAATTGGAGTATGCTGTCGTCATATTTTGACCAGTGAGAATTGCCATGAGATTTGGAAATGTATTGTCACCTATTTTGTTATAGCCCTGCAGGTTTATCCAACCTGTGTCTATCAGGTAACGCATTGTCTTTGGTAGACTTCGTTGAAAGTTTAGGCGTGAGACACTGTCTATTCCTAGGACTAGGATACTCATCTTTCTTCTCATCTTCGTTTGGTTCGTTTGGGCTTGGTCCAACTGCTCTGATGAGTTCAGTCTACTCTGGACCTTTGCTGGATTCAAAATCGGGTGGATGTTCTCGTAGAGGATGTTCTTTGCAGCGCCTTTCCGTCGACAGGAGATCATCACTGTTTCCACGTCTGCTGGGAGTTGCACACGGTTTTCGAAGTCATGACATTTTCCCTGGCTGAAAAATTTTTATGAGTCAGAAATAAATACCTCTCGGGAATATATGGAGGGAAATTATAGGGTCGGGAATTATTACTCGATCTTTGTATCCCATTCTCCTGTGGGGGGTTTTTTCGGGGGAGTTCGGGTAATTGTTGACCAGCAGCAGACAAATTTTTTGTAACTCGTGGCAACTGTTTGGTTGATGACTAGGGAATATGACCCATTTATATTTTTTTCAGTGTAAGTCAATAGAGAGCCAGCTGAACACGCCTCGAACTTCTGTTTCTTTATATATTTCGTGATGGATGAATCCATCGGGTTCTCCGAGACCATGTGGCATTTTGGGTTCCAAACCAGGTAACCATCCACCAATTCTGGAACATCCAAGTGTCAAAAGGCGATAAAAACAAGGTAATTGATGTTATCTAATGGATTTTATTAACGATTTCTTATTTTCTTGTTGATTTTTGCTTCTCTCAGGAATTTATATTCAGGATTTAGTGGCGAGAGAAATAGAATAATCTTTCATCTATCAATAAATTTCCAGTCATCTCGTCATTCCTCTCCTCCTCTCAACCCCACAATCTTGGCTTTCCCAATGTTGCAAGAGATATTTAATATCAACAATTTCTATCGGAATGACTATTTTCCGTAATTATAGGATTCTCTACAATGAGCGATGACGAGAGAGATAATTTCCGAGACGCATATACTATGAAAATATCGAATAGGAATCTCCGATGATTTTATCTTAGAAAACAATTGTATTGTTATTTCTATTTCTTTGAATTTTTTAAAGAACATATTCGATGGAAAAATTGAGGGAAACGAATAGTTAAATAATTTATAATTGCGTTTCCAGCAATTTATTTATTGAAAACAAATTTAGAGGTAAAAGAAATTTATGAATTTATGAATTAATGGGTTTAAAATTTCTTTTGTAATACTCACCATCTTCAAGGTCATAGACTTTGTGTGGCAGGTATCTGTCGTACTCCATGTACCGTCCAGATATGAAATAAAGTGAAAAAATGAGAATAAAGGAGAGTAATAGTTTCATGGGCGCAATTTTTTTTCGAATACATTCCCCCGGTCTGAACCACTTCGATCTCATCGTGTTCTGGAGTTTACTCCTAGAAAGGCTTTCACTGAATCCATTCTCGCTGTTATTAATATTTGAATCAAATCCACCCTTTCTTGATGAATCCAATAATGATTGGGTGAGCTGATTGACTGCTTCCTCCTCGTCTGAATGATTATTCTCTTCCAAAAGTGGAGTACAACAATCGTTCTCCATTTCAATTCCAACTCCTTTAAACACATCGCACCTCACCATCGAAAATTTTGTTTTTTATCTCATCGTAGACCAAGCATTGACTTGATGACTGTGAAAGAAAATCGAGAAAAATCTTGAATTGTTTTAAAGATAAGATAAGCACTCAGTTGATTGTAAATTCAAGTTTTTTTACAACTTGACATAAAATTTAACTCCACTCGATTTGGGCATTTCAGGAGTCTAAGAAATTGTCCTTTAATCTTTGGAATCATTATTGCGTTAATTTACAGATAATGTTTCACAGTTCTATCCAATTCTCACTCTTCTCGGAATTTTTTTATTTGTCATTCTGCAATTTTCAGTTGCGCTATTTGAATGAATATTTTTAGTTGTGAATTCCGAGTTTCCTCGGATAATTTTCCTGCAATATTTTTCCTACTCGTGATTAAATCGGTTGAATCAATAGACGAACCCGGAAAATTCGTCGATATTTTTATGAAAACTGTTTTATTTGGCACTCGTTTAAATCACATCACAGAGGAATCAGAACGGAAATTCTAATGATTATTTAAAATATAAGTACTGACCCTGTCACCTCGGAGTGTCACGATCAACTGAGGCCTCTGAGTAAAGCTCTCATGGATTTCATTGAATTATTGTGCCCTCCGTGAACTATTGAATTGAACAGAATAGTTAGTGCCACAAGCACAGCCAACGACTTCTCCGAAAAATTATTTAAGAAATCTCGATAAACAAGTAAAATAACACTGACTTAAACAAAATCATGACTAAAAAATTTCCTAGAATTTCCGTTAAAAGAAGAAAAAATTTCCACACGATTTCATGAAATTTTAATACCGGAAATGCTAGAGGAAAATTCTATCAACTATTTCCAGTTAAATTTATAAATGCGAATTGTAATTAGTATTTTCCCGCCGGCGGTCACACGAGATAGAATAGTATTTTTAAATTTGGAATTGAGCCAGAGTAATTAGAGATTTAATACAATCTCCCAATTACGCTGTCGTGACATTACACAATCACGTAGATTGGTATAAATAATAATTGAGAGTATTGAATCGTTTTACTATACCGCTGACGTATCAAGCAGACGTCATCGAAATGGGGGCGTTCTGGTTTTTTTTTTTCTAAAAAAAAATCATGGGAAAATAAAGACCACCAGAAATTAATAACACATGTTCATCGCAAGGCCGCGTGAAGAATATTTGCAAGAAATATTTACAACTGAATTTTTCCTCTGCGACACAAGATATTCCGTGACAACTGATCCATTCCACACAAAATCAATGTCAAGTTCGCGATTCATCGCATAATTAACAATTTTTATCGATAAAAATAATAAATTATCTCGATCACCAGATAACAACAAAATTATTCTGCATTTTCAATTCCAACAATACCACGTACATTATCAATATTTCAGTAAAACCTTCGACAGCGGAAACTGATACAAGAAAATACCGGTGATATGATACGAATAATGAAGGCAACGCGTTAATTATGAAAATGAATTGATTAGGAAAATTGGATTTGTTCTCATGATGAAGTTTATTTTCGCGGGGGAATCACGATTGATTTTATTCTCAAAATGAGAGTATTTTGGGGAGGAATAGGGCACGGTGATTCGAGCCATGTCAGAGATTCACTGGGTTATGTGTTTTGCAATTTCTCGTTACCCAGGTATCGACGAAACCACCACCGGGAATCGCATTCAGACGCAGACGCAAACATTCTGGGTAACCCGCCCTTCACGTTGAGAATTAAATAATACGAAATTCCCGAATGATATTTTAAATAAATAAAAAAAAAATAACAAGATTCATTGAATGAAATTAAATGAAATCACAGTAAAAATCTTTTATTTACGAAGTCTTGTTTGAAAAAATACAGTCTTTACACCTTTGAAATTTCCGTAAAATCCAAGTGAACAAAATCCCTTAATTAACTTAAATAATCTTAATTGAGAGAAAAAATCTCTGAAATGTATGTAAAATGGTAAAATTGTACAAATTGGTGTAGCACATCTGCGTAGCTCTCCAATAATCAGCGAAAAATGATTTTCATGGGAGAATGAGTAACTGACACGAACTGCATATTTCATTGAAAGAAAAGTACTGAGTTTGCGTTGCATGTGAGAAGTCGGATGTAATAAACTCCGCATCCATTACATTCGACTCCTGACGCAGCAAACAATTAAATAAAACGGGTACATCAGTAAATTTTTTGTAATTAATTTTAACAGCTATTATCTGACTATTCCTTTAATACACAACACTGGGAGAAATTCATTATGATTTTCTAGTGTTGGTTCTGAAAAAAATCACAACTTATATCGACTATAAAAATTCTAGAGATACAAAAATAAAATGTCAAATTGTCCGGGGGATTTGAGATTTTCATGTTACGAGAAAAATTTGATCTGAAATTAAAAAATCGGATTGCAATAGTCACTATATCTCTACACGTAATGCATTATGAATAATTATTGTATAATTAATTACATTTAGCTACCTAGGAATATTTAGTCACTTTAATACTTAAGTAAATATTTATGACGCAATGTCCTCAGTTGAGTGATTGATTCTGTCGATCTTTGGTTTATTGAACTACTGGGCACTCTGAAAAAATGAAAAAATTATTTACGTAATTAATATAGTGATAATTACTTGGGGGTTTATATTTTGGGACCAGAAGTTCCGCTGGATGTGGTATTTCCTGATACCATTACGCCTCCTCAAAAATGATAAGCTCTCGTTCAACATTATTAATGCTCTAACTCGAAACATTTAGGCGTACAAATATATTATTTTCTTTGTTCTTTAAATTACCCTCGCCGATCAACCGATAACAATATCAAAACTTCAAGTCCCCAAAAAGTGAAAATCCACAAAAAAAAAAACGAAAACTCTAAACTCAAATGATGAATAATCAATCTGAAAATTATTATTAAATAAATTCAAAACGACAAATAATCAATTGGTCTTCATTTTTATTTTAAAAAGTTGTTCAATAATTTTATCAATGTGATTTTGTTGTTCCGTGATAATTGAATTATTGTCAAGATGATTTTTTTTTATCAGAAGATTTTATGTTATTTATTCATAATTTGTTCTGAAATACTCACTGCAAACTGAACAATTAAGTTCGTCAGATCCATCACCACAACCGTCTCGTCCACTGCAGGTAATAGCATCGGAACGACAGCGTCCATTCGCACACCGGAAAGGACAACTCCTTGCGGACAATCGACTCCGATTACGCGTACGACACGCACCCCGAGGCTCATCACTTCCATCCCTGCAGGAGACAACTGCATTGCAGAATTCGTACGCAGGAAGGCATTGGCCATTATTGCAGCGGAATGATCCCTCCGGACATCCTAAAATGAACACAATCCACTGATAGGTAGCACCTCAAAAAAACTAGGTCAAAAAGACTCCATGAAAAAAATGACTAAAAAAAAATTAATTGTAAAATATTTGATCATTCGAAAGATCTTGGAAGATGATTAATGGTAATTATAAATTGATTGATGATTAATAAATAATTGATTAACTATAATATCTTACTTCTCCGATTTTTACATCCATCTTCATCCTCCCCATGCGGACAATCGAGTCTCCCATCGCATTGTACAGCCCGAGATATGCAAATTCCACTTTTTCCACACCTGAATGCCTGACTAGGACAACTTCCATTAGTGCACTCTTCATCAGAGCCATCTCCACAGTCTGGTCTTCCATCACAAACGAAGAACCAGCTGATGCACGCCCCCGATTCACGACACTGAAATGTACCACTTGGACAGCCTGTTTTTTTTCCATTACAAGCAATACTGCTGTTCCCATGGGCAATAGTGCAGTCACATATTCCGTGAATGCATCGTGAATTTGCATCAGCCATTCTGCACTCGAGATCGTTGCTGCATGATAATCCGAGGCTCACTGGTGTTACAGTGGATGTCTCGTGGCGATCTGACTTTGTTGGTGCTGTTAACAATAATTAATGCAGTTCACCATCTCTTGATAAGAACAATGGGAAATTTACCTGGAGCTAATGTCGTTGTTTGTATCAACTCGGTGATGACGTCCGCCTCTATCACCACTGCATCGTTGTCATCGGGAAGTTCATTTGTGCTCTCGTGATGCGGTCTCGGCGTTCTGTACATCGGTCTTGTCACCATGTTTGTGGGAATTTTTGATGTTGTTATTGTTGTTGATAACAATCTCGTTGCATTCTTCAGCCAGGAGAGGTGAAAACCTGATGGAATTGTTTAAAAAGTTGCTTTTTAAATGATTAACAAAAAAAATTCTGGGTTTGTTCAATCCTTCAATTCGTCGCCTAAATAAATAATTTACTCAATAAATATTATAGTACATAAATAAATATAGACATTACTGGATAATATTATAGAATATTATTACCATCATTGAAAAATTGATAATTAATCACTTAATTTCATTGAATCGTTTAATAAATAAAATAACTTTTAAATTTTTCAATTCAGAAATCGGCGCTTTATTTTCCCACGAAATATGAGTGAAGATTAAATATAATTGTAATGGGAATCAATGGATTTTATCAAAAATGATGATCGAGTCATTGAACGGTATTTTTCTTTCGATTAAGGCGAAAAGTCATTCGATTCCATTTTATTATCATCAATGAAAAAAAATGGAGAAAGGATATACAAATATAATCAATACATTGTTATTATTTTTATCGGAATGATAACTGTGGACCCCCGGAGCTACAGAATTTGGTCATCGATCTAAACTTTTTCATTGGTCATTGTCATTTTTTTTTTCAAGAGCACGTGGTAAAGACTGAATCATCATGCAGTTGATAAATCGAATGAATGTTACTATTATACACTATAATTCGATGATGAACCAATCAATGACTTGACGAAAAAAGAGACTAGCCAGGGGATGGGAGTCGTTGGCCTTAAGAAGTGCCGACATTTGCTGTTATTAATTAAACCGTTAAACAATTATAATCCAAAAACTGGGGAAGCGGACAATAAATTTTCATTGCAAAATATAATAATCTGCTGCGATTTGAGATCTATTATCTGATTATAAAAATCTCTTTTAATGACGGAAAATCGATCTATCCGAAAAATTAATCTCATTACCTGCCACGTAAAAAACGATTACTCTATTATTTATTTGATGATTTTTATTTAAAAAATTGTGGAATCAGAATGATTTCATAAAACTCTCTAAAAATTATTCACATAAATATTTATATATTTCATTTTTCAAGTTCATCACAAATTTTTGAAAAACGGTTTATAAAATTTCAGGTCAATCCAGAAATTCTCATAAATTCCCAAAAAATATGAATAATAAAAAAAAATTATCGGTGACAACTCCTTAAAGTTGAAGTAATGATTGTAAAAATGTTCTCGAAATTCCGACCGTGTCGGTACTGAAAAGAATATATTTTAATGGACAGTTACCTGAATCCGTCGTATCATCAATCAGTTCCTCATTATTGTCCTCTTCAGGGGGGGTTCCAGCGGTTGGAGAACTTGTGGTGAGCGATGGTTGGATTACAAGTGAATTATGTCGACAGATATCTCCATCTCTCTTCATGGGTGCTGTGCACTGGCAGTAACCGAATAAATCAGGAATTAAAAAGTCACAGTGGGTGTCACTGTCCCAGAGACGACAGTGTTCATGACTGTAGCAGACCTGACCAGGTCGAGCAGCTGCATAAAAAAAATCATTAAATAAATAATAATGCATCTGTCAAAAATATTTACGAAAGCCCGAAAATTTAATTTCATCTTAAACCCGATATTCGTCTCATTTCCTCCACACAATTCCACGAATTATAAGATTATCAATTATAATCCCTAATGACTGATAGATTAATCAATTAATTACGGTAATTAATAATTGAATCAACTGAAATAAATGAAATTCTGAAATAAATACCGAATAATAAATATTTATTTTCCCCAATCTAGAATTTCAATACTGTAATTGCAATAAGAAAAATTGAAGAAAATATTGAGATTTAAAAAAAGTGGATTTATCTTCGCATATTTTGCAATGACATTTGAGTTAATGTAAATATACAATTAAATAATATCGAATATCGGATATAGAATGTGATATATCCATTTTTTAGGGGTAATTTTGGTGGAGAGTTATTTCTCCAGCTGGTGAAACTGCCTGCATTGAAAAATTTTCATTCTTTTTTCCTTTCGAACAATATTGCTGTACTCACGTGGCAAACAGGTATGTTTTCTGTACTGAAGATAGCCTTCCTCACATCTGCATACACCCGCTAGACAACTGCTATTCGCCACTTTCATGGAACACTGCTCTGGCACAACGCATTCATTCCCCAAGAGAGTCGCTACAGATTTAAATCGACGTGAACTCATTTACTTTATAAATATTTATTATAGCAGAGCTTTTCCAGTACTCACACTCGACGCAAGTGGTTTCATTGTAGGGCGCAAAGAAAGGCTGACAATTACAGAAACCCAAGTGACATCGGCTGTATTTAATGCTAACTTGGCAATCTCTGTCCCTGGAGCACTCATCATTCAGACCAACTGTTGGATTCGCTGGTGTAGAATGGACTAGTCCCTGAAGTGGAGAAAATCATTTCCTCATTTTGTTTATACCTTGAGTGTTAATTGCGCATGAAGTAATTAAGCCTGATGAAGGGGAGATGCATCGAGGGTCATTATTTCGATGGTAATTTATGAAGATGGAATTGACGGGTAGATGGAATAATTATCTTGATTTTTTCTTTGATCTGTTATTCGAGGTGAAGAGTTTCATCAGAAATATTAAATATTAGTTAATCGTTGTTTCGTCAGTTATGTCGATTATGTCATGATTTTGGAGATATTCCGGGGACACGGAGGTAGAGATTCATTTATTCTCGGCCTGTCTCATCCTAATCTCATACCAGCCATTGAATATTCAACGATACATTCTTCCCGCCAAGGGACGCGGCTCTCCTTTTTAATAATGAACTCCCGTCGACATTTTTTCACATCATACCTCCTAATGTCCTCTCGGAACTTTCTCCCAGGTCACTCAAGCACTTAAACATCTTCAGAGTGACTTAGATTACATCGGGAAAATTCATAAATAACTCCGCATTAACATATTTGTTAATTACCCGAAAATTTAAATTGTTCTCCAGGTCAAGTCTCTCAGAGATCAATTCCCAGTCTCAAGGAACATTTATTAAACATTTATTAAACATTTATTCATTCTTTTCAAATGATTATGAAAATTTATTTTAAAAATCAATTGAATTTTAACTCCAAAAAATAAAAAAATCCAGAAAAAAATATAATTCTTAATAATTCGAATCAAAATAAGGGATCATTTAATAAATAAATAAAATTTAGGGTTCTTCATATTTAGTTACGGTATTCGGGAGAGGGTGGAATTTTTATTGAATATTTAATGAAAATGAAATAATGAAAAATAAAATATTAGGGATCATATATTTTTGTCACTGTATTAACTTCCGTTTGTTGATTGAATAATATTTTGTTGGATCTATCCGTAGGTGCATCGAGTGAGGGTTTGTTCGGTACTTTAAATAAAATAAATATAATAATATAAATAAAATTTAGGGTTCTTCATATTTAGTTACGGTATTCGGGAGAGGGTGGAATTTTTATTGAATATTTAATGAAAATGAAATAATGAAAAATAAAATATTAGGGATCATATATTTTTGTCACTGTATTAACTTCTGTTTGTTGATTGAATAATATTTTGTTGGATCTATCCGTAGGTGCATCGAGTGAGGGTTTGTTCGGTACTTTGTTCATGGGCTAATCACTTCCCGGTTTCTCACAAGATTGGCAAACAATGGAGCCCAGGAGGTGGTTGGTATGCGAGCATCATAGTCTCTGGAAGGGTGACGAACCGAGAATGACGACCGGTAGGTACATTTACTTGAGAAATAAAAGTGAATACACTTATAATACACATTTGAGGCTGTACAAGCGTTATACGCAATGCCCTCTTTAAAAGCGCATCCGTTGCGCAACATCGTGCGTGCACCGTTACTGCAATGTGCACTGTGTCGGTGCAATCTTATGTACCTGAGAATGAGGAAGAGATTCTTTTTTTTTTTTCATCGATGCATTACCATTTCGGGCAGGATATGCACCGAAAATTTATCCGATTTACCAGAACAAATCTCTGCCAGTGATTTTATTCATAATTGGTAGGAATTTCCTCTGGTAATTATTTCCCGAAAATTTTCCGCTGATCAATTTTTACTGTTGCGATCGGGGGGACGAATTTTGCCCCTTATTTATCACCAGAAATCAGTCCTAACAATAAAAATGACAGAATTCCTCGGGGAATAATTTTTATCGAATCAATGATTGTCTGATAATTTTCAATTGATCCATTACCAGTTCACCAGAATGCACCTCTGAATTCTCGTTGGAGTTCCCCATTGAAATATTATCGGATAATTGTTCCGGACATAAGTATCTCCCCGTAAATTTGGTGAGAAATTGCATAGCTGATAAATTTTTTGCGGGTGAATGCCGAAGAATGATTAATCCTTCCATCAGGGCCATTAACGGTCATAAATTTGCAAAAAATTAAATGAATTAATTTAAATTTTGCCAACGTTTCGAACACTATGTGTGTTCTTCATCAGGGCAATATTTATTTCTGTTGTTATCAATATGGAACAGAAGAAACTGAAAACTGAAGGGAAAATAAAGTGGAGGAAAGCCAAAAAATTCACCCCCTCCCCGATAAAATAAAATCCAACGGATTATGCGATTATCCAATTATTCCTGATCCAGTGGTGAAAATTTTCATACTTAATCATTGATTTTTAACCGTTAGAAAAGGGACTCGCGTGAAAATGGCAACTGAAAGAGCCGCATCCCAAAGATTATTATAAATTCTTCTCGCCAAGTCATTGGCTGTGTTACTTTGGTCCGCTCCAGCATCCTAAGGATAAAAGACCCGCCAGTAGCATTACCGCCATTATAACACTCACGATCGTTATACGTACTCCAAGTATAACAGCTCAGAGTCGGCTATTCTCTGCATTTGTGGATTTCCACGGAATCCATCGTCGACGCGTATACGCGGTGGCATTGAACTTGAACGGCCTTCGGAAGGTTTCAGTTCCTTTGTAACGTCAAGTTACGTATATTCTAGTCGTCTTGTCTGTAACACACCCAGATGGCAGGATGGAATTGCAGACGATATATTCTCAGTCCCTGACAGCTTCGCAGTTCAAGATTATCAGCCAACTTCGAGGGTCTTCGGGAAATCTCTTCCGAGGATATATTCTCGTTTCGGTTATCATATATTGACAAATTATATTATTATTATTATTTTTTTTTTTAATTTTAAATATTGACAGGGTTGAGTCGCCGATAATATATTTTTACGGCTCATATCATCATATTGGTTTTGGATTATTAGATTTTCTGTCAATTTTTACGTCCTCCGGGGGATTTGAGTTTTCCCGCGGATATATTGTCGTTTTGGTTATAATATATTGACAGGATGGAGTCGCTGATAATATATTTTGTTTTCCTGTTTATATCAGCTTCGGATTATTAGATTCTCTGTAAACTTTTAGGTCCTCCGGGTAATTTGAGTTTTCCCGCGAATATATTGGTGTGCTGTCTATAATATATTGACATGACATCATGGAATTTCAGATAATATATTTTACAGTTTTTGACACCTTCGTGTTTTGATATTTCAGTCAACCTTGATGATCGTCGAAAAATTTCAGTTCCTCCCAAAATATATTATCTTGTTTATAATATATTCACACCCCAGGATGCAATTGCAGACGATATATTTTTATTTATATTTTATTCCTGTCAATTTCACGTTATAAAATCTTCTGTCAATTTTAGGATCTTCAGAAAATGTTACTTCCTCCGCAAATATTAATAAAAAATATTGAATATTGACAGGATGGAACTGCCAATAACAGACAATATATTCTCAGAACCAAAGGATTTCCTCTCCTGTCAATCTCGCATTCTCGGATTATCCTATTTCATTTTGACTTCAGTTTTATTCATGTCGTGTTATTTAGTCAAGAATATCTGCGATGCAATTGGCCGGATAAACATGACTGTTCCTCTTTGCTTTTCATGGTTCATTTCGTTTCGTTTACTAATTCACTGCAAGGAGATAAAGTCAATGTTTGCAGGTACACCATTGGGGAGAATTGAAATTTCATGAATGGTCGAGTAAATAGCGTGAGAATTCATTCACCTCGGGAATTACGGAATTCGATTTTTTTTTTTCCCTCAATTTTTTATTTTTTTGATTTTTCTGCGGATATAATGTGGACCGACCGAGTGGGTATTATGCCATATTTCCTCTACACCACCTGCCACGATTTATTCAACCTGAAAGCTGTAATTAATTATTCTGCGTTTTGATTGAGCGTAAAATTCATAAGTGCGGGGAGCGTTGGAGAGATTAATAAGGCGTCCGCCCACTGATCCGGAGGCAGAATACTCAGATCATATGATTTAATCAAAGTGTGTATTAAATAAATTAATTATTAATTAAATAAATAACACTGCAAACATATCTTATTTACACACTTTTGAAAATTGCAATAATGGGAGTCGAAATTCGATTTCAATTACAATTACAAAAAATTACAAAAAATTACAAAAAATTACACAAAATTATTGGCTTTTAATTCAACCGTTTTAATTAATGGAATCAGTGTTACACATTTTATTATAAAAAAATGAGTTTCATTTGAAAAAAAAATAATGGAAGCTTAAATAAATTTATAACAAATAATCAATGAATGAATAAATGAAAATAAATTCATGGGTTCTGTAAATATTTCGTTTTAGTGTTGGTTTTGGTGGTTTCGATCGTGCGAATGGTTTTACAATCATGACTTTGAAAAATATTTTAATACTCCAGTGAAAGCACTGGCTTGATAAAACATATCGTGACATGCGGTTCCCCAATAACTGGAGCTCATAACCCGTACAGTTAGAGGAAGATGGTCGTGAACATTTAACGACCAGCCGTCTAGAGGTGACGGTGGAAGATCCTCTTGCTTCTGATAATGCACCGTTAAAATATTTTATGATTCCCAACAAATTCGGGGATTAATTAATTAAAAATTAAATCGAATTAATCGAATTTCCATAGCGATAATATCATGGAATTCCCTCAAAATCTAGCTTAAGTCCCTTCAAGGAAATCCCGTTGAACTCAAATTTTTGATTGTCAATTTAATAATTATTTTTAATGCAACAATCATAATGCAAACATATTTTATATTGTTCTTCCTCTTTTCTCATTTGCGCGAATAAGATGGACGTTAATTTAATATCATGTGTGGGGAATAATTCCCAGGGTGAAGCAATTAATTATCTCTGTAAGTTCCAACGAGGACGACGGGAATTCTCACGTGCATTCTCAAAATTCTGTTTGTTTAATAATTTATTGTTAATGGACATGTGCAGCTTATCGATTACTCCCATTCGACTTACCCCCTGCATTTCTGTTAACCTCTCCCTCGCGTTATTTACAGCTGGACCAGTACTATTTCGCGAAATACATATATATATATATATGTACCATCTATTGTGATTCATCACATTGTTCACCACCCCTTTTCTAGCTTGCCTGTGGTGGATAATCGATTATGTTCATGACCCTTCTCGACACACACATTCTGTACCTAACGAAAATTGATGACTCGTGGAAATTTCTCGAAGAATTTCCATTTTAATTCCATTGAAAACGAAAAAAAAATGCATTTTTTAATTATTTAAAATATTCCAAATATTAATTATTGGTATTGTTGGAATTTATGGACAGAATTAATTGTTAAAATTAAATCTCATATATTGAATTCCATTGAAAACGAAAAAAAATGGCATTTTTAAATTATTTAAAATATTCCAATTATTAATTATTGTTATTGTTGGAATTTCTGGACTGAATTAATTGTTAAAATTAAATCTCATATATTGAATTCCATTGAAAACGAAAAAAAATTGCATTTTTAAATTATTTAAAATATTCCAATTATTAATTATTGTTATGGTTGGAATTTCTGGATTGAATTAATTGTTAAAATTAAATCTCATATATTGAATGTTTTTTTTTTATTGAGCCTCTGGTATTTCAGTGGATTTTCAATAAAATAGACAATTTTATGAAATAAAATTTTAATAATAATTTTAATCTCATATATTGAATTCCATTGAAAACGAAAAAAAATTGCATTTTTAAATTATTTAAAATATTCCAATTATTAATTATTGTTATTGTTGGAATTTCTGGATTGAATTAATTGTTAAAATTAAATCTCATATATTGAATGTTTTTTTTTATTGAGCCTCTGGTATTTCAGTGTATTTTCAATAAAATGAATAATTTTATGATTTCGTTACTCGAAAAATTATTAGAATTCCTAGAATTCCGGGAATTTAATTAGTCTTCATTTGCGGATGAGAGAGAATTTTCCGCAGGCGATTGGTTCTTATCTAGATTAAAATCTCGTACAAAACTCTTCACAGTGCCACGACATCATATCACATTCATAATTTCGTGATTTAAACAAATACTCGAGCGATTGAAACGAAAATCGGCAGCTGTAATCGTAATTAGAATGGTGTAATTGTGGTTTCTCCCCCACGAGTAATTCGGTCTTGGAAATTCCTTCTCTCCACGATATCTCATTGCTCGAATCTAATAATTGCTTCTGTACGGATGCGGATAGCATCCGCGGACTAACCGCTGGTACATTAACCGCGAAATATTCATTTAAATAATTAAATAAAAATTACAGAACATCTCGTAATCAAGTGAAAATGAATTTCTGTAGAAATGCAGGAGAAAAATCTGAAATGTTCAGTTAATTTTTGGGTCTGTCAGTCCAAAATCGATAAATAATTAAAAATCTAAGGGGAGTCTCACGAATCATTACATTCCATTTTTACATTACATTTAATAAATTAATTAAACAATTTCGAGAGTTCATAATGGTGTCCCTGTAAATTTAAATCATATGCAATAATTTGGAATTATTATATTTTTATAAAAAATTAATGAAATCAGTTTAAATTATTGGAAATGGAATGCCCCAAGAAATCCCAAGAAATCCCAAAAAATCCCTTGAAATCCCCTGAAATCATGTGTCATTGTGTCATGACATTTGACAACAAACCCCTCAGGCACTTTTTGATAAATTTATCTCTCCTGTTTACACCGCGGATAATCCAATCTAGAATCAAATATTTATCCACTCCTTTCACGGGGAAAAATACACGGGGGTTATCACCCATGAGATTATCACAAATGCATAAATAAAAATGCTCTCCATTCTCCCTCGAAAGTCGCGTTATGTCTACCTCATTTTTATGACAGCAAATGACAGCTCCCAGACATATTAATACGATTACTCCGCTATATAGCGCGCAAATTCATGATTACATGTGCACGTACATTATTCCAGTAGCGGAACGATTATTTAACTCATCTGTACTGCCACTCACGATTGGAAAATACCGTTTTATTTTTTATGAACTGTGCCACATGTCAGTGAACCCTCAATGCTAGTCATCGATCATCAATCAGTCAGACGAATAATTTTTGTCAAGTGACTATTGACATCTGGAGACTGTACCGCGGAGTTTGTCTCGGAATATTCGTGATATCCTAGACAACGAGATAATTTTTACGGTTATTCTTTTTTTTTTCGGCTAGGGATGAATGACGGAATATTCATGAGATCGTTGGGGCATTGTCGGGTGGTGAAGATCATTTAAATTCATGTCGGGTACCAGAACTTCCCGCTCTGCCACCACTTTTCACATTTTTTTCTTGGGAAGAATGAAATGGGAAATAATGGGACTCACAATTTTTCTGGCGGTCGTCAAAAACTCTTTAAAAAAAATATTTGGCATTTTTTTATTGTTGTGTATCATTCATTTTTTTCTTCGCATTGATAGAATTTATTTGTTCAAGTCCTCTTGAAATATTTCCAAGAAATTAATTAATAAGCTTCAACAATTAATAAAAATTTAACCCGAAAAATCATGAAATTCCATGTTTCCCTGAAATTCAGTGGAATTCCATAACTCAAGGATCAGGGAGACGAGAATTCCTCAATTAATTTGAACTTCTAATCAAATACTATTCATTATCCTACTTATCATCACGATTATTACTATTTATAATTTATTACATTTAAATTGTTAACCTCCGGCAATAACTCCTGAATTTTTCCAAAAATTTTCAGTTGTATTTAATTTCCAATTCTAAATTCTTAATGTCAAAATATCAGAAAATTCCTGGAGAACCGGACGTGAGTGGAAAAATTATTAAAAAAAAATTAATATTTGTAAAAAGGACTTACCAGTAACGAAGCTATGGTGCAGCTTAAAACAATACAACGATTCATATTTCAACGAATATTAGCAGTAATGATAGCGACACGTTGTGCATTAAAAAGGGGCAATTGGTGTAGCTGATAAGATTGAAGTGCACGAATAGTGTTTTACTAGGTTGGAGCCTGCATGCAGCAAGCCAGTGTGATGATGACTGAGGCACAGCAAGGCTTTGGACGTTGTTAAACGAGAAATGAAGGAAGAAAGAAAATCTACACGGGCCCCGGCCTATGTTTCCTCCCACCTTCTGGCGTGTGTACCGCATACCCCCATTGCCAAGGTCCCCCCCTTAATTTCCAGTCTCTCCCCAGGAATCTCTCCAGAAAATACACTGGAAGCTTCCAGGAAACACTCATTCGAGCTTACGAGGTTCAACACTTTTTCTGCCTGCAGGAATTCCAGTGCTACTCATCACCAGATCACCTGCATCCGGATTTCGATTTTTAATATTTAATATAGAATTCTAGGACTTCCCTGATTAATTGATAAATTATTTTTAAAAATGCAATTTGCGTTGGATTTTTTTTTTATTTATTTAAGGGGTGGAAATGTATGTAAATAATTTTTTAGCGAATTTGTTTATCAATGGGCGGGTGATTTCGGAAATATTCGGTGGGTAGAGGATATTAGATAAAATGTTGGGACAGCAGAAGTCAAAATAAAAATTCACCTCTGGCCCAATGGGCCTGATCTATAATTTTTGGGGGAAAATTACTTTTTCCCCAAAATTCAATATTTCCAGCGATCAATGATTGTTTTTAAATATAATCACCCCTTAAATTATAAGAAGCCCCTCAGACCCAGAAAACACGAAAATACATTTTTTCCATTCCTCTGGCCTCGGGGCCTCACCCACGAATTTCGTGGTAAAAAATGATTTCTCTCCAAAATTAAATTTTCCATCGACCCTTTAATATTGAAAATCACTTCTCGATTTATTCAATGAATAAAAAAATGATTGAGATGATTAAAATAATTTTCCACCAAAAAATCGAACTCAGAATTTCCACCCTCAACTCAGGCCCAATTTTCGGGGGGTGGAAACTGACTTATTTCCAAAATCCACAATAAACCCGAAAACTTCTAGCAAAATATTTTTAAACAATTAATGGCATGATTGAATTTTATTTATTATCAAAATGAAACATCTCCCTTCCACTCCCCTCTACAAATCGAAGTCATCTATATTTAGGAATCTACCGTGAGTAAATGCCGATTTCTACCGTAAATATATCTCTCGACGATCTACAGTAACAATAATTATTGCAGTACAACCACAAAATGGCACGCAACTAGGATGAGCGTGGCAAAATGAACCGTCAAATATGCGATTATCCCATACATATTATTCTTGAGATCCTAGTAGGTCAAGGAGCCACAATATTATGTATTAAATTCCATGAATATAATTGAAACTCAATTACCGTTAAAACGTTCAACAAATATGTTATCTCGTTCGCATGATTATTTCGCGGAAATGCATTAAACATATTATTAAGTTGAATTAAAAAATGAATAAACAATCCACTGGGTTGTGCATTTGTGTGAAAATAACGAGAGAATTCACGCGAGTCGATGGAACTTCTTCGTATGTTTTCTCTCTCTCAACAATTTCAAGATTATTCATAAGTAAATGAATAAATAAATACATAAATAATCATTTATTGTCAAAAATTCCATTTTTTTTACTTCTGGAGTGAATTTCACAATCGAAAATTTATTCGTTTCTCATCTAAAATTCTAGTGTAAATAAATAAATAAAATAAAAATAGAGAATTGAGTCGGTGTATTTCTTATCTCAGACTGATCAGAGTGGGAAATTGGGTTTAATTCTCCAGATATTGTATTCACACTTAATCATTTGAATTATCGCGGGTTCACACCACTTGTTCTTAATTTGTTCTTAATAAGTCAAGACAAGTTAATCCATCATATATTTTTCTCTTCACTCAGTGATTTTCTCCTTTGATTTAACGCTCCATAAAGTATATATTTTTAATATTTCACGGCAATAATATTCGTCCATGGTGTTTCTTAACCGCAGACAGGTATATTTTGTAGCCATAATGACAAAGATTTTACAGCGGGCCATAAATTCTGGGGTGCCCTTTGTGGTCGTAAAGGGTGAGATAAAGACGATACGAGAATCTTAAGGGTCAGCAAATGTCACTGCACTCCAATTTTTATCCACACGTCTGCCATCGCATTAATGATGAGAATGAAATGTTCGAAATCCTCCCCGAGAGCTGCACCACGGAGGATGGATTTACGATGACAGTAACGTCAACAATAATTTTATCCTGACTGCACAATTCCAATTTACGAAAATATCCGGAAATCCAAAAATTAATTAATCATCTCCTAACAGTCAATGATCTACTCCATCCATTGACGCTAATTACAATTAATTTCATTGTATATCTGACGATTATAATAATTACTTAATTATTAATAATAATAATTGATTATTATAATAATTACTTTGTTAGTTTGAGTTTAAAATGAGAACCAGAACAAGAGGAACAACAAATCGATGACTGAATGATCTTGTTCTGATCTGTTCTCTTGGGAATCATGATCAATACTGATCTAGTTTCTGAAATTGCAATTGCCCACGTCAAGTGTATTTTTTTTTTCATTGCATAACGAAGGAATGTACAGAGTCCATGTGCATTATTTAAATGTCAAACGATCATCGAATGACTGCAAACGCAACCATCACATGACAAACCTTTCTCCTTTTGTTGAAGTAACAACTAGTATCACACCGAGCGTTTACTGCCCGACACGTTATAATTGCAAAGGGATTTTTTTTTTGTTCATTAAAAAAACCATGCAAATATTGACATTTCTGTATTTTGCGTATGGAAGTAATTTATTAGCGGAGAGAATTCATATAAATAATCCAACTGCGGTGAGAAAGGGCGTAGGTTTATTGGAGGTGATTATTAAAAGGACTCAATAATTATTATTAAAATGTTAAAATATGTCGGATGTTGACACAATTGTTTTTCATTTGGTAGAATTATAGATTGGATTTCTCGGGGTATGCTAGACGCTGGAGGGGGGCCCCTGCCACGATTGTACCTGATAATCAGGCCCACGTGTGGGGGGCTATTTGGGAAATTGATAAGAGCAATTTACCGGATCTGGATCGTCAGGAGGGAGTTGATGTCAATCATTATTTTTCACTCGATGTCGATGTCAAGAGTCCTGATGGCAAGATTTTTAAGTGCAGGGTTTATCAACAGTGTAATAATCCCAAGGAATCACTAGATGTTTCCAATTTACCGAGTGATAGGCAACCGTCATATTCTTATCTGTGAGTATTAATACTATAATTTTTTATTGTACTGACATTCCAATAAATTGAACTCAAATGATAATTTAATAGGTCATTAGATACTCCATGCGTTAATTGTAAAATTGTAGAATTGATTTCGATGTTAATTTATAATATCGAATATTAATTTTGGAAATGGATAAATAAGTGATATGGCATTGTTTAATTTAATTGTTAATTTCAGATCGACGATAATTGCAGGGGCTCAGGAGAGTGGCATTCCCAGTGATTATATAAATTTTTTGAAGTCCATAAAACATAATGGATTCATCGGAGAGCTAACGTTTGGAAATATATCCCTAACAAATGAATTGTCGACTACAACGTAACTCCATTGTTTATAATTAATTAGAAAATAATTTTCATGAAGACCGAGAAATCACGTCATCACATCATCACGTCATTATCCATTCGTAATTTGATTTCACCGAGGGGATTATTGAATTTGGGAGTGAAAAATTATGGGATTATGAAATGATGAGACTTTAAGATTGAAGTATTTTTTTTCTGTAGCCTCTCGCCAAATTGACTGGAACATCGACGAGGAATTCTCGATACTGCGGAATCCAGGAGCTTCTCGAAGGCCTTTCAGTGACCAGGAAGTCCAGTTTTTTTAAACAATTGAATTTGTTATTATGGTCAAGACGTTTGGGACATGAACAGAAAGACCTGCGATTGATCTAAAATAATCGATTGATAAGAAAAAATTCCCCAAAAGTCCTAGATCAGGTCTTCAGGGCTATAATAAAATATTTTCCTTCACTTTTTTATTTTTTCCTCTTTCTGGAAATTTTATTAACAACCACAAGATAAGTACATGCGAAATCAACCGTTAGTTAATGGAAAAATGAGATTTTTATAAAAAGTCACTTTCTCCAGGCAAAATTTATATTAAAATTAAATCATAATAGTAAAATAACAACAAAATAAAGTCTATAATAAACAAATAATGATTAAGTAATCATAATTATTCATTATTGAATTATTCTTAGGAGAAATTCAATTGGATTCTGGCGGAAGGTAAGTTGATTATTTTTTAAACAATCAATGCAACTGCAATTTATTGAAATAAACCGGTTATAGAGAATTTTTTATCAATTTTTCGATAGGGAATCAAGTTCAAGTGCTGTTATCAATTCGTAATTAACCCGGTCTTACATTTCCTACTTACGTAATTAGGAATAGTAGCGCTTCGTGCGTTCACTTCGTAAAACTACAATTGGAAAACATGGCCTTGGTGACCGCTCGTGCAGTTTTAAGCCCAGGTAGATAAATAGTACTAATTACCAATTACTCCTAATAAATTCCATCAATTGCTGGATTATCCAATTTCATTACTCCTATATTTCTATTCATGGGCTGTCAATACTTCACGATTCACCAAGAAAATCACCACGTGAGATTGTGGTTATGGTCGATTCCCTGAGCCACCCACGAAAGTATTCACGATAATTAAATCAATTAAAGTAATTATTTGATTTCAGTGATTCGCAGGACTGTCAAGCAGATCCTGTTTAGCCGTCAGTTTGGAAAATGCGTGGGTATTTGACAGGATTAACGAGGAGCTGATGCAATTGTTGTTTCAATGTTTCTTTTTTGCTTGCAGCAACGGAGGAGTCAGATCAATGGCCAGAGATTTTTACCTCAAATTACGCAGCAGAGGTTTTACGCTGAGAAGAAAGTATTCACCAGAGACAAACCACATTGCAATATCGGTACGATTGGTCATGTTGATCATGGCAAGACCACCCTCACTGCTGCAATAACAAAAGGTATGAAAATTCGAAAAATAATTAATTTTTTATTCACTCCCATCCGGTGTCTGATTTTAAATGTGTGTCATTTATTTAAATAACCTGAATTAAATTATTTGAATAAACTTTACACCCATCGTTAGAACCATTTGATAATTTTGAATTTGTGTTACAGTTCTCGCTGAGAAGGAGTTGGCAACAGCAAAGGGCTACAGCGAAATCGACAATGCCCCCGAGGAAAAAGCCAGAGGAATCACAATAAACGTAGCCCACGTTGAATATCAGACTCCAAATCGTCACTACAGCCACACCGATTGTCCTGGCCACGCTGATTACATAAAGAACATGATCACAGGAACAGCTCAGATGGACGGGGCGATTCTAGTGGTAGCAGCTACCGACGGTGCAATGCCACAGACAAAAGAGCATTTGATTCTCTCCAAACAAATTGGCATTCAACACATCATTGTGTTCATCAACAAAGTTGATGCAGCTGACAATGAGATGGTTGAGCTCGTGGAGATGGAGATTCGTGAGCTGATGTCAGAGATGGGATACGATGGAGATAAAATACCGATAATCAAAGGCAGTGCATTATGTGCACTCGAGGGAAAGAATCCAGAAATGGGAACCGATGCTATTCTGAAATTACTCGAGGCTGTTGACGATAGTATTCCAACGCCAGTCAGAGATCTCGATAAACCCTTCATGATGCCAGTTGAAGCTGTTTACTCAATTGCTGGACGTGGAACAGTTGTTACTGGTCGTCTGGAGCGTGGAATAATCAAGAAGGGAATGGATTGCGAGTTTGTTGGTTATAATAAAAATTTCAAGACCACCATTACCGGTATTGAGATGTTCCACCAAATTTTGCCACAGGCAGAGGCTGGCGATCAGCTGGGGGCCCTCGTCAGGGGTGTCAAGAGAGACGAAATCAGGAGGGGAATGGTGATGTGTAAACCAGGTACTGTCAAGGCTAACGATCATGTTGAGGCGCAGGTTTATATTCTCAGTCCAGAGGAGGGAGGCAGGACGAAACCCATTGCCAGTTTTATGCAGCTTCAGATGTTCAGTAAGACCTGGGACTGCGCTGCACAGATTAGTATTCCTGATAAGGCTATGGCCATGCCTGGCGAAGACACGACATTGGATATTAAACTTTTGAAGCCGATGGTCTGTGAGAAGGGGCAGAGATTCACCCTCCGTGATGGTACAAAAACCCTAGGAACGGGTGTTGTTACGAATGTTAAAAAATTAATGACTGACAAGGAACGTGGATCCTTGCTAGACGGAAAGAAAGCAAGGGAAAAGGCCGCGGTAGCCCAGTAATTATTATTAACATCATTTAAAAAATTGATTAACTGTCTCTGCAGTTTTTTTTTTACGTACCAGCGTAGTGTATATCAAGAAAAGAATAATATCATTTCAATTTGTAATTTGCATTGTATGTGGCAAGAAAAAAAATAATGAAATCTCCTGAACAGAACATTCCCCAGGGATTCATGATTTAGCAGTGTTGTAATTTCACCTCAAACCATTGATGTCGATTATTTGAAATAATTACGATAATTAGGGTGATAATTGTGATTGCATTCACACCGTTTTGATTAATAAGACATCTCCGTACTTTGAACTTTTTACAATATTCGAGGTAAAGTCATTCATTGTATTCGCAAAGAATAAAAATAATATTAATTAAATAAAAGAATGGAAAATGTCATGGGTGTTATTTATTTATTGTAAATCAAACAGCATTGTCACCGATGCTGAACAGACTGAATAATTAAAAGAGCAACAAATCAACCTGCATTTTACAATTATCATTTACTTCAAACTCAATCGAATGTAACTTATTAATTATTCCTAGACTTTACACATTCCGCACATTTTTACTCATTTTCCTACAGGATAATGCCTCTTTCAAGGGAATAAACTGAGGATTAATTATGCACACACTTTCATCAGTGAATCGTAAACGGAAACGGGAGCAAAAAAAATTTATGGTAATTGTATTGTTATAAACAAGAAGGAAAAATATTTTGCACGCAGTACAAAACAGAAAAAAGTTCACTCTTTTCCATATAATTTAGTTTCGAACGAATCATACAGTCACTTTTGCTTTATAAAAATATTAAACAGCCCTCGATAAAACCGTTAGGGATTGACCGAACTACACACTGCATTTATAACTCCAATCATGATCGTAATATTTCGATTGTAGTATTTTCGATTGTGATTATTTCGACAATTTCACCTTTCTTTAAGTTTCTCTAGTTTTTAAATAGTTCAAATTCTGAATTCCTTCTCATTCATGTTATTCATCATTTTTGGGTGTGAATTGCAGATGGTCAACCAATCATAGGTAATTTTGATAATTTACAAATAGTTCCTTCTTTCCGATTTAATTAATTTCAATTAATTCAGAGAAAAGTCTATTATGAATTATGGCAAATTTTCATTTATTGAATGATTCAGATTCTTTCTCAAATATTTTCTTCAATAATATTTTGAGAGGCTAGCATTTTTTCAATGGCAGTAAAGATGTTAAATTGTTGATAACGAAATCATTCAGTAGAATTACAGGAGAATCGGTGAAACTAATGAAAACGTAAGTACTGTTGATAGATTGAATATTCGTTTTTTTGTGAAAGAATCTGCAATCAAAAGAGGTAAGCACGTAACGAGTACGTAGAGCACTTATTTTTGCATAGGCCTTACAATTGGAAATTACAATGTTTCTTTTTTTTTAATGATTTTGAATGTTTTTTTTTGTCTTCTCGACCGTGAAATTTCGAGTAGCGGCCATTCGCGTTGTTCTTTATTTTAATGAAACTAGAGATCCTCGTCGTCCTCGGGGAGAGCAGTTTCTTGCGCCTCTTTGAGATCCTTCTCAATTTGTTGCTGCCATTGTGGGTCCATAGTAACTTCGGGTGGCAGAAGGGCGGGCATCGCGACGAACTCGAGATTGGGATCACCGATCAATTTCCTTGCGAGCCACAGGAAGGGCTTTTCGAAGTTGTAGTTGCTCTTGGCACTGATGTCATAGTACTAAAAAAAATTGGAGAACATGAAATTTAATGTAAATGAAATCCCATGCAAGTCGAAAATCTTGAAAATCGTGGGTTGATAAGAAAAAATGTATAATTACCTGAAGATTTTTCTTCCTGTGGAACACAATGCTCTTGGCCTTGACTTTCCTGTCCTTGATATCCACCTTGTTCCCGCAAAGGACAATTGGAATATTTTCACAAACTCTGACAAGATCCCTGTGCCAGTTGGGTACATTCTTATACGTCACACGGGACGTAACATCAAACATGATGACAGCACACTGTCCCTGGATGTAATAACCATCCCTGAGACCTCCAAATTTCTCCTGACCAGCTGTATCCCACACGTTAAATCTAATTGGTCCACGATTGGTGTGGAAAATCAGTGGATGTACTTCAACACCGAGTGTAGCCACATATTTCTTCTCAAATTCACCCGTCAAGTGACGTTTAACAAATGTCGTTTTTCCAGTACCACCATCACCAACAAGTACACACTTGAAAGTAGGCATATCAGGTTCTTGCGCCATTTTTGAGTTTTTTCTAACCCCTTTTTGTTACTCTGAAAGCTGAAAATTATGATAAATCAGGGTGTCGTAAATCCAAAAAAATCATTTCAAAACTCGGAGTCAAAACCAAAACTCAATAATTCCAGGAGCAAAAAATCGTCATGTCATGAATGTAGTTTAATCAGCAGTTAATCTATCAAACACCAAGGAGAAATATTAGCTTAACCAAATAAATTCACTGACTACGAAAACCCACACCTTTCCTATGTCAATATTTACATTCATTTCTTCACACCAAATGAATTTATTTCGCAGAAAGATTTCATTTCAGTGGATGACGCTATTCCCTGAGACCTAGCGATCATTCCCCAATAATTATCATACTCTATAAAACCGAATTATACCCACAATCAACTTCCTCCCTGTCTCAATTTTTTAACACTTATTTATCATCGTTGAGGGATGTAAATAATTCGTGAAAAATAAATTATCAGTTGATTGTAAATAAGTCGTACCTCAAACACGCCGAATGGCTTATGAATTTCCTCAAAAGGCCCAGAAAATTCTCAAAGTTACCTTCGAATGGCGCCCAACAAGCTACCCAGGAAATTCGTTCTCCTCGATTATATTGTCTGACGTTAATAATCACTGTTATTGATAATTGATCTCAAATATATGGATAATCGGCTTTGTTAATGCATCAAGTGTTCTCAGTGTGAAGAAAATTTCCCGGGAATAAGCGATGGACGTGAAAATGAACGATAAAACTTACCCTCTCGCACAGTCGTTATGGCTCACAATGGCGTTCCTTCAGGTACCACCGTGATGTTGACAACGGCAACCGTCATTCGTTGAAATTTGAACAGGTAATGTTAGACATGAAAATGGTTTTAATAATTCATGGCAATTTTTTGGTGACTGTTTTCACAGATTATTCGATTAAATTTTATGTTTTTTAAGAGGAATATCGAAATATTCGGGATTTTAAGTGGCGACATCTGGTAATTAACGGTTCAGGGACGGATATTGGGGGGCATTGCGCGGTAAAAAACGGACATCTTTGGGCGGGAAAATAGGGGAGGGTTCAATCGTTCAATTTGTTCGGTTTGTCCGGCTTGTTTAATTTGTTTGGAAGTTTTGGTTATCAGAAGCACTTGACTGCAGAATATTTATTCAGGTGTTTCAGGCTTTTAGAATATTAAGGAAAATTTTTTGAATCTTCTCTCACTGTTTCCGGGGATCGATGAGGTTCAAAATTTTAATTTGAAGTAGTGTTGTAACTCAATAAAAAAAAATTAAATTGATTCATTTAATGATTGAAAATAATGGAATATATACTATCGTGACGCTGAAACTGAAAAAACCGTTTTAACGGAATTTTTTTACTGTATATTATCCCGTCGATTGTCATTGGCCCGAGCTGGAGACACCGGTCTGCGTCGACCAATGCGATGCAAGCCGGTGATTGCCGCTTGAAATCAAAAACTTAACAAAAAGCGATTCTTCACCTCTGAAACCCATTAAATAACAATTCTCCGTAATTATACAAATAAATTTTTTATTTATTCAAAACCGAATGGACTTGAACAATAGACCATCAAGCCCAATCGGTGAATTTTTATATTCTTAAAATCATTGAACCAAACACGAATAAAATAACTGCATAAAAATTGATAAAAAAATCTGTATTAAAACGGACTTCAGTGAGGGCCCATAAGGCCTGTGAGGCCCAATGAGTGAATATTGCTCTCGAAATTGAAAAGGAGGAATGGATACAATGATAAATTTTCGGGGGGCAGGGGTAAAATAAATATTGATACGTCCCTGGTAAGTGTTGACGTCACCGGCGCATGCGTCGATTGTGGAACGGCACTGCAGAAACAGGCGAGTTAGCGAGCGTATCGATTTTACGATCCGTGTCTGTCCGCGGTTAGTGTGTCCGTGTTCCTTTAGTTTTTTAGTGAACAGTGAGTTCGTTATATTACATGGATAAAACCGTGAATGGGATTACAAACTAGACGATACAAACAGTGCGTCCGTTAACTCCAATAATCATCGTTCAATCATGACCAAGGATAGATTAGCAGCCCTCGTCGCGGTGAGTTTATTACATTCAACAAAACACCTAGTAGTCATGTACCCAACGTACCCGTGACTCAATTTGTCGTACCATTTCCCTGTGTATACATTTTAATTCTCACATTGTTATGGGATAACTTCGTATCTGCCTGGGATTAACCAATAAATTTTTCATACACCCTTGGACAATTTTTTTGGAGCCCCCACATTTTGGAGCACCGGGAAAAAAGAGCGCGGTGTCAGTCATCCGGTCAAATATGTCATGTCAATGGTAAAGGCGTTCCCTCTGACTTCGTAATTTTCTGTCAAGTCGCCAATCCACCGGCTAGTCATATCAAATGTCTCCATTGTTGTTTCTTTAATTGTCGGTTTTTTATTTTTAGATTCATCCAGTGAAATTCTCATTCACTTGAATTTTTAGCCATTCTATTATCTCGGTTTATTTTTCATATGATGGGTCAACGGAGAACATTTAGGGTTATGAATAATTTTTTTATTAAATATTTGTGAATGTTTATGAATTTATGAAGGGTAGTTTTTTTCTGAACTTATTGTCGGGACTTGTCTGTCAAATTTGACAGGATGTCTCTCACTATTATCTCCATGAACTGATGACAATGACTCACGCCTTCTTTTTCTCCTCGCACAAATAGCCCATAAGCTGAGTTTTCATTGAGTTTTTATTGAGTGGATAAATGGGTTTGATCGAGTGTCGAGCTCTTTGAGAGGCTTTTAAAAAAAATTAAAATTCAATTCTCTTGTGGGTGGAGAGAAGCCACGCGGATCATTTCTGTCACACAGTTCTATCTCTGTAATCAGTAACTGGCCATCATTACGTGATAATTCTTCATTCATTTATTTTCATGGGGCTACGGCGAATAAAAAGTTTTACCAGTCGGATAAAATGGGAGGGAAAATAAAAGATGCTTCTATTCAAGCTGCATAGTTTTATCTTACCGAGAGAAATAAAACAATGAAGAATTCTTGAAGGAGTTGTAAAAAGAGATAAGATTTATAGAGGTGAAAGATTTTATGCTGATTATTGCGCAAATATTACCGAAGCTTAAAGGATAGGGAGAATTTATTAAGTCATTGCACAAATCTCCTCTTATCAGAAATTACTCAACATATTATTGCAATTAAATTAATTTAATTGGAAGACGTTGAGAATTTTTTGGATCGAGAGGATCTCTCTCACTTCCTCCCGAAAATATCAGTATTCTTTTCTAGTTCTTCTGGTTCTGAAGATTTTCTTATTCTGGAGGTGAAAAAAAAATTCAACTTCACGTTGAACTGAGTTGAGTGGTTAGTCGAGGAAAATATAATTTGTTAGACAATCAGACTCATGTGGCAGTGGTCGTCAGTGCTCCTTACAATTTCCTCGAGGTCGAATGCTCGTAGAAGTTTTTTGTTATTGAATTTCTTCAGTTTTAGTCACGAGAATGAATGAGACAGAAGTTTAACTGTTCTCAGAGGATGACACCTACATCATTGACAATAAACCACAAACAACCCCACAGAATGTTTTTAATTAACGTGATCATTACCAGTACAATGAATTGTTGGAGTTATCAGTATGATTCACAGGGCCTTCCATTATTTCACGTTTTCTAGTTCTCGCTAATCAAATAATTCTCTATTTTCTCTCTGCCAATTGATTCATTGAAAGTTCTCACGAGTTATTTCTACGAGGTTGAACATTTCTTTTGAAATCAAGTTCACCTCACCTCTTTGTGGGTTGGAGGGATGATGCACTAACGAGGACAATTTTCATTGTTCAGTGAAAACCCAGAGGTGTCAGACTGATTTCTCCAGGGAGAATTGCCTTCAGCTCATGCCTGCACCCTTCTGATACTCACAATGGGTAGACTATTGTTTAAAAATGGAAGAATAAAGATAATCTTGAAATTTCAAGTTATAATGAGATCTTGGAGAGAGAGAAAAAAAATTTTACACACAGTACTTTTCAATACCTTCAACACGAAATTTTGAAGATACTATTGAACAATTCGTTGGAGAAATAACTTTTGACATTTCCCTTCGAGAGCTTCTAAGATATTTACGAAATAAAACACGTGGTGTTTTTTGATTCTTCTTGTATGACAGACTTGACATGGAAATTCTCTTCTCATGAAACTTCTTTCGATCTCACTATTTTAAATCTACAGATCTCTTTCTCTTTGAAATCCACACGTTTCTACGGTGCAATGCTTGCAATGAATCTTCCTCGAATCATTTTTACAATCTCCATGCAGACGTCAAATGGTGTACGTTGCATTCTTATCTCGACAATAAAAAAAGTTTCATTGGGCTCTCAGGTAAATAGAGAGGTGGAAAAAAAATCTAGTACAGCTATTTATTTTTTATGTAAAAAAATCATTGACTGTGAAGCTTTGAATTGACGTTGAGAATTTTCCTCGTGGCGTATCCTTGACCCAAAGTCGTATGTTCTGTTACCCACCATCATGCCTGAAACCTGCGTCGTTTCACTTATTTCTCACGTTCATACGAGGACACAACTTCCTCTTGCATAAGTCAGTGTTTTCAGGATAGAGTGGGAAGAAAAAAAACAATGCCTCTGTCAAAGTTCAATCGTCTTATCTCCCCCAGAAGGGGAGCAGAAATTTAATTGTCCAAGGAGTGGAACGTAAAAAAAATAATTTAACAGGCATCCTCAAGCAGATGTTTAAGTCGAGTTTAATTGTTTAAATAATATATCTGATATTATTTTTCTATCAATTTTTTTACAAAATTATTTACAAAATTCAACTGACAATTTTTTTACAAAATTATTTACAAAATTCAACTGACAATTTGTCAATTAAATTATTTATTGAATTATTTTTCATTGATAATTGCGGGGAGTTTTGATAGATCTTTCAGTTCTCCAGATGTTTTTAATAGACAGGGGTAAATCCGTGTTGATCTTATTTAATTCTTTCATCACTACTCGATTCATAGACTTCAGGTTTTTCTGATGAAAATGAATTATTCTGGATGTACTTATATATGAAGTATCGATCACTCATGTAACTCGGGTTTTCTTTCTTCAATAATTCATCGAAAATGTCTGAAGTGCATCGAACATTATAAAAGAGCTGTCTCAGGGTCATTTATGTCTGCCCCAGGGAATTCCACCCCTGACTCCTACAGTCGATTTTTAATTGTCAGAAGTTCTGGATTTTTTCAACACAAATCCATTTTTTTTAATCACAAAAAGTCGACTAATCATTCGTTTATTCGTCCCCATAAATTAATTAATATAATTATCATGGTTAAGAAAATTTGAACAAATTATAATTAACATCGAATGTTAATTATCCTCGTTATTGATAAATCCCTCAATTTTCTTGGGTATTTATAAATTTTATGACGAATTTAATCTAAAATTGGAGGAAAATCTGGAGTGTTGGGGTCATTGGAGGCATTCGTAATTTGAATTTTTGTCTTTATATTACGAACGTCTTCGGTTCGTGATACCATTAATTTCGAATTACGAATGCTCTGGATACAAATGCATTTATAGGCGTGACACTGTCATGTATATATTCAAAATGACCATATGTTTTCCCTGATGTCTGAATCACGAATGCCGTGTGGCTTCACAATTCACACGCGCCCGTCATCAGTCACTGATATCTCCCTTTTTTATCTATAAAAACGACAACATCAACTACATCAAGTCCGTTTTTCTCGAGTTGCATCATATTTACCTGAATTTTTTTTATTTCTACCCCTTTCTTCGTGGAATTGATCACATAATTTTAATCCTCATAATGACATACACCCCATCACTCATTTTATCATTGCCAATCAGTTTATATTTTATTTCTCATCTCTAAAGTAATCCTCTTAGTAAAAATTCTTCACGAGAATTAATCATCGATTGATTTATCACATCTGACGATTGAAGTTCAGATTATTTTTTATTATTTTTTTATTACGAATAAATGTTTTTTATGAAAAGTAGTTTTTTCTCTCTTATTGGCACATTGGGTGTGAACCTCTGGTAATGTTTTAATCGAGAACACTTAACCAATTGAAAGGATATGAAGGATAAACTCCAATTACTGTGAGGAGATCCACGAACAACGAGTATCACCCGAGGCTATTAATTGATCGATATTTATAACTGAGACTTTATCACTTATTTCCACCATTTGTCCGATCAATTTATAGTGCACTGAATTTTATTACACTGGGATATGTTGAGTGTGGATTTTTAATGAATTTTTATTATTATATTTTCAGGCCCAATCGGACGACGATGACGTCGCCGATGAGGTGTCCGTCCCCGTGGGTGGGCAGGAGGATTTCATGACGGAATTCTTCGCGGATGTGAGTACTCAATATTATTTACAAATTTATTATCCACTTCAATTGCAATTAACCCATGATATCCTAAACTAAATTAATCATTAACTCAATGATAAAATTCGTCAAACCAATTTTAAAAAAATTTTAAAATTTAAAAAATCGTTATAAAAATTTTAATTGAATACCACTAATGATAATTACTGTCACATTGACTTCAAATGACAAAAAATCAGATAATTCATTCCGTTATCTTAATTAAGAGCTGACGTTTTACTGGGTAACTAAATAATCAGGACTTTTCCACTCGACTCGATTTGTCCACTGAATTTCCTCTCAGATGATTCAATCCAGGGGTTTCAATTGAATTTCATCATTTCCCCGATGTTAATTCCTAGAGACTACTGTCTATGTCATTATGCAACACCCACAACAACATCAAATACTGGAAATAATTAGCGAACACCCGAGTAACGTTGAACCTCGTTTTATCAAGTTTCTGTACAACAGTTGAAATTCTCGGGGGTGTGACATTTACCAAACTCCCACACATCCACAACTCAGTCACTCTGTACCTGTATGTACAGCAATCACGTTCAACCCCGTTTATACTTTGTACCTGAAAATGTAATACGTGAGTGGGTTGACAGCTCACCCCGATAACGGAGAACCGATCATCTTTTTTGTCACACTTGATTCTCAAAAAAAAAATATATCACACCCACGCACTCGGTACATTCTAGGAAACGCTCAATATTCTATCATTCCTTTGATGATTTCTGACCTTTTCTCGCTGAATTATCAGTCGATTCGTTTCCTCCCAGTTTAGAATTTCATCTGCTGTCATTTTTCCCTTAAATCTCTCAAAAAATCCCCCATAAATGAGTCGCATCTCAAATTTTATTTAATTACTCCTAGAAGACCACAAAACTTCAGAAATTTACTGAAAAATAATAATTTATTTCATACTAGAATTTATATTGATAATGAATAAATTAATTATCACTAATAACAATATTAATAACTATTAATATAAATAATTATTAATGAACGATTAATTTATTCATTCTGGATGATAAAATCTGATGAAAATCGATTTTCTATCGGTCTCCCATTCAAAGTGGAATGCATTAGATTTTTTTTTTTTCGTTTCCTCAAATCATTTTTTTTTTTCCAAAAACGCTGATGTCTAGGGAATAATTTCCTATAAATTCATGGACTGTCGTGTGAAGTAATATCCAACAATATGTTCACTGACTCATTAACTCAGCGATATACGCTGATTCACACTTTACTTTCGCGAGCGTCTAATCACCTCTGTTAAATAGCCCATTTCTTCACAACTTTCAACACTCCTAAACTCAAAGTACGCTTATCTTCACTTACTATCGTTATTACACTCAGTCAAACAGTCATTAATTCTTATCAACGTCAGAATTATTCCTTCAACTCTCGAGAATAAAAAAATATCACTGGGTTTTTTAACTAGCGAAAATTATATCATTCAAAATAATATATTCATACATTTTCTATATTTACATTCTATACCACAGATTTAAATATATTCATTCCCGAAATATCTTGAAATATCAGTTACGATTCCATCTGAATTTTCATCTGAACCGCATGATTTTTAATTTAAAAATTGTTTTAAAAAATGTTTAGACAATTAAGTGGAGATTAATTCCTGCGGAATTATCGGAACATAATTGTCTTAATTGAATTGTGAAACAGGAAATTAAATATTTATAATGGGGGTCACATTTAAATACTTTTTCTACTTCAATATTTTTTTTTTTAAAGATTCGTTGATGCGGTAATCCGTAGCTCAATGCGACAAACTTATTTTCCAAGTTGAATTGGTTTTTGTGATATTCTTGCTACTGTTCTCGACTTCCGTTTATACTCTTCGACGTCTTTTATCTTCTTTCAATTTGCACCAAGTCAATGTTTGCTATCGATTCACCCATAGAGACATCTTCATGCCAGAAAGGCATTCCCATTGCTAGACATTTGGTGGAGGTGTTGATAATTTCTGATGATTTTTTTCGCGCTGAGGAAAATATTTGAGAAAATTTACACAATTGCAATTACATTCTTTGTAATCTGTCGAAAAAATTTCGTAACGACTCCCTTAAATTTTGCTTTTGCCAGATTAAAATCCGGAATTATTAAAAAAATATTGTTTGCATTGAATTTTTCGTACCACAAATTTTTAATGATTAGTTATACACGTTAAATTTCTTGGGATTCCACCAGTCGTATTTTCTATATCGATTCCTTTGAGTGTCACTTCCAATTACAATACGTACCCACATCTGTATTGCACATCGATTCCAGATAAAGGCAATTCCTCTTTCTCCGCAACTCATTTGTGGTTTTTTCTCATGAGAGATTTCTTGAAAAAATATATCAAAGAGGAAGGTTTTGTTGGGAAGGCAGAAGAAAAAGTCTCTGCAGTTCATTTCGAGTGAAGGTACGGATGTAACAGCAATAAAAGAAGTACACTTGCTTTTTCTTTTCTTTTTTTTCCTATTTAGGGAGTCTACCAACGTACCCTCGCCAACAGACTGTGGGCGTCTCCCAGTCTCTGTCCCCGATTGTAACAATTGCAATTGTAGATGGAAGTGTAAGATTCCGGTTATTTTGCATTCGAATGTAGCTTCAAATGAAATGGGTAATTGCAATTTACTCGGAACGAATTTATGGATTCTTCTACAAAATTCCCCGGGCGGTACTATCCACCAATTTTTCTCATCGATCGGGCAATTAAATCCAATTAAAAATTTTTCCTGTATTAGATGATAAATAATATAACAATAATAATATTATCAATATTATAATAATAATATTATCAATATTATTATGTTATTAATTTATTCCGTAATTTTTCGTGCACTTCTTCCAGTCGTTTTTTCATTTAAAAATAATCTTCCGGTTGTTAATTATGAAATTATTTTCAAGCTCTATTGTTTATAAAAAGTTAAAACGGGGGGTGAATAAAATACGAATAAACGCGATCAGGTTAACGTGTTAACGCGATTGATCGTGCGTTAAAAAATCATAGAAAAACACAACCACTCATCAAGGTAAAGCCAATGTTCCAGTTTTCGTTGAGAATAAGTAAGAAATAATTATCTGAGACCCATAAACTTCCTCGGGCGTTATGAAAATAATAGTGAAGGATTTTCAACGTCATGTTCTCAAGAAAAAATAGTACTTTTGTGACCGCGGGAGGTAAAATAAGTGACCCTTATCCACTCGCTAATTACGTAATTCCGCACGTAGTCACGATTTTTTATAAAATATACATTGTTAACATTAATTAACATTGGCATTTTCACCGGGAGAAAATTGTCCCGGAGATCTTGATTAATTATTATTAATTATATTGTCGGTTCAATCGCGAGATGTGAATTAACGGAGTAATTAGGGGCATCGGTTTGTTGATTGGAGAATAATTTATTAATTGATCATTTTCAAGAATCATTATTGATGAGGATCGCAGCTGTTGCGATCTGACAAATTATTCAATAATTATTTTCCACCAATTGATTGCTGATTAGAAGATTTGACGTTTGACTTTTTTAATAACAATTCGAGTGCGAATTTAATCTAATAATTATTATTATTTAATGCACGTGACGTGATTACGTTTAAATGGTTTCTCCTGTTAGGGTACAATCGAATCGATTAATTTTCTTAAGTCAATTAATTTATTATTATTCTGTTTGGATATGATTATTTATTACTTGCACTCATTTGTGGTGATTCAATTGGAAAGTTTGTTAATAGATTAATGAGAATTAATCGATTAATTAGTTGAGAAAAATTATCTTGATATTTTATTGTTTTTTTTTTTTCAACGTAATGAATACCTTTTAAAGTTTTGATGTAGGAAGTATCAGTGAATTCGCCCAGGGGGAAAGTGGGTTAGGAGAATCAGAGAAGCGAAACTAAAGGATTCTTCCCTGTAATCACGAAAAAATTACTTGCTCCAATAATTCGATAAAACGGAAACGAACGATTTTATTTTCTGCTACACTTTCAATTTTCAAATCAAAGAAAAAAACTCATTCATTTGAAATTCCAAAACATTAAATTCACCCGAAAAAATAAAATCTCTTTTCCATAAATCGAAATAAAATTTCGTTTTAAAATTCCACGTTAATTATTCATTAATTCAAATTTAATTATTTCCCACCAAAAACGAGTGATTTTTTATGCGGAGATAATCCATAAAAAATCACTGAGTGAAAATTTATTCTCGATGTAATATTACGGGTAATATTTCTTCGAGTGAAAAAATGACGCAGAACGACGGAAATTTTCGGTTTTCTGGGATTTTTCCGGCGTTTTCTTGAGAAAATACCATGAGATAATCGATATACCAACGACCTCGATCCGCGGTTTTATCGATCATCTCTGAGTGACTCCTTTTTTCGTAAATTTACACGAAATTTTCATGCGATTCTTGAATTCCTGGGGTGTAGATCTCTGGGGTGATTTTCATAGTTGAAACGAGGTCATGAAGTTTTATGAGTCCCCAGAAGAGATAGCCGTGAGTTCGTCAGAGGAATAATATTGCGAATGCTTTTCTTCTGCTCATCGTTTTTTCTACGTTTAATGTACACGAGAGAGTAAAGAGGGTGGCAAAGCTCCAGACGGCGCCCATTCCTTTATTTTTTACGATTATTTCTTCTACCCGGTTTTTATTTAACTTGTGATTCCCACAAACGTGACCCATAAATGAACAAGAATAAGTGCCGTCTCCCGGTATCTGTGGACGTTGGGATATTGATCCGAAAGTTATTCCAAAATCTCTAAAATAAATGGAAATAACATTTTTTCGTTATTCCCTAGGGAAATGTGCGTGAAATATTTTTACCCAGCCGTTGTGAATTTTTTTTGCAGAGTTCTACAATTTTTAGTCCCTCCAAAATAGGATATTTCGTAACGAGTGCGGTAAAGTCGCGTGAGAAGAATTATTGCGGTTATTAATAATTAATTATTTAAATAAAATATTCCGTTGGAGAAAATATCAATAATTCTCCTCACGTTAGTGGAAGGAAAGGAAAATAGAATGAAGAGGAAGTAGATCGATGAAATGCAGAAATTGGAGAGATTGAATTCAGTTTTCACAAAGCAATTCCATTTTTCTGCGTCTTCACTCTGGGAAAATTACCAAATGGTATTTCGGGATGATTCACGAGGATTCCCTTACATTCACATGCAGACGGATTCGATTCAAGGAGTCGATCACTCGGAAAGAAATCGTTATCTCTCATGTACACTTCGAGTAACTCTCGAGAGCCTGTACTTTTCCCTTTCATCACTTTTTTCTTCTCTCCTTTCTTTTTGTGATCCTCTGAAATCCCTTCGTGAGTACTACACTTAATGCTCGTTCTATTCTCGGGAATTCTTTCCTTTCAATTTCTTTTCCCCCCCACTCTCCTGAATTAATGAATTCCCGGGGAATTTATCTTGATTGCGTGAATTTACGGGAAAATTTCCGGAGATATTTTCCGATGAATTTCAATTTTTTATTAAATCGTCTTCATTTTTTTTTTGTCTAGATAACAATTTTTATTGATATCTCATTCTAATGGAATATAATACTAGAATTAAGTATGAGATATAAATAAAATAATTATAACAATAACAAAAAATTAAAACGGTAAAATTTTTTATTTATCAACCGCGTATGGGGGAATTGTAAAAAAATGGAAAAAATGGAAAAAATGGGAAAAATGGGAAAAATGGGAAAAATGGGAAAAATGGATATCGGTTTAATTGAAATAAATGGTTTTGGGTGTGCCATTTGAAATTTCAAATAAGTTCGATTTACCGTTTTCCCCTGAAACTGGGTTAAGAGTTTTCCCGGGTGAAATAGGCTCTTGTCCCCCAAGAGAAATCCGCTTTTCCCCCATCGGGTGTGAATTGACATTGTCTTGACAGGCGCCAAGTATTGGAGATAAATTGTTAGACGTGATATTCTAACGGTGAAACACCCCCACGAATTTTACCACCGATACACCACCGACATGCGCCGATACGGGTGAAATCGATACATTCCATTCGAATTTATCCAAATTTATCGGGATTCCCATTTACAATTAATTCTCTCATTAAAGTTGGCGCGATATTCGATACGATTTTATTCAACTTTCAATTTTATTAATTTTCCTATCGATCAGACAATCGGCGATCTAATTAAAGATTTTAACAATAAATTCAGGATTTTTTTTTATTATTTACAACGTGCAAGGATTTTATGGAATAATAATAACAATAACGATAATAATAAGGAAGTTAATAATTTAATAATGCTCCTTTAATTGCGGATGGTTTTAATTAATTCTGCAATTGTTAGTAAAATTTTTGTTGTCTGAATTGTGGATTTTGTTCGGCCTCTTGAAAACTTTTATACGCAATTGATTCTAGCCCCCGGCAACCGACAAAATACTAAAACAAATCCGAATTACTTATCGCATTTTCCGATATCCTGTTTTTGCTTGACACTCCTCACACCCTGAAAGGATCTATAAATAAAAATAGGGGGAATAAATCGAGTAACTGGTCAATTCCTGTTATTCTGTTATAAAATTAAATTTTCATTTCAATTAGTGACGAAATGCGGTCCGAACACTAGATCAGGAAGAATATTATTCCCAAAAACCAGAAAATAAATTACGAATGCAAGTGGTAATGAATTTTATATAAAATAATGTGACGTGACTATAATTACAATTTTTAATTATTTTTTGTTTGAATCAGGTGGAGGAAATCCGCGAGATGATTGACAATATCCAAACGAATGTCGAGGAGGTGAAGAAGAAGCACAGTGCCATCTTATCAGCCCCACAGACCGACGAAAGTAAGTGTTTTTTTCATTAAAAAAAAATTAATAAATAATAAGAAATCTGCTGAATCGAGTGGACAAGTGATGTCCTGGTAGTTGTCACGAGAAATATTCACGGGATCGTGAAACTTCAGAGATAACTTTGGTAGGAAGAACAATGTCGTATCAGTAATTGTCCTTGCTCCAATTGTTGCTGTTATACATCACTGAAGTACAGTACGTGTATCCTAGAATTTAACGTGCAACTCCGTTTTATGGTACAACACATAATAGCGCACAGTTTCCTGTAAATTCTCTGAATAACTATTTTGGTGTTGCATTCCGGTTGAATACCATTAGCTCTATCACCAAAATGGGGTGAGACTCACCATTCGAACACGTGATTTTTCCAAATTTTTTTTTTTGGAATTAAAAATTGCGTGCGTTAATTACAACAAATGGGAAATTTTTTAATTAATATTTCCCACAATTCCACGCTTTCCCCGCATTACATTCGTTATTAAACATTGAATCATTGAACAATCGAATTTGTTTATGATAATAATTATCGGATATATCGTAAATCGGTAGTTCAGGGAATTTATTTATTTATTTATTAAATGGATAATCGTAAAATCTGGGGGATTGATGCAGTGCAGCTTCTGAACGACTCGCCACTTGTTTTATTATTTATTTATCATTACTGGTGTCGAGATGTGGTTACAGTAACAATAGCTGAGATTAAGCAGCTGGTGTGCTAACCTCAGAGCTTATGAAGGATTAACTTGAATAATGAAAGGGGAGATGAAAAAAATTCATGCTGAATCCGCAACTTTTTGTGTTCTTTCAATCTCTTACAGAGATGGAGCATGGAGAGAGGAAAATGTAAATAGTTTTCTTCCTGGCGTGATTCCTCTTGGAGACTTGGTAGTTCTCCTTCTTTGAATGTTGAGATTCAACAATCTGAATATCTTTTGTACTTTCTCGAAGATTTTCCAATTAAATAATTAATTTATTTTTACCTTTCAATCAAACTGGCACAACGAATCAAATTCGTGGCACTAGAATAATTTCATTCTCAGTACAGAAGTCATTGAACGTAAAAATGAAATAATTTTTCTTTTCTTTTTCTTTTCAATATAATTAATTACCAATAATTATTATACACGAGAAATTACAATAAGTCAATTCCGATTTATTCAAGATTTTTGGTTTCATTTGATTAATTTTTTTAATTCGACACAATCATGAATTTTGTTATTAACAATTAATTCGTGATCAATTTATTACGAAATTGTAGAAATATTTAAAATATTTAAATATTATCTAAAAATAGAGACGACCTATATTCTCCATGATTTTATTTTATCTGAAAAATGAGTAAAAATTTTTAAATCGTACTGAACGATCCGCGCGTTTTTTTTTTATTCCCAGCTTATTTTTTTTTATAGCGATTTGTGTTGATATTTCACACCCCGAGATAAATCACGGCGATACAATCAAAATCTAACGTGCAGGCATCGTAAAATCCCTCAATCGGTTAAAATCCTAATTCCCCCGATGATTCAATCTCTCAATTCCTTCTGGATAAAATTCCCTCGTTACCCACAATTCCACCTCTATCATTTTCAACTTGGGGAGTTATCAAATAAACTGTCAATGAATAAAATAAATATCACTTTGGAGTCCAATATGCGGGAAATGAGTGTACGTCGTACTTTATTGAATTTCAAGGAGTAGAAATGGCGGAATTGGTAGCTCGAGGGCTAGATCGAATGTTGAAATTTCAAGAGGGAATATCGTTTTATATGAATCATCGAGCGCATGCAGAGTAAATTCACTTTTCTTTTATCTGTCCCACTGTATTGTCTCAACTTTCAGTCACCAATGATATTTATCAGATTTTCTTTTTATCCTGGCGAAGGTCCAGGAAGCCCTTTCCAATTCCCCCTTTTCCGTAGAAGGGATTTCGTCTCGTGGAAAAATTAAGTAGACAAATTTATTCAACCCCAGATGCCAAGTAAATAGTGAAATTATGAAATCCTCACCCAATAAAAAAATACTAGATACGTATTTTAGAAATTATTGACTGAATATTTTGACTTTTTCCGTTTTGTTATCTCATTATTTTTCCGCGATGGAAAATTACTTTCTGGTTTTTTTCACTCGATTTTTCTGTACGTGTACTTAATCGGTTTGATTTTTCCTGTTGCGTGTGTCAGGGGCTAGATTATTATTCTGTTCTTCCGATCTCTGCGAGGGGATAAAAAAAAATTTTTTCATAAAATTATCGAAATTACTAGAGGGAAGTCATTTCCGATGTTATTGCTTTGGAAATTATTACATTTTATTCAATTTTCCTCGTCGACATGGGAAATATGAATTTTATAGTAGCAGTGGGTAATGGGTAATTATTATAGAATAATTTCTCCTTCTGGCATTAAATATTCATTGAACATTGAAGAAAAACGGGAAATTATTGCTCTATTCCTCGGGAATTTACAATTTAATCCAATTGTTAATTATTGTTTTCGTAATTTATTGGAATATTCTTTATACTATTTTTTTTCGTTGAATTTTTGATGGGAGAATTTCAGGAATTAATCGCTTCGACAATCTCAAGGGCTAGATTTATCTTTCCCCTAGATTCCAATTATTTTAATCCTTGGAAAAGTCATCAGGGTGTCACGCACCTCTACTTGATCTCATAACAAGGTTCTCAGATTTTCATCGACAACTCATTTCGTGTAAATGATATTCAAAATTTTGATGTAATCACTCAGAAAGAAAAATTCAACGACTCAAAAAGAGAAAGTATAATAATTTGAAATTGAATAGAAATTAAAAATTGAATTAATTCATGATCAGCTGTTGAAATTCAACTTCAAAAATTATCGACTGATTCCTAACGTCATGTACTCCAAAAAATATAATTCCCCTACTATTTATTTAAACAAACAATTTATTTATTCACGCATTTCTGAACAATTAAAGTTCAATTTTCATACATTATTAACATATATAAATGACACTATTCTATTTCCAAAAATTCCATATTCTGAAAACATTAATAATGCACTTGAGATTTTTGGGTATTTGTTTAAAAAATTGATTGACAATAACGCGAGGTTTTTTTTTATCTAGTCCAATGAGAAACTCTCGTACCCAAGTGAGAAAAAACCTGTGAATAATTTTTCGCCATTTGATTCCCCATTATTTGACAGAAGTGGATTATTTTAAAATCCATGCAATAATGATGATTTTTTCGATAAACGATTGTTTATATTCCCCCGGGTTCGGTGTTTGCCAGTGAAATTGGTGGTTGAACACTGGAGTGCTGAAAGGCAATTTAACCTTCGGTATTTCGATGGTATGAGGTGATACAGAGTATATGAAATCATCCAGTGAATGTAATGGCTCCATGCTTTGCATATTCCAACTGATGGATGGCAATTGGTACGTGCACTTGTACCGACATGTACTTTCTATACAGTCGCAGTGTGATTACGTTTTGTTGTCATTGCGCATTCTATCTCCTGCAAGAATTATTTTCAATCGTTTCCCAAAGGGGCGACAGTTGCCGCTCGTCTGGTAATCGAATCTTGTAATTAGAACATTGAATATTCATCAATTTCGGGGAATTATTGTTTATTTATGCAGATGTCGAAGGTCGAGACATTTTTTACTCCACAACTCATACTCTCGAATATCGCTATTGAATTTTTTTAAAATAATTTTTCTCGCTTGAGGTATATTCTAAATATATATATCAATATTAATATATCTAATAATTAATGTATATATATCATTATTGATATATTCTTATTAATTATATATTGTTAGTATAATATGTATAAATTTTTATTTTTTATAAAAATTTTTTAAGCTAGAAGAAATTTGAGAAAATTGACATTTTGAACTTTTTTTTTAAATTAAGATTTAAAAATTGAAATTCATTTATGAAAAGTGATAGATAGTTATTCCTCTAGGTCTCAGGGTATTCAGACATGTCATATCAGCTCTTCCAATCGAAAAAGTGATGGCAAATCTCAATCGATTTTAATTGCGGATTTGCGGTTGTTTTGCTAATAGCACCGCTGTTAAATTCGATACAACATCACGCAAACTTGGCACAAGATTGCTAGTCTGATTTAGTGGTAAAAGGGCTTGAGGTTTTAATGTGGAATGGGGATACGAATGGCCAGGTAGACCGGGTTCTTTGCTATTGATCCCAAGCCACAACTGCCAGCTGAAACCCCCAGACATCCCCCATTCCTTCTCGTTTCAACTTGATTCACCCCTCACTTCTACCCCATTCCCATTTTCTTTTTTTTTTCTCTCTCTCTCGTTCTCATCGAATCTCACCGATTCACCACTTCACGGATTTATTCCATTTCTCATCCTATCCACGACAATTCACCATCCTCGGTCGTACTATTTACCCGACCCTTCACACTTTCTCGGTTTGAAGTATTCACTCGGTCATCTGTTGCAATCATCAATTTTCTTCGTCTCGGTTGAGATCGGGGTGGCAGCTTCACCCGATCTTCAGAGACATTCGCATATTTTTCTGGAATTTTTTATTCTATTATAAAAAATTCAAAGAAAACAAATTCCAAATATTTGAAACCAATCGCACATCACGAATCCCGGAAAATCCCAGGGAATCCCAGGGAAAAAATATCCCACACATTCAAAACGTGTTAAAACTCCCTCAATTTAATTATTTTTTAATTTAATTATTTTTTTCGTTGTCTATTTTTTCAGGGACTCTAATTTTCCTACGGTCTATCAAATTGGGGGGGTTTTAACACGTTTTGGGTGTGTGGGCTTTTTTTTCCGGGGATATTTTTTCCGCCTACCGCACATCACGTACGTCTCAATTTTTTATATAATTTTGAATATGTATATCGAATCAGGAAAATAATTAATTAATTTATGGGTAAATGGGGAGAATATTTTCCAGGCGAATGAGACAATTTCTGTTATTCGCTGATTGTGAAAAAGTCGTCACCCCGGGTCGTAAAACCGACGCT